TATACAGTTCAATGGCTATTATTAATTTGGATAATTGGTGAAGTTTTAATAAATGTGAGTTATTTAATAGAAATTAATGCAAAAATAAAAGAAGTAAACTAAAGGATGGAGTAGAATTCCAAACGATTGTGAATTTTATCATTAATATATTAAATAGTAGCAGGGAGGTAACAACCTTATAATTCATAAAAATAAAACCGATTAGATCTCTAAGCAGTATAAATTTGCTCTATTGCCATTTTTATAGCAATTGCCAAATATGTTAGTGAACAGGTATTTAAGTAAGCCTCTTCTCAAATATTGTAAGTTTTTATTCTACTTCTTTGTATTAAATTCTGTTATTAATTTTTATTAGATATCTTTAAGGCATATGGCAAAAAATATAAGGTATTATTCATATCTTCTTTATATAAAATGTTGAAATTGATTAAACCAAAATCCAAATATGTAATTTATCTGGGCAATTTGCTAATTTAATAGATTAGAAAAGAAAAGAGAATCAAATAAAATATTTCAATCTTAAAAGCACATTTAATAAAAATGTCAAGTGCATAAATTAAATTTCAAAAGTAATGATATTTATAACTTAGATCCTATTATGATGTTAATCACAATTTAAATTTGGCATCATTAACAAGAGATAAGAAATTGAAATAAAATTAAACTTAAATCTTTTTCAAATTAGAGAAATGATTAAGCTTAAAAGTAAAAGAATTAATAATTTACAATTTTATAATCTAATTTTATTATTTGAAGAATTCTTAATATGTTAATTTAAAGTCATAAATATATATTATATAAGTTGGTAGTTTGTTTTTTAGCATTCTGTCTGAAAATTAGTTAAGTATACCATTTTTTTAATTTTTAATTTTCTTTTAATTTTATGTTAGGTAAATATTATATGATAATGAAGTTTAATTTGATTTCAGTTAAAGTTAACTTTTTGAATTTAACCAAAATTATTATTTGAATCTTTTTTTAGCTGGAACAAAAAATAATATAGAGGCAATAAATATTTTTTATTCACTTTTAACCGGTTAAAAGGTGAACGAATAACAACAGATATCCACTAAGCTGTTTAACTAACTATCTTTGTTAGTTTATTAGCGAAAGCTTAAGTATTGATGGATTTTAGTTTCCCTTTTTTCTTCTGCTACAGTTGATTTAGCTCTTACAGATCCTGATGAATACAATAGCTATTTATACTTAGTGTTGAAACATATTGACTTAGTGGCTAAACAGTTAACTGAATTTAAAATTAACTTTCTTCTATAATTAATTCCTTCATCAAAATGCAATATATTTTTATGCATTCAGTTTATCTAAAGTATAGCATTCACCATTAAATGAGTCATATGAATTTTTATTCCAATATCAATCGTTTTAGGAAGAACATACAGTTTATTAAAATATATATGAGCATTCAATTATAGGTAAGTCCCATCATTCGAGAATTCCGAATCAATCAAAAAGAAAGAAATAAAACAACTAAATTTTTAGTTTATGTAATAACTAATTATTAACTCTAATACAATATTCACTCCAAATTGTCAAAAATGTAATACAACTAAAAGTATTATGAGCATTGGATGAACAAATATTTTAAGTTAATTATTTTACAATCATCATAGTTTATATTAAATTTACTTCAAATATTAATCAAAATATGTTTATCAGAAGCTATACCGAATGTATGATATTTGGAACAATTTCAGATGAAAAACTCATGAAGTAGAGGAAAATTGGCATGAAGATATTTTGGCAATCAAAGAATTCCATAGTAACACCTGACACACAACACACATTCCATTAATATATTAAAGCAAATTTTTTTTTAAAGTATTTTAATTTCTAAAATTTATGAATCGATTTTCAGAACCATTTGAATTTAAGGAGCACATAACTTATAACGATTTTTATAATCCAAATAATTATGCAAGAAATGATTAATTTTATTAATTATTTTCTATATAGGGCTTATACATTTTATTTAAGAATCCTAAAGTCATTATTAAATATAGCTTAGGTAAGGATTTTTAGTTTATTTAAAAATGTTTTCAGATTAGGAATTTATTAATCAAAAATAGTAAATATATCCTAATATTAGAAAGAAATAATATAATATTATTTGAATTTATAAAATTCTTTTATATTTAGATAATCTAATCTATTGTGTTCAAAAGAAAGGTATTTTGTAGTTATTTAAATTGATAATCAATATTGAAACTATTTTGATAATGAAAAATATAAAAAATCAAAATTACTTTATCTCTAATATTTATGGAGTATCTAATTTGATTCAATAATTTTTAAAGTATTCAGAATTTATATAATTTATTAGTTTTTTGTCTTAATTTTATAAAACATATTAGGCATTTTTCTTTCTGATTTTTTTTTGAGGTATTTATTGATTCTAAATCTTAAATTATAAGGGCTTTTATTATTGACATTACACAAAATTTATTTATAATTAATATAAATAACAAATACTTATGAAATTCTTTTGCGAATGAATTTCAAGTAAATTTAATGTTGTCCTTTATATAGATTATTAATTTATTGCAGCTAGAGTTTAGGTATTAGGAAATTAAGAGTTTTTAATTGTAAATGAATTAATGATATTGATATCGTTATTTACATCCAACTTATGATATCGCAATGTATTGAGGCGTTGAAACACTTTATCTCATATTATTGATATAAATCAAATAAATATATATATGATTTTATATTTGATATTTGATTTATAAATAAAATATACTGATGAAATTTTGTAATCCCTTTTCATTAGATATATAGGATTTCTAATAGCAAATAACAATTCTCCAAGAAGTCCTAGAGAGTATCTTATTAGATTATAAAATGAAAAAAAAATATATTGTTTTTAATTATAATTTTATATAAAAATTACAACAAAACAACCCTTTTTTATAATATATTTTTGAGTTATTCAAAACTAAAATATTTGGTCGTCTTAGAATCTAAACTATATTAATAAGTTATGATGTGTTCATGTTTTATACTTATTTGAAATGAACACCTATTTTAGAATTTAAAGTAGATTAAAATTTATAAGAGAAAAATCATGGGAGATTTCAAGTTATCCACATGTTAAATTCTTTATTATCTATTCTGGAATTCAGTAGCCTCTAGCTACTTATAATATTCACCTATTTAAAGGGAACTTAAGATATTTTTTTGTTTAGATATTAAATATTTAATATATGTTCAAAGGATTATTATCCTATTATTTACTATTTGCTTTTGAAATTTCAAACATCTATTGTCTAAGAACAATGAATTTACAATATCCAGTCTATACATTCTCAATTCAGAATAATCAAATAGAAATGGAGAATGATCTCTGTGGTATTTTTGGTGTTTGGAGTAGATATATGCCATTAAGTAATATTGTTCAAGTTGGAAATATTGGAATACTTGATAGCAATTGTTTTCATCTTCTTAATGCACAAGAATAGACAACAAAAAGAATCAACTTTTTACACTACGAATGTCTTGATTTTGAAACAAAATAGATCCACAAATATGTATAATTTATAGATAATTCTGGCATTGATCATATTATTAAAATACCAATAGATGATACATTTTATGAAAATGTCTGGTATTATATTGAATTTAGACTATATCCAACTGAAAAACTATTTAAAATTCATCTCCAACAGCAAGGACAATAACCTTTATCATAAAACTACTAGATTGAAAAGCCATTTTATGATTAATACCTAATTGTTATTGTTGGAGGAGATTTGAAGATACAGAATAATTAATAACTGTACACATCTTAAAATGAAAATTTGTCCTACTTTCCAGGAAAAATNTGAATTAATGATATTGATATCGTTATTTACATCCAACTTATGATATCGCAATGTATTGAGGCGTTGAAACACTTTATCTCATATTATTGATATAAATCAAATAAATATATATATGATTTTATATTTGATATTTGATTTATAAATAAAATATACTGATGAAATTTTGTAATCCCTTTTCATTAGATATATAGGATTTCTAATAGCAAATAACAATTCTCCAAGAAGTCCTAGAGAGTATCTTATTAGATTATAAAATGAAAAAAAAATATATTGTTTTTAATTATAATTTTATATAAAAATTACAACAAAACAACCCTTTTTTATAATATATTTTTGAGTTATTCAAAACTAAAATATTTGGTCGTCTTAGAATCTAAACTATATTAATAAGTTATGATGTGTTCATGTTTTATACTTATTTGAAATGAACACCTATTTTAGAATTTAAAGTAGATTAAAATTTATAAGAGAAAAATCATGGGAGATTTCAAGTTATCCACATGTTAAATTCTTTATTATCTATTCTGGAATTCAGTAGCCTCTAGCTACTTATAATATTCACCTATTTAAAGGGAACTTAAGATATTTTTTTGTTTAGATATTAAATATTTAATATATGTTCAAAGGATTATTATCCTATTATTTACTATTTGCTTTTGAAATTTCAAACATCTATTGTCTAAGAACAATGAATTTACAATATCCAGTCTATACATTCTCAATTCAGAATAATCAAATAGAAATGGAGAATGATCTCTGTGGTATTTTTGGTGTTTGGAGTAGATATATGCCATTAAGTAATATTGTTCAAGTTGGAAATATTGGAATACTTGATAGCAATTGTTTTCATCTTCTTAATGCACAAGAATAGACAACAAAAAGAATCAACTTTTTACACTACGAATGTCTTGATTTTGAAACAAAATAGATCCACAAATATGTATAATTTATAGATAATTCTGGCATTGATCATATTATTAAAATACCAATAGATGATACATTTTATGAAAATGTCTGGTATTATATTGAATTTAGACTATATCCAACTGAAAAACTATTTAAAATTCATCTCCAACAGCAAGGACAATAACCTTTATCATAAAACTACTAGATTGAAAAGCCATTTTATGATTAATACCTAATTGTTATTGTTGGAGGAGATTTGAAGATACAGAATAATTAATAACTGTACACATCTTAAAATGAAAATTTGTCCTACTTTCCAGGAAAAATTAGAGTGCAAGACTTTTATTAATCTTACGTTTTAGAATATTGTGAAGATTATAATGAATTTATTGAGGAGAATTATGGTGCTTGTGAATGTAGAATAAGTTATAAAATACCAATAAATGATTAGATAATTTCAAAATAAGATAAATTATTTTTTATTTCAGAAAATATCAATTGTGAGACATTTTTACTATCTGGTTGGATTAAAATTAATGATATCCATACTTATGTTAAAGAATTTGATTATAAGTTTTTGAAATTATTTGGAAATTTTATGAAACCTTAATTAACAGATGATAATTTGGCTGCATTTTAATTAACCTATAGGATATCTTCAAATGGAAATTAGATAATAGTAAGTACTTATAGTTATACTTTTCCAACAGTAAATATAGATTTTTCAAAAAATTCCTTTTTAATTGAGGAAGTTTTCAACTTTGCTAGTAATATTAAACTATGGCACTATTTGGTAGTTAGAAAATATAAAACTAATATTAATATTTAAATAACTTTTTATGAAGGATATCGATAAGAGAAATTCGAGTTTAACAAAGAAGTAAAGTAATTTAATTTACTCTAATTTAAATTATTATACGGCAATTTATTTTAACTATCATCAAATTACTTAAAATTATAGATATAAGGCTTTTAATTTTAGAATTGTCCTGATTTTTAAGAATAACCTATAGACTGTCATGCTACTTGTAAGGAATGTGATGGTCCAACACAAAATGATTGCTTATCGTGTTTTGAATCATCAAATAGAATATATTTACCAGAATTTAAGTAGTGTCTCTGTAAATATGGAATGATTGACCAGGGATATATTTGCATAACTTAATAAAGTCTAAATTTAACAACAACTTCAGACTAATTCACTTATAATGGTTGTAAATATGGCTATTATGAAATGGATGGTATTTGTGAGAAATGGTATTAAATATTATTATTCAATTAGTCCATCTATTATTTCTAAAAATCTTGTCACATGTCTTGAATGCCTATAGAATACTAAGGAATGGCTTAGTACTGGTTGTTGTGAAATAATTATTTATTCTGACAATGAAGGAAATACGCTAAAATAATTTGAGGAATTTGGTTGTCATTTTTTGAGTGGAAATAAAGTTCTAGATGAAGATATTTGCTTAAGTTGTGATATCATGGAACCTGATATTAAATATCCATATCCAATACCACGACTAGCTTATTGTTATTAACCCTATTATAGAAATTTTGAGAAAAAATGTATTCTCTGTGATATCAAATATTGTGTATATTGTTTTTAATATTTTGAAAGTGATTAAACAAAAACAACTCTAGATTAAGTATTTGATTATGATATTGTTGGAGAGGAAATTAAAACTGGATGTGCATAATGTATTGATGGTTTCATGTATAGTTTTGAAAAAGAATAATGTATCTATTAAAATCCTTCTATTCCAAATTGCCTTAGAGCTTATGTTACTAAAAGTGGATCTGAAATTTGCACACTGTCTTCAATAGATGACTTTAGTGTTGCTCCAGAAATTATCAATTGCCAACATCTCATTTTAAACTGCAAACATTGTATCTAAACTCCAGAAATGATAATAAGATGCGTAATTTGTGAAGATGGGTATAAGGCTTCAGCAATTACAGGGATTTGTACAAAATGTTCTTTTCTTGAAAATTCCAAAGTATGTGTTGAATGGAACTAATATAATCTAGAACCTTGGAAATGGTTTATTCAAAGTTTTAGAATTAAATTTCTAAATCTTTAAAATTTTTATAATGTAGGGATATTAAGAATACCAGTAGAATATGTCTTAGAATGTCTAGATGGATATAAAGTTATTAATAATGAGTGCAAGAAATATTGTAATGATAATTGTTTAGTTTGCAAAGCAAATACATTAAAGAGTTATTTTTATTGTGAAAAATGCGGCTTGAACAAATACAAATAGCCGATTAGATTTTAAAATAATGGTATATGTATTGCTTGTTCTTCATTATGCTAAGCCTGTGAAGAAAGATCAACTGAAGAAATATAAGTATAATATAAATATAGTGTAATAGAATATAAATTCGCAGTTTGTTAGAACTTCTGAGAGCTCCATATACACCTTAAAATGCCTTCAAAAAGTTCCATTACCAAATATTACAATTGATCCTATTTTATCAATTGCATACTATTGCTTTAATGAAGATTGTGATCGCCTTTTAGAATATACTGTACTTTATTTTTTTTTCCTTTAGGTTTTAAGTTAAATTTTTGATTATATAGAAGCATATTTTAATTATGAATATTTTAATGAAATTGGCCTTTAACAGATAGCATTAATCCTGAAAATGAATTCAGAATATGCAGATCGATATTATCCTACATTTAGTAATGATTTAAAAGAAAAAGTATTTTCTCTTTAATTGGTTTAAGTGAGATTAGAGGGAGATCTATAACCGATTAATTTTAGTCCTTCATTCAAGATTCTTAATTGCGATGAAATTACAATTAAATAAATAGTTTATAATATTCAAACTAAATTAGAATTAACATTTCAAAATAGAGAATAATCTATAAGTGTTAACATTATTGATATAAGCTTTTATTCTGATCAAGCTAATCCAATTTAACTTTAAATTATTGAAGATAATAATCTCAATTATAATTTATAAAATGTACTTATTTATGATGCAAATATTTACAATTCTTCAATTTTTTCAGTTACATAAACTGATTTAGAAGGCATTATCAATATAACTAATTTAACACTGTCAAATTGTAGCTTTTAAAATTCGACTTTGCTTTTTTTCTCAAATTTTAATAAGAAGATCATAATTGATAATCTAACAATTAATTCTTGTCAGTTTTATAACTCATCAATAATTAGATTCAATTTCACATCTTTTTATTTTGCTGACATAATCATCAAAAATGTCAATATTTAGAACTCATTGTTTCAAGATTCAATATTTTTATACAACAATGCAAATTCAAGTGTAAAGATTAATTAATTTTTACTTCTAAAAAGTTAAATTAATGGTTCAAGGTTTATCTCATTCAGTAAGGATTTTTAGTTTAATAATGCTTTATTGAAGGAAAATCTACTTAAAGATGTTTAACTTCTATTATAATTATCATTAAGTTTTTTGAATTCAAAGATTATGATTGATAATTTTAAAATTTTGAAGAATGAATTTTTTAATTTCTAAATCTTTAATACAGAATTAAATTAAGTAATGAATTAAGTTCATTCAACATTATCTTATTTTTAATTTGAAGATAATTTACCTGATCCTCAAGAAAATTAGTTATATCTTTTTATTATTACATGTTAACACTTATTGATATCTAATGTTTTATTAAAAAACACTTAAAATTTTAGGTTTTTTTCTTTCATTGCTATTCCTACAATAAGAATAGAAAATATTATTTATGAGAATTAATATTAGTCAGAGAAAGTACCTTTTACTATTGAATGTTTGTAAAATAGTGCAACAAACTCATAGTTGTTGTAAGTTCAAGGTTTCTCAAACATTATGTTACAATATATTTAAATTAAAAATTAAATCAGTATAGATAAATCTATAATTTCAATATAATCTAATCCTTTGGTAGATTTTAACCAAATTGAATAAATATTATTTAGAGAAGTGACCTTTATCGGAAACATACTGCTAAAAATAAACTTAGGAATTTTTTTTTCCTTATTTGAAATCTACTCAGAGAAAACTTAAAAAATAACTATAGAGAATATAATATTTTAAGAAAATATATTTCATTCATATGAAGCTGATCCATCAGATAATTCTGCTAGTCTGGCTCATATTGAATCAGGAGAAAGTAAAATAAGGATAAGCAATATCCTTTGTTCTAACAACACTTTAACAAATTCATCTAATTCATTTATTTCTATCATTTCAGATGAAATTTCAGTTGAAAAATTTTAAACTTTTAATCATAATTATTTAGATGTTAAATTATGGTAAAAATATTATTAATTGCAAATTCATAGTCAATTTAATTAGAATCAAATTATTTATCTTATCAAGAATACATATAAAATAGATACTATCGGAGGAGGTCTATCAATTACGGCCTCATAAATATAATTTAATAATGGTTTGTTTAATAATATCATTGCTTCAAGTAGCTTAATTTTTAAAATAAACTTAAAAGGCAATGGAATTGTAATTATAAAGAATTGTGATATTGCTTATGCTTAAGCTTAATTAACTTCTACAACCTAAGTTAATGGAGCCATGACAATTGATGCTAGGAGAAGCTTATTAATAATTTAAATAGAAAATTTAAACTTAAAATATGTATAGAATAAGCTATCATCTTCAATCTTTTCTATAACTCCATCATTGATTAAGAATAAGATAACTTTAAAGTAAATATACGCTTTAAATTGTTTTTCTCTTTTAAATCAACTTTTACATTTAGAGTTTGATTATAAAAATGCTGAAAACAATATAGTAATTATAGAAAATTTACATATTTTATAAACTGAAGCTGCCTTTATGCTTTATGTTTAATCAGTTGGAAAACTAAACCGTATAGATATTGAAAAAGCAATCTAAGATAATGCTATCTTAAATATGATAGGTTGTTAGGCATATATTAAATAAGTTTTAATCGAAGGAGTGTTGTCATCATCTATTTTAAAAATAGTAGATTATGCGAAGATTGTCCTTACTAATTTCTAATTTTAGTATATTTCAACTTTTTATCCATTACATTTAATAGATTTATCTTAAACCAATGTACTTTAATCAGATTTAATGCTAAACAATTTTTCAATATAGAATGGGAACTCATTTTAGTTCAATAAATATTAGTTAAATTATTATTAGAATAATTTAAATGTTGATTAATAAATTAAATAATGTACATTAATAAGTGATTATGTAACAGATCAATCATCTGACTCAGAATCTATTCATATATTTTTTGAAGAAATGATTTAGAATTCTAATCAAAATGGTTCGTTAATACGTATAAATAGTATAACTAATTAAACCCCAATAACAGTAAAAAAAATATTAATTCAAAATAATAACTGCGAACATTGTTTGAATGGTCTATTGTATTTTGAATTAGTAGATTTTAAAATTATTAAAATTTAATAAATTTAATGCGTATTGAACTTTATTAAAAGAAATGGGTGTATTTTAGCAATATCAAAAAATAGCTTAGATAGAAAATTTATAATTGATCAATCAACATTTATCTCAAACTAAGGAACTTAAGGAACAGGAGTATAAGGTTAAAATATAAGAGTTGTTTTAGCAAACTCCAGAATTATTAATAATGTTGCTTCCCAAAAGGGGGGAGGAATTTATTTTAATCCAATTTTAAGTAGTTTTTTATTATATTAAACAGTTATTTGCTAGAATTCAGCTTAAATAGGAGGGGGTGTTTACCTTGAGGGGAATAGCAGTTTAAGTAATTATAATTTTATATAATCACTCATGATTTAAAATTCAGCTCAAGTATCTTCAAATAATCTTTATGAAGTACCCTCTCATTTAGCTTTGTAGATTAATTATTAAGTAATGCATTCTCTGAAATAAGAAATTGATAATCAAATAATTTATCTACTATAATTACATCCATATAAAATTATCTCTCAGAATCAAGTGATAACAACAAATTATTTAACTATACCAAGTGGTTAAATGCTGGCAAATTATGAACTATATAATCCTAAACTAAGGAAATACATATCTTACCTAAAAGAAATTTCTGTAATATTTAAAAATAGTCGGAATGAAAAATAGCATAGCATTATAAACTCAACATGCAATTTAACCTAAGAAATTTATGATATATAATCTTAAATAGCTTTAGATAGTTTATAATTATATAGCATTGGCTATAATTCAGATACAAATAAATTTGATATAGGTTCAACAAAGTTCAATTTTGATCCATATTAATAAGAATCAAAAAAATATGAAATTTTGGTAGAATGTAAAACAGATTATTAATATAAAATTTTATCTTATAAAATGAGAGTCAACAGCTTTTTCTGTTAATTAGGTGAATTTTATATTTCTGAGGGTTGTTAAGCATGCTAATCAGAATAAGGGTTTTATTCTGTAACATACAACAGTACAAAATGCTCAATTTTTGATAAAACTAAATTTGAGGCTATAACAACTAATTAAATTTTATTAAAGCCTGGTTATTGGAGACCAAACTATATTTCCGATTATGTTGAACTCTGTTATAAAAACATTTACTAGTGTAAAGGTGGTTGGTCAGTCGGAGACGATATTTGTAATAAAGGTCATATTGGAGGATTGTGTGAGGAATGTGATAATTTTAATATTAAAGGAGATGGATAATTCTTTAAGAATTAATAGCAATTAGATTGTTAATAATGCCAAGAGTTGTCAAAAAGAGTGATAGCCTTTCTATTGATTTTAATTTGGTATAAACTCTTATTAATTTAAGGGCTCTTTTATCCACTTTATTAACAATAAGGAGTATTGAAAAATCTAATTTACTATTTAGGTATCTTAAATTAAAATTAAAATTTGCAGATATCCTATTCAATTTAGATTAAGGTAAATAATATATTAATTTAGATCATGAAAGTATATTGCTTAAATTATATTTAAATTATTTATGGATATTTTCACTTATCTTCACATTTAACATTAATTTTTCATTCTCTTTGAGCTTTCTTAAGTAATCTAGTGATACTACTTATTTTATGGCTAATTTTTTTGAATGTTTTTTATCTGAAATAGAAGGCATTGAATTGATATATAGCAGAATTATACTTACTGTTGGATTAATTATAAGTTAAGTGTTAATAATCTAATTTGGGTTTGCTTTATTTTCCTTTTTCACAGCCTAAAAATATAAAAGTAGAATTATGTCCAACACAATTCTTTATTTGTATATTTAAAATTATGCAACATTAATTAAATAGTAAAATTAATTTATTATTATTAGATTCTTTTCTACTTTAGCAATTAGAAAGATTTCCTAAATTGACTACATATAAGGTGATGTATCTTTACTTTATGGATCGAATAATCATTTTAATTGGATATATGCTTTTATAATCCCTGGTTCAGCATTATTCGGATTAATAATACCTTTATCATTATATATCTTTCTATATTTAAAGAAGAATGATCTAAACAAAATTAAGTATAGAAGTCATATTGGATATTTATTCAACGAATATACTAGAAAAAATTATTTTTGGGAATGGATAAAACTTTGGAATAAAACTATTATAATCATTATTTTAATATATTTTGAAACTGATATATCATTAAAAGCTTCATCGTTAGGATTGTGTTTATTAATATACTAATACTTATCCCAGCATTTCAAGCCTTATAACCTCCAAAAATTTAATTTATTAGACATTCAAACTGGATAGCTTTGTTCTAGCGCAATATTTTTTGCAGCCGTCAAATACATATGCGATTAATAAGAAAATTATACCCTTTCATCCCTCATTTAAACCATCATAATACTTATTAGTTTAATCTTAAGTTACCCTTTTATTAGAGGTATACTAAAGGTTTATTTCAAAAAATATAAGCCAGGCGTTTTCGAAATTATGCTTACAATTTGTAAAAAATGTTATCCAAATTCTAAATTTACAAAATATTTAAGCTTAAGACTTATAATATTGAGATAGAGAGAGAAGAAAATTAAGAGCCACTTTTAAAAAATGAAATAAGCCTTTAAGAAAAGGAAATAAAATGAAAAGAAGCAGTAAATTGTATTATTTATTCTAGGTAAAAAATTGTTTTGAATAGTAATTTATCAAAAAATAATACAATGAATTTACTATTAATTCAAAGTCAGAAAAAGGAATTTGATAACTCCTGATACATTAGATTATTATTAAAGAATATTATTATCTTTTTGATAATTTAAATCGGCATAATAGTTAAGTTGTCTAATTAATCTCATTATGGTTTAAAATAAAATCTATTTTCATTTATTATTGAAATTAAAAAACAAAACATTCTATGGTGAATTTATTAAAGAAAATGATATCAAAATTAAAAATTTTTCTATTTAAGGTTTAATTCTCTTAATCGATTTGAATATTCTCACTAATTTTGGATAATATAATTGGCTTATTATTAATTCAATATATTTTACTTTTTATGTCATTTGATAATTCAAAATGGTACTTGAAATTTCTTAGAGTGAGATTCTTGATCATTATAAAAATCATTTCATTTATTTTTAAAACCATCTTTATCATTTCTAATTTGTAACTACTATTAATGGGTCTAAAACCATAATTGAACTAATAGAATTTTTTATTTATAATTTTGATAATTCAACATCAAATAATTTAATGATAAAATTTAAAATAGTAAGTAGCCATCGATTTCAAATATTTAGCTCTATATTCTTTTTTTAGAGTACTGAGTAATAATTTACTACTTTAAGATTCAAAATTAAATTTGATAATAAATAGTTACTTTAATTTAATTAAGGTATTTTTTGCTAAATTTTAAAGGATTTTAAGATTAATTTTTCCATTTTAATTTCGATATTCTCTTCGTATTTCTCATTAATCAGAATAATATTCAAATAAAGAACATAATTTTAATTTGATTGAATATATATACTATGATTAAAAATTTTTAATTTTATAACTTTCATCTAATTAAAATAACTTTAGTATATGATTTAATTAGTAAATGTGATATCCTTAATGCAATATAACGAACTTAATTTATTTAAAAATTTGTAATCTATTAAATGCTCTATCTTGAATACTTAATTGAAAATAAAATTTTTCTTAAAAATAGTTTCAAGTAAGAAAAAACAATTATCAAACGAAAAAAAGATATATTATGGTTACGAGAAGATAAATCAATTACATGATTGCAAAAATAAATATGACTATTTAAATTAAATTATTTCAAATTTCTTAAAAAAAAGGTATCATCAAATTTATTTTATAGGGTTTTATTTGTTATGAATTTTTAGCAAACATTGAAATAACAACTAATTTATATAAATATGTTTATTTTCATAAAACTCAAATTTAAACTGCGTTTTATTCTGACTCTAGCAAATGTTCCAATAGATGGGCTCCCTTTTTTTTAAAATGAATTCTCATATCCATTCCCAAATGATTGGTGAATGAACCTTTTTGTATTTGCGTTCCTTATGCTTCTAAAAGTCCTTGTTGGGAAATAAGTACAATTGTAAGAATATTACTAACTAAAATATTACTAATACTTAATTTTACTGATTCCTAATGGGTCTTAATAATCTGAATTCTAAATTAGTATATCTTAATTAGAATGGATAGAAATTTGATTTGATAATGCATCCTTTATATCCCATATACGAATTGATTTATCTGCGCTCCTGGATGCTAATGTAAAACCATCAGGGGAGAAGCATACCGAAAGAACTTAATTAACATGTCCGTCTAATTTAAATTTTTCTTCTCCTGTCTTAACATTCCATAGTCGAATAGCATTATCCCATCCACCAGATGCTAAAATAGTACCATCAGGAGAAAAGCATAGTGATTATACTTATTTTATATGCCCTTTCAATTGTAATTTCCTTTATCCTTTCTTAACGTCCCATAAGCGAATAGTATTATTCCAACTACCAGATGCTAAGGTATTTCCATCAGGAGAAAAGCATACTGAATAGACAAAATTATTATGTCCTTCTAATTTAAATTTCTCTTATAATCTTCTAATATCCCATAACTGGACAGTATTATCCCTACTACCAGATGCCAATATAATCCCATCAGAAGAGAAAGATACCGAAATAACACTATCACTATGTCCTTCTAATGATGACTATTTTTGTCCTTTCCTTAAATCCCATAAACAAATTATATAATCAGAGCTTCCAGAAGCTAATATAGTACCATCCGGAGAAAAGGATACTGAATTTACATTCTCACTATGTCCTTCTAATTGTAATTTTTCTTGTTTTGTCTTTACATCCCATAATCGAATAGATTTATCAGCACTTCCAGCTGCTAATATTGTACCATCAGGAGAGAAACATACAGAATAGATGCCATCACTTTATCCTTCTAATTTTGAGTTTTCTTGTCCTGTATTGACATCCCATAAACGAATAGTGTTATCCCAACTACCAGATGCTAGTTTTATTCCGTCAGAAGAGAAGCATACCGATAAGACGTAAGAATTATGTCCCTCTAATTTATATTTTTCTACTTGTGCCTTTATATCCCATAAATGGATAGTGCAATCCCTACAACTATATGCCAATGTAGTACCATCTGGCGAAAAGCACTCTGAATTGATACTTTCATTATGTCCTTCTAATTTTTATTATTCCTTTCCTGTTTTTAAATCCCATAAACGAATAGATTTATCAGCACTACCAGATGCTAATTTAGTACCATCAGGGGAAAAGCTTATTGAGAAAACACTATCATTATGTCCTACTAATTTTGATTTTTCTTGTCCTGTCAATAGTATTATCTGAACCTCCAGATGCTAATGTATTGCCATCTGGACAGAAACAAACTGATTATATATACTACGTTTATTTTTCAAGTTTAAATTTTACTTAATTTGTTTTTACATCCCATAAACGAATTGTATTATCCCAACTACCAGAAGCCAATAGTGTACCATTAGGAGAGAAGCATACAGAATTCACCCAATGGCTATGCCCTTCTAATTTGGATATCTTTTTTCCTGTCTTTACATCCCATAAATGGATGGACTTCTCTGCACTACCAGAAGCTAACATAGTGCCATCAGGAGAGAAGCATACTGAATTGACATCGCTACTATGTCCTTCTAACTTATGCAATTCATTCATTTACAGATTTTTCCATTTGCAATTGAATAATTGCGCACCGTTCAAATTAATTCCATTAATTTTTACATTTTCAAATTAAGATTCACTTAAATCACATTTAACAAAGCTAGCTCCTATTAAAGAAGTATTTTTGATCTTGATATTCCTAAAGCACAGGTTAGTCAGATCAACTTTCATTTCGACTAATAAATTAAGAAAATTAGAACCACTTTGAATGAAACTTTGATCAAATGCTGTGAGATGAACAATAAATTTTAAGAATTCTATAATATTTTTTTCTTAATATATCTATTAAATTAATTGTTTTCTAGTTTCCACATAAATTTCGGCGGAATAATTAATTAAATTTAGGTCATGTTATTTTAACATTCTTACAATATTAGTAATATTCTTTATGTTGTTTTCTATAATATTCAATTTCTATTGTTTATCATAGAGAGATAAATTATCTAGCTAAATACAGAATTTGTAATGATTTTGATTTACATCATTTTAAAGAAACCCTAAACAATCTATAACTTTCTCGTATATGAAAATTTTAATCAACTTGCTAAATATTTTCACATCAAGATCCTTTGACAATACTAATAATTCATACAGGTCGGCTGAAATTAAAAATTGCTAGATAGATTTATGAACAAATTAAAAGTTAGCTCCTTTTTATTAGATTAATGAACAACTTCTAATATCTATTTTATAAGATCCATCTTAACCATCATCATTAAAGAATTCATTTAACCATTTTTCTTCCTCATTTTCAACTTTATACAATAACCCTTATTATTTATATTAAACTTAAGTCACTTCTTTAATGCTCATTTATTTTGCCAGCTTTATTGAATATTTATATAGATCATAAAGAAAACGGTCAGTATTAATAGATTTTCCTAAATTCCTCTATTTTTCAATTTATTTCAAATGATATTATTTTATAAACTCATCATAAAAGTCATAACTGGTGAGATTTTATTCTTTTAATGCATCACATATCAACTCAATCAATCTTTCAAAGTTTATTTATACTTTTTAAATAATTTCATCTTTTATTCCTAGAATATTTTTATAATTGTGTTAAAATATCTTGATTAACTTTATATTTAGTTCATTAATTTCTTAAGATATCTAAAATTGATTTGGAATTTAATTTTCTTCCATCTTATTCCAAATTTCAATTGCAGTTTAAATGTAGTCATATTTTTCAATAAATTACATTTCTAGTCTACTAGCTTCTTAATTTTAATTATGATTAGCATACATTTTAATTAGGTATTCACTTTTTAATAATTCTCTATACATTTTTGAGAAATTCTTAATAAAGTTTTATTTTAAGTTGATAATTTCAGTTTTTTTCACCATCATCAAGGGCAATACTGAAACAATTATCTCCATCATGTAAGGGGTTTGTATTAATTTATCCAAGTTTATCATCTTTATCATATTTTCATACTTTCTTACACTCCATAGTTTTTACAACTTAAAACCAAGACTTCTTATAGCTTCAATACTTTTTAAAGCAATATGATTATCATTTTTCAAAAACAAGAAAATATTTTCTATTTATTTTTGGTTCAATAGTGACTCAGAATTTACATTTGATATAAATTGTTTCAAAACTTCTGCGTGTAATTTTTCCCAACTTTTTTCAAAATTTTAGAAATCAATAGAACTTTGATATTTCATTTATGTTTGCCATTCATATATTTCAAAAACAAGGACTTTAATACTTAATAATGTGAATTTTGTTAGATATTCTTTTTTTTACATTTCATCAAATTTTAGAAGCTAAACTTCTTTTATTTATTTTTTATCTTCTGGCACAAACCATTCTTTATAATTACTAGTAGTAAGAATTTCACTCCTTGTAGTAAAAATAACCAGAGGATTTGACCAATTTTAATTAAGTTTGTTAGTAGAATATAAATTTTTTTAATATTCTCTAATTTCATTTCATCATAACTATCCATTATAAATAAGAATCGAAACTCTTTCTTCTCAAGCATTTCTTTACATTCTTTTAATTAGAGATTATCAAAACCATATTCATCCTAGTGAAGAGTTTCCTCTACAGCTTGGAAAACAGGATTTTTTAAAAAAGGTAAGGAAATATAAACAGGTATGAGTATTTGATTACTAATTTTTATATTGTTATCATGCAATTTCCAAATAAACTCTTCTAATTTCTTAGCTGTTGTACTTTTACCTGATCCAGCAACTCCATGAATCAACAATACTGTCTCCTTCTCATCTAACAAAAATTCATTTACCTCACCTACTTTATCATCAAATTATTCTAAATTTATTAAACTACTAGGATTCAATTAACCTTTTTCTTAAGTTTTTAATGGAATATAAATAGACTTTATATTTTTTTATGCCGCTTCTTTTAATACTTTCCATTTTCTAATCTCAAATAGTTAATCAACTGATTTTCCTCTCAAAAATTTGATATCATTGCCCATACTATTTAATTATTCTTTCATAATATTAATTTTTCTCTCAAATCTTGTTAAACCCTTTCTTATATAATTTAAAAAATCTGTTATTAATTTAAGTTATTAACCCATATCACTTATATTTTCAATATATTCATCAAGTTGTTAAGTAGTTTAATCTAATTTCTACAATTATTGATCTCGTTTATTGTGATTAATTTCATGAGAAATTTATTCTTACAAATCATCAATTTTATTTAGCATATTTTACATTTCATCTGCTATTCTATCATGTTAAGTCTTCCAATCTTTCTGCAGTAATTGCATCTGCAAACTTATAATTCTTTTGTTTTTTAATAGATTTCTAATTCTTTAATCTTTTTCTTTAGCCCAAATTTAAATGAGGGCTTTTTGACAAAATGAAATAATTGTATCTGTGAAGCAATTTGATGAAATCTATATTATTGCAAATACCAATCCTTCTTTAATTTTCCATTCTTCATTTTTTTTATTATGTTTTAATTTTTAAATCCAAAAATCTGATAAGAGTAACTGTTAATTTGATTCCCCATCAATTTCTTATGTTAAACCATCTAATTAATTAATATTATAAATTTGTAAAACATAAAATTCTTATTCAATAAACAGTTCTTATAATTTATAACTTTTCTCTTCTAATTGGTTTTGAATTTTGACTTTTTATTTATTAAGTAAATCATAGATATTAGGCTTACCTCCATCTTTTTTAATTTAAGTTATATCTTATTATAAATCTATTAAGATTCTTTCTAAATAATTAAGGGAACTTTCATTTTCTTAAATATCTTATTTTAGATTTCTGATTGTATATTATAATTCGATAAAGTTGTTTATTTATTTTTAATAAGATAAATTAAAAAATTTTGTTATATCTTTCTATTTTTCTACATTATAACTCTATATAAGATTAATATAACTTGAAAAATCTACAATTTCTTATAGAAATAAGACTAAATAGTTTTTCTATTCTTTGATTAATATTTACTAAATTTGTAAAATCTTTAAAATTATATTGATGCTATTAATATAATTCTTTTGATTATTTTATTAAATTTTATTTTCCTGATATTTTAACAAAATGTAATTTTATTAGTTTATTATTTCTCTTAATTTTCCAAGCTCTTCAATAATAAGTATCTGAAATATTTCAAAATTTTATTTTAGTGCCTTATTCAAAATTTATACAATTATTTATAACTAATTTATTATTTTTTCTAAGTTGACTACAATTAATTTTTTATTGTTATTGGTTTCTAATAATATTTTAAATTATTTCAAAAAATGTTCATACTTTTCTAATTCAAATTTTTAGTATTATTGATTAAAACTTACTTCATTTGTTTTTTTCATTGTTTCATTTATTAATATAATTATTTTCTACATGTTTTCAATCAATTAATGTAAAGAAGCTTCTTCAAAATCTTCTCCAAACTCCTTTTCAAGTAACTTTAAATCTGTAATTTCTGAATCATTTTATTATTCTTCCAAATTTAATATCACTATTAAATATTCTATTAATCCTTTTGAATTTGAAAATTTATTTTAATATTCATTTTGGATCATTTTCATACTTTCTAATTCACTTCTTGTTTAGTTTTATAAATTACTATTACATTTAATAATTCTCTTAGGATAATCGTTAATTACATCAAGTAGAAACTAATTCAAATTAATAGCATCTTATAACTATAATAATTATTCTGATTAGGCTTATGTTATTATATTTTTGAAGGAGTCATTAAATACCGTGAACATTAATTACAACTTTAACATTTTAAATTTAAAGTTATAAATCTATTAAATTGATGATCGATTAGAAAATAAATATTAAATATTAAAAGGTTATTCATTAGTTTAATTAATAGCCTCAATTTCATATTTATAGTTATTATTTCTTTAAGAATCTTAATTATTTTATCAAATTCTAAGTTTATATCTTCACCTATTGTTTAATAATACATAATAAGATTATTTGATGAATCAATAAACATTAAATTAAATTACTGTTTTGAATTGCAAACTTCTCTAAATCATAGAAGTAGATGGTAAAAAAGAGAGTTTAGAATATAAATTATTAGCAAGTTACAATTTTTCATCTTAGAGATCATTAAGTTTTTTTATTTCCCTTATAATATACTATTTTTCTTATTAAAGTATTTCGATATCATCAATTTTATCACTATTTTTCAAAGTTTGACTTTTTTCATCATCCATTTTTTCTTTAAATTCTTAAATTTCTTATTATAATATTAATTCTAATAGTTTCATCAAATATTTCAATTTTTATAAATTATTAGATTATTCCATCTTTTTTTATTATTAGAGAAATTCAACATTAAAAAAGTTTTTAGATTAATTAAGCTTAATAATTTTTAGTATATTAAATGTGTTTTGATAATATTCTAAGAGATTATTAATTAGCTTTTCGATTTATTATTGGCAAGTGACTTAAGTTATCCTTGTATTAGCTTTTTTATTTTTTGTAAGATTTTACCAGCATTTAAGTACGATTCCAAGCTTTTCAACATTTTATTTAATTAATAATAGTTATTTATTTGGGAGAATGAAACCTAAAAACTTTTCAATTTTATTAATTGCATAAATATCATCCCTGTTGGTATTTTTACCATTTAATTCTAGTTTACATTTTAAATATGATCCAAAGGTGTATTAATTATTTTCATTTTAATCATTCATTAATAATTCTTTAAATTAAATAAAATTTTCCCATCCTTTAAAACTGTCCTCTATTATTAATAGTTCATTTTATAATAATTTTTTATTTTAAAGTTAGTTTAATAGGATGATAGCCTAATCATGACTATGATTCACTTAAAATATAATTCCTTTTTTCTAATATTCTTTCCATTACGAACTTGATGAATTCAATTCTAAATTTAGATATTTATTTGTCTGAATTAATTTTGTTTTTGTTAACAAAGGATTATAAATGAAGATTTTTCCAATCATTTAAATCCAACAATAATGATCTTTCCAATTTTTAGAATTTTTCACTAATTTATCATAAATCATTTCCATTTATGAAAGTATTTCTTCAAGATCTTTTTATTTATAATTTTTAAAATAATTTATCACTTCCCATTATAACATATCTAATTAATAATATACTTCATATTATTTTTTCTTTTAATTTACAGTTGACATTTTTTACAAAAGACAAGCTCCTTGAAATAATAACTCTATTAAATCAACACCTTCACCCAATTTTAATATATATTTTATTATACCTTTTAAACATCCTTTTAAAATTTCTTCTTTATCTTCTTAATTTGTTGGAGCTATTTCAAAAGAAGTGTTTGTTAAATTAAGATATAGTTCCATTTAGTTTTAAATTAAATCATTTTTTTCTATTTCCATTAATTATTCTAATTCTGATGAAATCTATAAAAACTATCTTTAGGTTTCACTATTCATAAATCTCTCTTCATTAATCAAATGGAAGCTAAATATTACTTTAGATAAAGATGATGTAATCTAAAGGATATACAAACATTTAAATGGATCTGTTCTAATATACATTAAACAACTCTTTATTAGTCTAATGATTCCATCTAAAATTAGATCGTATGATTTCTTGACATATTAGGTGTTCTTATTGAGATTATAGATATTTTCCTCTTAATAAATAAACCATTGAATAGCTATCATTATTTCTTAAGATTCCTATTCATTAGCAGTCATATGAGACTTAGAATCTATTGTAGAAATATAATAATTAAATCTTGAAAAGAACTCATGAACATCTGGTTGGATATTATTGGAGTTTTATACTTAAACAGGATTCGATTTTGAATTTCCACATCCACCTCCTCTTAAAAAGGATTCTGTTACATAGTATTTTGTTAACATCTTTATTAAGATTTTTTAATAATTCGACATCGGTATTCAAAATGTATTTAAACTTAAATATATATTTATATTCATGCCTGAAAAAAATATTTACTGAAGTGATAAAACATTATACTATTCATTATTTAAATGAAAATATGATACCAATAGGAGCTTGTGATAAGGAATCACGTATAGTTATATCTCTTATTAATTTTTTCAATAATTGATATTATTAAACTCAAGATGAAACTTGATGATACAATAGTTATTGTTATTGAGGAATTCTTCATTTATATTTTTCATATGTCCATACTTAATTGATAATGGAAAATTCAAAAAATTTATTTGGAAATTCTATCCCATATTTATATAAACCTGTAATATTTCATCTTAAATATCAAATTTGGTTACAGTGCTTGTAAATATCGGCATATTGATTATCTTTTCTCTTAACATTAATTTATTATTATAATACATAAAAAATTTAATAAAAAAATTCAACCAAAATTAATATTAATGTAATTAATCGAAAAAAATCTATTTGTAATTTTTATTTTGCTTTGTTCTACTAAATAGTATATTCTACATTTTATTTCTCTTTTCATATATATTTTTAATAAAATAGGTGTTCTATTTATTTTTGATTTTATATCTATAAATATATTAATTTATTAAGAATTAACAGATTTCAAATAGAATATAATGAAAAAAGCTAAGAGTTATTTGATAATTAATATATTCAGAATTACAAGTGAAATAACAAATTTGTTATTCTATAATGTAGGTTTTTGGTAAACTTGAGATTTACTAACATTTATTTATAAATATTTTTTATATTATTGAATTTCATTTTGTTTAAGCTCTTGATATTTAAACAATATAAAATCATAAATTTGTGTTTCTGTTACATATATATAAATATATTATAATGATAATTTGTATATTAAAGAAACGAAATAATAATCTTTATATGATAATTATTAATCATCCAAAAAATACTTATATTATATACTTAAAAGGAGATAAATATATTTAAATTTAAAACATTTTTGAATATAATTCTCTGAATTAGGAAATTCTAACCAATTATATACACATAAAAACATATTCAGAAATTATTTTGATTAATATCAAATTCTTATGGAATAATTTATTCAGATAATATTAAATTGAAAAAAATCCTCCTAAAATGGTTTAAATTGTATTTTTAATCAAAAATCTATCCCATAATTTTATTTTTGCCAATTTATTTAAACAAATAAGTGACAATTAAAATAGAAAATTATTATTTTATTATCATAATCTTTTATTAACTTTAAGCTTATTAAACATTAGATGATTATTTAAAGTATATTTGCTAATATTTTGCTTAATATATAATGGTACCTGCTAATCTGTCATTTATAATTTAAAGCAATTCTTATTGAATTATTAGAGGTTTTGATATGACTAATGCAAAATTCACCCAAATATATCTATAGATTGGTGAGAAGCAATGATATAACCATTTTTATTTTATATTGATTATAAAACATGCTATGGGATTATTTTCTTCATGATTTTTCATAATAAAATTGAAGTTGTATAATAATGAAGGATAAACGCTGATATTTGTATATGATCTAAAAATATTGTGCTCTTTTGGTGTATATTCATTCCAGAAAACTTTCAGATTTGAATTTACAAATAATTATCATATATTAATAATGGGCTGACTTTCTTAATTGAATTGTTGTATTTATTCATAAAAAATCACTTATTTTTCATTTAAATTAACGCATTATGATCAAAGAAAGAGTATGTTATAATATAAGTCGATATTTAATTTTTTATTATGAAATACACCAGTTGAAAATATCAATTGAGATATCAATAATTTCTTGTTAGAAAATAGGTAGGAATGGTTTGCCAAAAAAAATTACTTAAAAATAAATGCGTATATTATCTTAATTACTCTTTAATAATAAATAATTTATCATTATATATTATATAATCATTCTTATTTTGTAATGCCTTTGAATTATATTACTTATTTAACAGTCAAAGAGCTTTTTAGTTTTCAATAAAACTTCTGGGATTTTTGTGGACTTGCAAAATAAAAATACTAGGAATTTAGAATAAAGATCCAATTTTGTTAATCCCAAAATCTGATAAGAAAAATAAAAATTATAGATGGATTGAATTAATATGAAGGATTAATTATAGTACGAGTAAACTGTAAAATAAATACAAGTCTATATAAGTAATGATTTTAAGTATCACAAAATAATGTACATATGTTAACTAGATAACGAAATAAAAAATCAATGTAATATATTGTTAAATGATAGATTATGATTCAATAATATTATATAAGATATCTATTAGTTTTCAAGCATAATTCATTAAAAAATAAATAGTTTTCCTATGCAGTCTCTGAATTTATAAAAAATTAAATAGTGTCAGATGAATTTCCTTCATACAGATTTTAAATCTGAAATAGAAGACATCTAGCTTCTAATGTATATTATTGATAAAATGTTAATTCTTGCTAGTAGTTTATTTTATATCTCCTTTAATATATTAAATATATCCAACTTTATAGTTTAATTATTAATTTAATTTTTCAGACCTTTGTTAAAAAATCATAAAACAAAAATTAATCTCTAATGCAACTTTTAAAACATGATCATATTGCCTAATTGAAAAATTTCTTATTTATTAATATCTGTTTTTGTTATTACTATTCAAAACCATTATAATCATAAGTTTTTGACAAATAAATCCTTTCACTTTTAAGAGAAAATTAAATTGATATTCCAAAAAATAAAACCTTAATTTTAGCAAAACATATTTTTATTCTTTCTGTTCAAAATAACATTAAAATTAGTCAAGGGGAAATGTTAAATATGAATAAGGAGAAATTAATAATAGGTGTTTCAAAGGATACGTCACCTACAAAAACACTCTTCGTATAAACATTAAGGTTTTAAAATATAATCAATCTAGCCTATTTTTAATGAAAACAAGCAATTATCCTAAGTTATTAAGCAAAAACATAAATTTATTGTTATAATATATTTAATAAGATTTAACGCGTATTTTTTTGTAATGAAAATGAGTTATGTTATAAAAAAATTCTTCAAATATATAATAAAAAATGCCAATTCATCTTTAATTGTTTAACTGAAAAAAATATATATTGATAATTAATTCCGAATATGACAAAACAACGAGATTGTTGTTCATAACCAATTGAATCACAAATATTGTTTTAAAAATTAAAATTAACTTAAAATCACTTCTCAAATGAATTAGGCGACTAATAATCAAAGACTTGTATTCTCAAGTGAGTTACCCGAAAATCCAATGGCAACTAAAATGACATAAAAAGAAGATAAAACTTGTGGAGGAAGATTCAGATGGAATTTAATTATTAATGTAGTAATGGTAGCTATGGCAGGCTTTCCTTTCTACCTTCCCTTAGCTGCTACTTTGGGAGTAAATTGTTTTTATGCTTCATTATGGATTTTATTTATGTTTTTAGCAGCCAATACATAATCAAAAATCCACCTAACAATGAAAAAGGTTTCTAATCAGTCTGAATAACCTCCAAATCCTACTCCTATCAAATTTATATTAATGACATTTATATACAAAGAACCTTTAGAATTATTATTAAAGACCCTTCAAAATATTTAACAACAAAGAATAGCTAAAGAGATAATTATGGTTGTTTGTATGGAAGAAAAAACACCAGAAAAGGAAACAAAAATTAATTCCGTTTTTGAATAATTCAAAGACTGTTTTGATTAACTAATAATCACTGTGCATCCTTATGGAACACCTGGAGAAATTCCAGGTAAATGTTCTAATAACAATTATGCCATTAGATCTGTTTTAGCTCATTTAAAAAAGAGTGACCCTAACCTTGACCCAAATAAATACTTTGTAACTAATTTTGATGTCGATACAATCTTTCATAAAAATTTTCTTGATATCTAAATGATGAACATCCTCAAAGAGAAAGATAGAAACAACTTTGTTTGGCAACCAGTTCTATTTTATAATTGGGGACTTGATAAACTTAGTTTTTTTACAAGAATTACAGGATTAGCAAGAAATATGTTAATGATGGGAGCCTTAATTCCTTTAAATATAAATATTATGAGTGTCTATACTTCTTCTTTATAATTACAAATAGAAGGTGATTTTTGTCATCCTACATATTAGATGGATGATATAATTTGCTATATTAGATGGCTTACATTAAGTAGAAGATCTCTTAAGATAAAACCAATATATTGTCCTACAATATCAGGACCTACTTCTGGTTCAAATATGTGGTAAGAATTCATTGAATGGGTCAGATAAAATAAAAGATGGAGTGTAGGATCTGCTGAAGTTTTCCACTATTTTGTAATTAAAGCACCAAGAATTAAGTTTTGCTCTGCTTTTATATGGGCTTGCAATTATCTAAATTATTATGCATCTTTTATTTGTGTTTAAAGTTTATTATTGATAACAACTACTATTAGACTCTTTGTTATGGAAACTGATCCTAAATTATAGGTATATTTTTGTATTCCTTTGATAATTGTATATATATGTCTTTTTTTCATGATGCTCATGAATAAAATTGCTGTTAAATATCTCCTAAAAGATATTGTAGTTGAAAATATACCAATTTGGAAAGATTTCATTCATTGGATTTTCAGTCTCATTGTGATGGTTGGATATGGACTAACAGTGTTTTATGGATTCTGGGAAATTTTCTTTTGTGGAAAAGGTGTATGTACTCATGAACCTTCAAAGAAGAAATTACTTGATAACATTGTTCAACGTAAAGATGAAACTGTGATAGCAATTAATGAATAACAGAATAAAATATGATGTAATCATGTATATGTAATGATAACAGAATCAATCATTTTTATGTTTTTTATTTTATTTAAATTTTGTTTTGTAATTTATTACTTTTTTCTGCATTAAAAGTTCATTTCTAACTATATTATTATGATTTGAATTTTTTCTCTATATATTTATAATACCATAATCAAATATTATCAATATAGAGATCTTGCCAGATATTGATGATAATATACAAGAATAATATAGAAAAAATAAAATATAAAAAACAATGAATTTAAAGTTAATATATTCATATATAATCATATTTTAATAACAATATCTATTTTGTTTCTCTCTAAATTTCTTTATAATTCTATCTATTCTATGACTTTAAAGTGTTACATACATTAAGATATATCTATATAAACTTCTTTTGTATTTTCAGAGTTGAAACCTGATGATATTGTTTCCAATTTTATGGTTTGAATTGTCAATACTATAAACAACATGATGGGGATATATTTCGTCTAAATAAAAATTGAGTTTTCATTAACAAATTAGACTTATTATTGGTCATCTAATAAAATCAATAATTTCAGATCCCATAAAAAATAATCTTTTTGCTTCATATATTTCTAATATACTCTCTGTAGAAGCATACATAACTTCGACCTATGCTAGTAACTTATCTCTTTTTAAATCTAAAGGTTTTAATATTAATTTACAAAGTACTTTTTTCTATTATAAACCTTGCCTTAGCTTTCGATAAGATTGAAAAGGATACAAGAATTTTTAGTTTCATTTAATTTTATTATTGAATTAAAATATAGCATAGTTTATAAGAATTATTCCCTGAAACAATACTTAAAATTAAAGCTGGAATGTAAAAGTCTTACTTAAATAATTCTTTTACTGAAACTTAACTTTATTTTCTTTGCTAAGAAAATACAGAACCTAAAATTGAAAATCATTTGCCCTCAATTAATGCTAACAAATATAAAAAACAAAGGAAGTTTATTCAAATAACAGAATAATAAAATATATAATTTTTATATCATTATGTTTCTTTAATTAATTTAAACAATTTTTAAGAAAAAACTAAAATAATTAGACTGCCTTCAAATTTTGAGGCATAATTCTTGAACTTTATGTATCCTTCATCACTAAAATCTATTTTGACCAAATCAACAAAATCTATGAACAATAGATTAATAAACCATCAAGTGAATTTCAAACACCTAATATAAATATCGAGTAATCTCATACAAACTGTCTAATGGATTTTTAGAAAACTGTTACAAAGAAACCTGTTTTTTATTCATTTAAATTTTGATAGATCATAATATCAGAGTCTAATGTATGTTATTAATCATTATTAGTGGAGCTATTGAACTTTGGAAGATGTTTGCTTTAAAAAACATATTATAATCTTCTATATCACTCAATGAAGTACTAATCAAAATTATAATTATTTACAATTTTTAATGATTAAATATTAAAGTAATTGAATAAACTAGAACCATTAAGAATATTATTTCTGATTTTAATTATAATATTTAATAGAAATAATTGAATAAATTATTTTTATATATAGAATTATTATTATGATGGTAAAAGAATGTTTGTATAAAAATCTTATTCATCTTGTGAAAGCTCAATAAAATATCATGGAATTTAATTAATCATTTTAAGTAATGTTTTTTACAAAATTTTAAAGTCATTGTTTATCAAAATTGAGAAATTAATTGTTATATATTGATCTAGTATATTTTTGAGACATTTCTGTTATTCTACCTTAATAAACAAGTAGTTAATAATAAAATATTAATTATTGGAGCTTAATTCAAGAGACATTATATATTTTCTTAATAAGAACTTATAATTATTAATATATGCAATTATTAAATATTTCATTTCCTACTTCTTTCTGAAATACAAATAGTAGATAAGAGAATTAAATGTAATCCATAATATAAATATGTACATATTGCTTAACTATATTTTAACATGGAAATGCATTAAATATTTATCCCAAATTCATTATTTCTTCAATGTTTGCAAAAGGTAATATTAATGTTTATGTAACATTTATTGGTTTTTATTTAATATTAATAAGGTTATGAGAGAAGATCACTGAAGAAGAACAAAATAGTTTTAGAATTCTAATATTTGAAAGAAATGAATATATTTTATTTTTTATAAAAATGTAAAAATTGTTGTTCACAGAAGAAGGATTACAGATAATGAGAAGTAGGAATAGCGATCCAATAAAACAGAACACTGATAGTAAAGGGATATCAATAAGACCAAAATGTTTGCGAATTCAATCATTATCAAGATAATGTAACCGTGTTAGAGTGGGGACATTGAAGAATACTTTTAACTTGTCGAGTCCTGAAAATCTTATTTAAGTTTTGCCCTTTACAAGATAGAAACATAAGGCAACTAGTATACCTTAAGTGCTTTCAGTTGATTAATTATACGGGAGATAATAGGAGGATTTGTTGTAAATGGCAGCAAGTCAATTGCATTTACCTCATGGAAGTGGGAAGGATGGAATGGGAAGACATCACTTATAATCAATTAGGTTAAGAACTGGTGATTGGTATTAATGGAAGAATATTCCAATGTTAGCATGTGTAGTGGATGATTTTTAGAAGAAGTTAAAGTATAGAAATTTGATTATAGAGATTGTAGTAAACATCTGAGGAGGAGGAACATATGAAAGTGGAGAAACGATAAATATAACATGAGTTTGAAATGAAGAAGGTTGATTAGATATAAAGAAAAACAAAGTAAAATTTGAATCAGGTTTTGGAATAGAAATCATTAACATATAATATTGATTTGGATGAGTTTTGGAAGTAGATGAAGGAAAATGTAATGAAATATATATATATAAATAAGAGTAAATACTTTTAACATCATACAGATGAGATGGCAAAGAGTAGGGCAAGTAAAAGAGAGAGATTGGAGAAATTTTAAAAGAAATTTACAGATAAAAAGTGTTATATCCCATAAATATAGAAGTAGAATGTTAATAATAAGGAAACAGCATATTATGATATATGAAAATAATTAATTATGGAAAAATTAATACCATTCATTAATGATCTGCACGTATAGAATTAATAATACCTTTCCTCTAGGATATACTGAGTTAAGCAGGATTGAGCAGTGAATTGAATTTACCATCAATAGTTGTTATTGGGTCTTAATCAGTTGGAAAATCATCTCTTCTTGAAAGTATTGTAGGTAGAGAGTTTTTGCCAAGAGGGAAAGGAATTGTTACAAGAAGACCTATAGAGATTTAATTACATTAGGTTTTGGATGCAGAATAGGGATGGTTTGAATTTATGGATAAGAAAGGAGAGAAAATATTTGAATCAGAAGATATTAGGAAATTAATAGAGTCAGAGACTGATAAAGTGGCAGGAAAAAATAAAGGAATTTCACCTGTTCCAATTAAAGTGAAATATTTTTCAAAAGATATTCTTGATCTTTAATTAATTGATTTACCTGGTATAACAAAGAATCCTGTTGGTGATCAACCATAGGATATAGAATAGAAAGTATTAGATATTGTAATGCCATTTATAAAAAATTAAAATAGTTTGATATTGGCAGTGTCTAAAGCATCTGATGATTTAGCAACATCAGATGGATTGAAATTAGCAAGAAGTGTTGATCCTAATGGTATACGTACTATTGGAGTGATTACTTAATTGGATTTGATGGATGAAGGATCAGATGCTTTAAATGATTTGCTTAATTAAACATATCCATTATAATTAGGATATGTTGGAGTTATAATGAGAGGATAGAAGGACATACAGAAGAATAAGACAATAATTGAATAACTTAAAGATGAGAAGACATTTTTTGAAAATCATAAGTTATATAAAAAGTATTCTGAGAAAATGGGTGTTAACTTTTTAGTAAAAACTTTGAATATGAATTTTATTTAACATATAAAGAAAGCATTGCCAATAATTAGAGAAACTATAATAAGTTTGGTTTAAATAAAAGAATTTGATTTGAAATAGTATGGAGATTATGATAATTTAGAAACTAAAGAGAATAAGAATTTACTTGTTTTAACTTTAATATCAAAATTCTCTAGTTCCTATAAGGATATGTTAGAAGGAAGATGTTTAGATATTACAAGTAAGGAATTAATTGGTGGATCAAGAATTATTTATGTTTTCAATGAAACTTTTAGAAGAACTATTTAGAGAATGAATCCATTTGATGTATTAAGTGATGATGAAATAAGAACTGCAATAAAGAATGCTAATGGAATTAGACCAACATTATTTGTACCTGAAGGAGCATTTGAATTATTAGTAAGATAATAGATTTCTAGATTGAGAATGCCTTCAATTGAATGTTCTCATATAGTATTTGAAGAATTAAGGAGAGTAGTAAATTAGATTTCTATTCCAGAAATAGATAGATTTGATACACTTGCTAATAGAATTTCAGAAGTAATTGAAAATCTATTAAACAAATGTTTAAGATAAACTGAAGAAATTATATCAAATTTAATTGATATTGAATTAGGATACATAAATACAAGTCATCCAGATTTTGTTTCAGGTATGGATATGGTTCATAAAGATGAACAAAGATAATAAACATAAGTGTAATAATAGAAAGAGAAATCTCCTGTTTAGAGTGAAAATGAATCAAATAGATTCTTCAATTTTTGGCCATTCAAAAATAATAAATAGACAGAATTATATGATAGTAAATTGGATAATTTAAATAAAAAGAGAAAATCAAATATTAATAATTAAAAATAATAAAAATTATAATAAATAGAGGAAAGTTAGATATTGTAATAATAATCAGTGATTAATAAGATTGTATCTGTAAATTAATAGTATTTTGTGAATGATCCAAAAAGACAATTACCTTAAGTTCCAAATACAATTAAAATAACTGAAAGACCATCTAAAAGAGAATAAACAGAGATGGATATGATAAAGGATTTATTGGTTTCATATTTTAATTTGGTTAAGAAGAATATTTGTGATTCAGTTCCAAAAACTATAATTACATTTTTAGTGAATTAATCTAGAAATTTTTGTGAAAGAGAATTGATTGGAATGTTATATAAATAAGAATTAGTAGATGAATTATTATAAGAGAATCAATTTATACAAAAATCAAGAGCAGAAACAAAATAATCTTTGATTAGTTTAAGAACATGTTTGAATTTGTTGAATGATTTGGATTCTAAATTCTGAGATTATTTAATAATAAAATTAATTGAAATTCGTTAAAAAACACATATTATAATTAATCTTTTAATTAATATTTTTATTTGTTCAATGCTCAATCCAGACCTAATCTAAGAATTTGAAATGAATGGATACAATTTACCAAAAATGGATAAAGTATAATGCATCAATCAAATTAAATACTTACTATAAACTCATCCTTTAGATTTTGACTTTATTGTAGCTAATACTAAATTAACAACCAATTAAAAGAATATATTGTAATAAAAAACACATATTTCAACTATCCTTAACTCTCCTAATGATTATAAGTTTACATGTCCACTTTTTGATTTCAAATAATTGAATGAATTACTTCCTAATAAAAATAGATTAAAGATAAATGAAATTAAGTCTAAAGTTGAAAACCTTTTAAATAATAGTCATATAGATCCACCATAAACAATTAAAAAAAGGTATAATAAATTTATTTAATATATCAATTAGATGGTGGACAGAAGATGAAGATCAATAACTTAAAGATTTAGTCTCTTAATATGGTGCTAAAAATTGGAAGAAAATAGCATCCTTTTTTTAAGACAGAACAGATGTATAATGTTTGCATCGTTGGCAAAAAGTTCTTAATCCTGATCTAGTTAAAGGTCCTTGGACTCAAGAAGAAGATGAACTTTTAGGTAAATTAGTACTTGGTTATGGTCCTAAGAATTGGAGTCAAATTGCCAAACATTTACCAGGAAGAATAGGAAAATAATGTAGAGAAAGGTATATTTAAAATATTAAATAAGATTCCATAATCATTTAGATCCAAAGATTAATAAAGAAAGATGGACAGATGAAGAGGATTAAACTATTATTGAAGCTCATAAAAAATTAGGAAATCGTTGGTCTTTGATTGCTGGATTATTGAAAGGTAGAACAGATAATTCAATTAAAAACCATTGGAATAGCACATTAAAGAGAAGACTTAAGATGTAAAATAGATGGGAAGATTTGTAAGTATTATAGAATTAAGATGATACATAAATTAAAGGAATTCCAAGAAGACATATGTAAAGAAAAATTATTTATTAAAAAACACCAGTCAAAATGATCAAACATGATCCAGTATCAAGGTAATTGAATTTTTAAACTCCATAATAATCTCCATCAAGTAAATATAGTAATTATCATTTTTATATAGAAATGGAATAAATTTCAAAGAGTTTATTTATTGTATTCCCAAATTTAAATTCAAAGTTACTAAATCTCTCAAGTTCAATTCTTATCAAATAGTTGAGTGAGTTGGTTAATTTTGATCTTGATTTCAATAAACAATATAGTTATGAATGAGTTTAATATTCAATTAAAATAATATTATAACAGAATATAATAGATTTCAGAAAACGTAATTAAAAAACAGATTCTTTTAATAAATTATAAAGATAATTAAAAATGGAATATCGAAGATTAGGAGCAACAGGTCTTAAAGTATCTGCCATTAGTTATGGAAATTGGGTAAATTCTGATGATTAAGCTACCCAAGACAGAAATACTCAAATCATATAGAAAGCATGGGAATTAGGAATCAACTTCTTTGATACTGCAGAAGTTTATGGAGAGGGCAAAGCAGAGATACACTTAGGACATGCACTTAAAACTCTAAATGTTCAAAGATAAGATATTGTTATAAGTACTAAAATTTTTGGAGGAGATGGAAATGATTTTCCAAATTCCAAATATTTATCCAGAAAACATATCATTGAAGGTATTGATTTTTATTCAATATTAGGCTTGAGAAACTCTTTAAAAAGATTGGATACTCCATATGTTGATATTGTTTTTGCTCATAGATATGATTATTCAACACCATTAGAAGAAACTTGTAGAGCATTTGATTGGGTTATCAGACATGGTTTAGCTCATTATTGGGGAACAAGTGAATGGACAGCTTAATAAATTCATTAAGCTATTGGTATTATTATTATTTATTAAATTTAGGTATCTGTGATAAATTGTCATTACATAAACCAGTTGTTGAATAACCATAATATAATATGATGGTTAGAGATAGATTTGAATGGGAATATGAAAGTGTATTTGCTGCTGGATATGGATCCACTATCTGGTCTCCATTGTATTAAGGATTGTTGACTGGTAAATACAATGAAGACATTTTGGCTGATGGAAGATTTAAGAATTCTGATAATGTATATGTTAAACTCTTTTATCAATAAATATTAGGTGATCCTGAAAGTATATTATATATTAATAATTAAATAGAAAGAACTAAAATATAAAATTAATTAAAACAATTAGGTGAAATAGCAAAAGAGTTGGGAGTCACATAAGCTTAATTATCTCTTGCATGGGCACTTAAAAACAAGGATGTAAGTACCGCCATTACATCAGCCACTAAACCTGAATAATTAGAAGAGACTGTGAAATCTGTTCAAGTTATTAAGTTGATCACCAAAGAAGTTGAATAAAAGATAGAATCTATTCTTTCAAATAAACCTACAACATCCTTAAACTTTAAGTAGATGGCACCTTATCCAACAAGAAGAGATTTATACATTTGATAATTACAAACATTAATTATCATATATAATATTTAGAATAAAATTATTATTATTATTATTACTAAAATGATATTGAGTTAAAAAAATGTTATTATATTATAAATACTGTTTATATCAATTATATTAATTAATCTTAAATATTTTATACGATTTATAATTTATATCTTTTTATGCAACCAAATATTATTAATATATATAGAATTGAAATATAATTAAAACTAATTTTTAATTTTATAGAATAATTAATTTTATAGAAATGATGTCAATATTAACTATTGCATTGTGTATCACATTCATCACTTCTACAACATTTGATCTTTACTAAATTTGTGATTGCTCATAACTAATATTTCAATATGATTGCTTAAGTGCTAGTTTGGAATGTAACTGGGATTATGATAATAATGAATGCTATGATAAACCTTGTTCAGAAATTTATTATTAAAATGCTTGCTTAAAATAATTAAAAAGGTGCTATTGGGCATAGAGTAGTTGCTTTAACTTTACTTCTTGTGGTCAAATGCTAGAATCAAAGTATAATTATGATTGTTAAGGTTAAAACTATTATTGTCCTTAGTATTATTAATACTATTGTTTATCTATAAAAGATGTTTAAGTATGTCCATCTATCACTGACCCTGATATTTGCAATTATTACTAGTCATTGTAAGGAATTTGTATATGGAATGGTTAGAGTTGTACTTTAGCATAATCTTGTACTCAATTCTTCAATAATGGCTCTAGTAATTGTCCTTGGGAATATTGTTAGCATTCATGGGATCCATCATATTAACAAGAATTTTGTTCTCCAAATTAATACAGTGATTTAAAAACCTAATCATAATGCGCTTAAGGAATATAAATTTTGGGACCTTATTTACAAAATATTATTGGATGTTATTGGAATCCTATAGTAAATCTTTGCTAAGAACGTGTACCATCTTAAATGAATTATGCAAACTGTTATCTCTACAGTAGAGGAACCTACTATTGGAACAGTAAAACTAAAGAAAATGGTGATTGTGTACCTTGCTCTTAATTTCAAGAATTGTTAATAATATCTATTTTTATTACAATTTTAATTTGAATAGCATTAAATTTTTTAAATATAGAATATTCATAAAAATAATATTTAATTATTTATTTTTCTATAAATATCAAACTCTATGATTACAAAGCCTGAATAGGTTTGGATGAGTTTTATGTAGAAATTTGTTAAATTAATAATAATAAAAATTGTAATCAAAATAATTTAAAATAAGTAAAGTTTTGAAAAGAATATTCCTCAAAAAACATCATCAAACATCCTTTTTATAGGTTTTTAGTAAAATGATCAGATTCTAAAAGACCTGCTAATTAAAAACAATTCTTATATAAAATATACTGCTGGTTAAAATTTTATTGAAAAATTACTGATTTGACACAAAAAGAAAAATTCATTCAGTGCTGCCTAAAAAAATATTCAATACTATAAATTATATATATTAAAACATTTCTTAAAATTAGGATATAAATAAGTAAACAGTATTTTTCACTAGTAAAAAGCAAAGAATTTTTGAAATTTTAGATTTCAGTTCATAGTTCTGAAGAACTTCTATTTAAAGATATGAAATATTAATCAAAATAACAATATTATTTCTCAGAAAGAGATTTAAATTCAAGAAGTAATTTAAGTAAGGCTTAAAGACAGCATATAATAAATTGAAATCTAAGGGAGCATAAGATCAAAAAAATTATTTATTCTTGACTTTATTTTGTAAAATGTTAATATAATTATGAAGAATTTTTGTTCAGTTAAAGAATTTACTTTTTAAGAGGCTAAATAACAATAGTTTTCATAGAATTTAGCCTTCAAAATCTTGATTAAGAATTTTTAATAATTTTCTTTACCTATTCTAGTAAGTGAATGATAATGAAAAAAAGTTGAAAAAGAAAATTAATAGCAAATAACTTTCTTTAAAATTCAAAAGCTTAAAACAAGGAACTTTCATTAAGTCACATTTCCAAAATATGATATAGAGGACTTATTATGACAATGAATCTTAATTATTCCTTATTGGTAATTCTTGATTACTTAATTTATTGGTGTCAATTATTTGTATATTCAATAATAATTATCATATATATATAATATATATAGAATAAAATTATTATTATTATTATTACTAAAATGATATTGAGTTAAATAAATGTTATTATATTATAAATACTGTTTATATCAATTATATTAATTAATCTTAAATATTTTATAAGATTTATAATTTATATCTTTTTATGCAACCAAATATTATTAATATATATAGAATTGAAATATAATTAAAACTAATTTTTAATTTTATAGAATAATTAATTTTATAGAAATGATGTCAATATTAACTATTGCATTGTGTATCACATTCATCACTTCTACAACATTTGATCTTTACTAAATTTGTAATTGCTCATAACTAATATTTCAATATGATTGCTTTAGTGCTAGTTTATAATGTAATTGGGATTATGATAAAAAAGAATGCTATGATAAACCTTGTTCAGATATCTATTATTAGTCTGCTTGCTTAAAATAATCGAAAAACTGTTATTGGACATAGAATAGTTGCTTTAACTTTACTTCTTGTTCTCATATGCTAGACTCAATGAATAATAATTGCAAAGAGAAAAACTATTATTGTCCTTAGTATTATTAAACATAGTGTTTATCTTTAGATTATATTTAAACTTGTTCATCTATCACTGACCCAAATATTTGCAATTATTACTAGTCATTGTAAGGAATTTGTATCTGGAATGGTTAGAGTTGCACTTTAGCATAATCTTGTACTCAATTCTTCAATAATCGCTCTAGCAGTTGTCCTTAAGAATATTGTTATTATTTATAGGACGAATCGCCTCATTACATAGACTGCTTTCCATATAAATGCAGTAATTAAACAACCTAATCATAATGTGCTTAAGGAATATAAACATTTGGACCTTATTTACAAAATATTATTGGATGTTATTGGAATCCTTAACAAAATATTTGCCAAGAATATGTACCATATTAAATGAATTATACGAACTGTTATCTTTATAGTAGAGGGACCTACCATTGGAATAGTAAAAATGAAGAAAATGGTGATTGTGTACCTTGCTCATAATTTTAAGAATTGTTAATAATATCTATTTTTATTACAATTTTAATTTGAATAGCATTAAATTTTTTAAATATAGAATATTCATAAAAATAATATTTAATGATATAAAAGGCTTATTATGAAAATGAATCTTCATTATTCTTTTTTGGTACTTCTATGATTACTTATTTTATTGGTGTCAAATATTTGCATATTTAATAATAATTATCATATATATATAATGATATAAAATGAAATTATTATTGTTATTATTAAAATGATATTAAATTAAAGGAATGTTATTATATTATTAATGCTTTTTAATCTTAAGTATTAAATGAGATTTTATAATTTATTTGAACTAATTATTATTAATATATATAGAATTGAAATATAATTAAAACTAATTTTTAATTTTATAGAATAATTAATTTTATAGAAATGATGTCAATATTAACTATTGCATTGTGTATCACATTCATCACTTCTACAACATTTAATCTTTACTAAATTTGTAATTGCTCATAACTAATTTTTCAATATGATTGCTTAAGTGCTGGTTTAGTATGTAATTGGGATTATGATAATAATGAATGCTATGATAAACCTTGTTCTGATATTTATTATTAAACTGCTTGCTTATAATAACCACAAAGATGCTATTGGAGTCGTGGTTGTTATAATTTTACTTAATGTGGTGATTTGGTCTATACTTCAAGCTTCTATTCAGAATGCCATGGATATAACTACTATTGTCCAGAATTTTAACCACCGGATTGCATAAGAGTTTATAGTATATAAAATTGTTCATCAATTACTAACCCAAATACTTGCAATTATTACTAGTCTATGGAAGGAATTTGTATTTGGACTGGTATAATTGGTTAGGGTTGCACTTTAGCATAATCTTGTGCTCAATTCTTCAATAATGGCACTAGAAGTTGTCCTTAAAAATATTGTTATTATTCATAGGACAAATTTGAAACTTGTGCTCCAAAATAATGTAGTAATTATTTAGAAGAAATTTAATGTGCTTAAGGAATATAAACATTTGGACCTTATTTAAAAAATATTGTTGGCTGTTATTGGAATTCTGAACAAAATGTTTGCCAAGAATATGCACCATCTTAAATGAACCATGCGAACTGTTATCCTTATAGTAGAGGAACCTACCATTGGAGCAATACAGATGAAAAGAAAGGTAATTGTGTTCCTTGCTCTTAATAATTATTAATAATATCCATAATTTTAACAATTTTAATATGAATTACATTATATATGATTGAAATATACAAATTAACTTATATTTATTTGAATTTTACATGATATTACTATTTAGTATCTTTAATATTTAGATGACAATATTACATTGAAGATAAAATCAATGTTACAATTATTTATGTATATTACACATATTGAATAATTATTAGTCAGTTGAGAAAATTATTCATCATTATAGTAATCAATTGATTCATTTATTCTTTGATAAAAATATTATTTCATAAATAATCACTCATTATTCATTCAAAATTCTTATTTTCCAAAAAATGATTAAAGCGATAATTTTATTTTTTTAAGCTTCTGGTTTAAGTGAGAATAAGTAAAAACTTTAGAAAATTGATTATCTTTTCAAACACATTAAAATATAAAGATTAACAAATTTTTATAAAATTGGCTCATCTAGGTGTAATACTTGTAACAATAGAGAATTATATGTATTAAAAATGATAAAATTATATTGAATTATAATTTAAGATATATATATTGAAAGATAATTAAAATATAATTTAACTATAAGTTCAACAATATTTTATATTTCAACCTGTGTAACATACAATTATAATTAAATTTTAAGTTTTATAAATATGAATTTCAACTAAAAATTTATTGATATAATAAAATGATAATAATTATTATTGAGATAAGAAAATATATAATAATACATTTAAATTAGATAGATAATCATAATCATGATGGATTTCTGCTAGACAGGGATGGGACATTGTTAAAAAATAGTTTATGGATATCAATTGTTTATTATTACAATTGATCGAGAGTAGCATTTTATAAGAAACTATTCACCTAAGAGGGACATGTTAAATCAGAAATTTATAAGGCCTTTTTGAGTTCAAAAAAATTAATATCTCTATGTTATTTATTGTTATCGAACTTGAAATCAAATATTCTATTTATGGTCATACAAATAATGAGTTATAATCTTATTCTAGCATAAAATTTTCCATCATCTGATTCTCTTTCATCTTTAACGAACTTTTCTAATTCATAATAACAATGTTATAAACATCTTCTATATGGAACTTTAAATTATTCAAAACGATTTAATTAACAGGTCTTGGGTTATAATAAATATTACATCCATAAATGCACCATCTTATATTAATTTTTTATTTAATAATATCTCTTCAAAACTAGGTTTCTTCGATTAATAATCAGCTTCTAATGATAGATTATTTAATTTTTTCTAATCTGTTGAAATTTAATATTTTAATTCAAAGATGTGCTTTTTGATTTATTTTGAATTTTTAATAAAGTTATTCCATTCATCCTAAGATACTTTAAGAAAGTTTATTTGATCCTTTATTAATAAAATAAATTCTCTTTTAATAATGATAAGCATATTCAAGAGACATAATCTAGTCCAAATTAAATATGGAGATTAGGCAATAAGATCTAAAGATTCAATTTCATTTTCCATAATATAGAATTTATAATATTGAAAATGTAATTCTCTCCATATTATAGGATAGAGTTGCATTTCCTAGACAATTATAGGGATATAATACTTCATCTGATTTATTATACAAAGACATAAAAATTGGTTACTGATCAATAGGTGGTAACAATAAGAGTTAAGATAGTTTTTAATATCTTGTGCTAAAGATTAAAAGTTTAGTTTTTTCATTAAATTCTTTAGGCTATAATATATGAATAAATGATTACAACTGCCCATTCTGGATTAAAATTTTCTCTTTTTTTAATGGAAACATTAATTTGAGCCAAACTTTATGGTTTTTTATAGAATTAACAGATATGATCATTTGATGGTACACATTTAAAGTGAATGTGTAAATCTTCAAAATTAATTCTTTTTTATTCGGAAGGATGTAACATTTTGGCAACAAGGGATGCTAATTCTTTAGGTAATTTCTTCTTATCTAATTATGAATAAAATTTATTATATTCTTCTTTTGTTTTAAAATTATTCAATATACTCGATGTTAATAATTAATAAAGTATACATCCCAATAACCACATATCAATTCCTAATGAATATTAATTATTATTAAGTAACTCTGGAGGTATTAACTGAAGGTTTGGATAAAATCCAAATACTGAGAGTATTATTTAGTTATTTTAAATGTAGATGTTTTAAATATTAAAACATCTACCTAAAATTCCTTATTGATGTAACACATACAATCCAATTAATAATTACTTAAATAAGTCAGTTATTTCTTCTACTGATAAGTTTGCTCTGGAATTTATTAATTATTCAAGGGTGATTCCATTTATACCTGGAAAATAATATAATTAGTCTTGTTCAAATTCACAAGGTTCTCTAAGGTGCTATCCAGTAATTTTTTGTTCTTTCTCAAAGAATACAAATAATTCTTCATATATTACTTTAGCTACTAACATTTACTCTGAATTTATGAATTTCGGAGTTAAAATAGCCATAGTTCTGAAATTGAGTTCAATTTCTTCAGACATTATTATTAATTTAAGGAAAATATATAAATAAACTTAAAGAATCCAAATAATATTTAATTATTTATAGAGATGATTTTATTATATATATATATATACTTAAATCATAATTATAGTTAAATTATTATGTCAAATCCATAATAAAAATATTTATCTCTAATTAATTTAATATTAATATTCAGAATAGCAATTAACGATAACATTAATATTCTAACAGTAAAAATAATGATGTCTGAAGAATTAATGTATCTTTCGATTAGTTTAAATATGAAACAAAACACTTTTAATTAAAAAGAATTTATTGTTAAAATAATCATACTTTAAATAAATATTCAAAGATCACTTAATTAATCCTAGTATTAAATTATTAACATTAGTTTCACATTTTCAAAATTTCTACTTTTATATAATATAAATTTATGATATATATATCTGCAAAAAATTAAAAATAAGATTATAGGTAAAATAATTACATTCAAATTTATTATTCAATCTCATCATTTATGTTATAATAAATAATAATGTTTATGACATTGGAATATTGCAAATTCTAATTAATATTATATCCAAAAAATACTAAATATCAATTTATCATATTATATGTGATTATTGTTTTCGTTTTTCTTTTCTAGTTATTCTTCTATATTTTCTTATTATTTTCATGTCAGTTATTAAACTTATTTTATCAGTTTTCTCAGCTAGTCTATTAATCCCTATTAAGTTATCACAATGTTTATTTAAAGTATATTTTGAATGGCATACTTCAGGTTTGTCTTCATAAATCAAATAATCTGCTCCAAACTAATTACTGTATTTTTTCATTGATTTACTTTACCACCTTCCCTTATATGATAATCACCAATTCTCTATTGATTTACTTCTCCATTATAAACTATTTGATCTATTTTACAATTTTTAGCCAAAGGAATTTCAAATGTATATTCAACACCATCTTCCTTCTTATATTAAAACATTTCAATAATATTATTATTATATAAACTTAAATTTTTTAATCTTTAGAAATATAATTTACATTAATATCAAGTCTAATTACTATCTATATATCCATATAATCTTTTTTGATATATATGTTTATTGAATTAAGAGTTCTTAGTTCTTAGTTTATTGTTTTTTGTTCAATTATTAAATATATTATAATCATGTATCAACTAGTTGAGCTCTACCCTAAATTTTCACTTTAAACTCTATAAGCTGATTGATTGCTTTTATTACTCTCACTTATACTCATTATTATAAAATCTTTTTTGCTATTTAATTAATTAGATAAATCAGAGTTATTTTTATTTGGCTAAGCTAAACAATCTTAAGTTTCGTAAATAGTTACTTGTTATTGATTTTCTAGATTATTAGTAACTTAAATAGAATTATTTTCTAGATGTTGATCCTAATTTATTATTATTGAACTATTGTTAACTTGTTACTTATTTTGATTTTAGATAATATCTGCAGTGATACCATTAGTTTCTTCATCCTAGTTATTTTTACAACAATTACCCATTTGATTATGGATAGAATTAATTAATAATTTAAGAAATTTGATTAATTCAATTTATATAATGATGCAAATTCTATTAGTGATTATATTGTATTAGTCTAATAAATCATTAAACTCAAATTCATTTCTTTTTTGCTATTATTTATAATATTGCAATTATCCAAGATAACCCTTTATCCAATTAACTTATATTATCTTTGAAGAATTTTTAAAATCCTCCATCAATAACCATAAATTTCTTCATGTGATAAATTGAAATATTTTCTAATTCCTATTTTGATAATAATTTTTATTTAGAAACATCTAATTTAAACGGAAATGTCTATTCTCCTTTTTTGAATAAGAATTATATTTCAATCTCTTATTTTTAATTACTTTCTTAGTCTTATGAACTCTAAGTAAAATCCTAATTTTATTACCCATTACTATTTTAAGATTATTATTTATCAAATTCCATTTTCAGAGATATATCTGATAAGACCTAATTTAATAATTAATGCCTAATACTTAAAATGCCTCTCTAACTTCAGAATATTTCATTTCATCTTTTGTTTATGAATCTGGATGATATCTTGATGCCTATTTTAAATATGCTATCCTTATATCAGCTTAGTTTGCTGTCTTTGGAATTTTTAGTATTTAATAATAATCCTTAGTGAATTTTGTAAGACCAGAAAACCGACTAAATGCATTATAGAGTCTATATGATCTAAGCATTATAATAAATGAATAATTATTTTGAATATTTAGAGTGTATATATTTAAATCATATTCAGCTATTTAATATATTATTAAAATCTGATATAAGTTATTAACTAACACATAGTTATAATTACAAAATGAATACAACCAAACTAGATTATCAAAAGAATTAAACTCATTAAATTGTCTTCATGATATTCTATATAATTGATATTTAATAACACCTATAATCAGATTAAATAAATTTATTATATGTAAACATAACCAAACTAGCTTAATACACCTTCAACTTAATTCACTTTACGAACTCCAGAAAAGAATGTTATTACAACACCTCATTAAATAGTGCTTTATTTTTCTTATTTTTTAGTAAAGTGATATCTATACAAATACTCCTATAGATTCAAGAAGAATGATTATATTCCCATAATAATCAAACAATTATTTGCTAGGAACTCTCATCCCTTATTAAGATGTTTATGTTGATACTCATAATCCTATATAAAAATAACCAACTCTTTCTATGGCAAATATTGAAGAAAATCTTAAGATAATTACATAGAAATATTAAGAAATATCTAATTAATTAAAAGTAGAAAATCAAGAGCGTATAGATATTGAAAACAAATTTTAGTAATTATAATCATAAAACAAAGAGTATTCATAAATCTAATAAAAATAGGTTAAAAGAAGAATTAATTAAATAGAAACAAATATGTAAATAAATGGAGAATTTTAGTAAAGAATTGTAGTAAAAACTATAAAATTAAGTTACTATGATATCAAGTCATTCTTCTATAGAAAATTAAAATTAACAGAATGATGTAAGATAAAAAGAAATCGAAATAATAGAATTAAAATAACAATTAGATAATGAAAAACTTAAATCATCTAATGAATCAGATAGATTAATGACAAGATTCAATATCATTTTTTAAGAATAAAAAAACTTAAATCAGAAATTATTATAAGAAAACATTGACTTATAAAAAATACTACGTTAAATTGATAATAATTAGAAGATATCCTAAAAATCAACATCTAATTTATTGGATGAATCACAACTCAAAACACTTGTAGAACAATTTTACTTTGATAATAATGAAGAATGTTTACTTAATATTCCTAATGAATAATAATTACAAGCAATTAAAATTCTTAAGTTAATTTCTACATCATAGAATTAAAATTAATAGAATCCTCCAATTAAGTAGAAAGAAGAAGGTAAAACAGAAAGTAAATTGAATATCAAATAAGAACTTAAAGAAAAGCAGGAGTAATTAATAGCAGAGATTAAGAATAAAATGGGTAAATTTATTGAGTAAAAGGTATATTGGTTTGTATTATTTAAGAATGTTTAATAGAAAGACATAATGAAGTTTTAAAATGAGTCAGAAGAACTAAAAAGATAATTGAATTAAATAGAAAATTTGATATTTGAAATGGAGTAAAGTCCTAAGCATAATCCTAATAAAAATAGTTGTGTTTCATTTGAAAATAATAATTTTTATTGAATATAAATATTTTATAATTTCATAAGATAAAAGAAACATATTCATATTTAAATTTATAATCTTAATTTCCACAATATAGAATATATCTTAAATATTACACAAATAGATTAAATTTAAACACAAGAATTTTCGAAATTAAATTTGTCATTAAAATTTATTAATTATGAAATTTAATGCATTTATCTTGATAATTTGTACAGCTCCTCTTATAAACTCATCATCTTTGGATATAAGAAACAGTTGCAATTGTTCTCAATTAATCTATTTTAATGATTGTATAGCTGGTTGTTCAGATTGCTCTTGGAATTCCTACACTAATTAATGTATTGAGATAGCATGTTCTGATTTAGAATTATCAAATCATTGTCTATTATCATCTTAAAGATGCTATTGGTTTAATAAGAGGTGTAAAAATTTCACATCTTGTGAAGCTATTCCAGGAAAAGATCAATCTGAATGTATTTCAGCTAATCTCTATTGTCCTGCTTCGAATGGTATTAATTGTTTATCAATGGAATACTAAGAGAAATGTTCAGATATTAGAGATCCAGATATTTGTAATAACTATTATTCTTCAAATGGTAAATGTATGTGGAATGGTCAGAATTGTATCATACTTAAATCATGTACTGATTTATGGACCAACTCAACTAAATCCTGTTTGTAAAATGGTTGTTATTTCGATTCCTTATCCTATTCATGTAGAGATATGACATGTTCTAGACATGAATTACAGTCTTCATGTGAATTGGGAGCACCAACAATTGGTCCATATTTAAATAATATTATTCCATGTAAATGGGATACTAATAATGGAATGTGTAAAGATGCCAAACCTGAAGACTATAACGTTGATTAATGTTATAGTTATAGTGCTAGGACTTATCATTGGAGTAATAGTAAGTCTAGTAAAGGAAAATGTGTGCCTTGTAAAAGTTCCATATTTTCATTTATACTTGTATCAGTGTTGACAATTATTATTTGATAAAATATTATAAAATCATATATAATCCTATACATTAAAGAAATATATCAATTTTATAGAAATGTTTATGAGTTTCTTTTTCATAAAAAATGAAATAACAAATTACTAAATTTCTTTTGATGATCCATGAAAATAAGGCTGATTGTAAAATTAAGATCTTTAAAAAGAATTTTACAGATGAGTGGTTTTATTCTATGGAAGTTGTTTAATTAGGAGCATTATTATAAATTTTTAAATATAATATGTTAAACGAATTAATCCAGCTATTTTGCAACAATGGGACTCATTCTAGTGAGTTATTTTATAATGCTACGTTACAATTAAATGAATTTTTGGATAAGAAAGAGATAGTAAGATGCTTTCCGAGAGTTTCAGAGAACCTTGGAGATTAATTGGTATAGGATATTGATGGATAATTAATAGCCAAATTTAAGGAAGGCATCCCATCAGCTTTTCCAGGCATATATTCGTGTTAATGAGAATTTTGATGCTGTACTTTAAGCAATTCTTAGTAGAGGTCTTGTACATCCGAATGTATGAATATTTTAGTTATATAATATAAGTGGTTGGTAAGATAAAAGAATGTGAATTCATTGTAATCACTGTTTTTATCAGAAGGATAACATTTATAGGCAGGAAGTGGTGTAATTAAGAATATGATAGAGATGTTGTTAGAGAAGTTGTGCGATTGTAATACAGCAGTTTGTAAGGCTACAGAATAGGTATGAATATGTTAATATTGATTAGACTATGATATCTTTGATAAGTTTGAATTAATATAAGTAATGTCATGCATAATTGCCTATGGGAATACAATCTTAAGTGGAGCATTTTGTAGAGTAGATGAAGGAGACCAATTAGATACGACATGAGTTGAGATTGAGAGAACCAATATCTAATGGATTACCATTTGATAAGTTAGAAGACTTGAAAGATACATAATGGTAGATGAGAGCTGAAGCAATACAAAGAATATATGAAGAACTATAAGATGTGGTCTTAACTCCATTATAAGTAGAGGTCTTGTTTGATCATATAGTAAATTTAGTGAATGATCATAACTTCAATATTGTGTTAACTACTTTATAGATAATGCAAAGATGTTTATAATTCAATATTGTGAAGAGTAACAACATAGTTAATATATACACTAAGCTAGGGGATTCTAAATCAGCAATCAGAACTGCTGTTAGATAAGTTTTGGTCATGTATTTGTAGAAAATTGGAGATGGTGAATTGCTCATACAAATATTGCAATAGCCAAATAAGAATTCTTTTTACAAAGAAGAATTCTTAGATCTACTCATTGATCTAGTCTAAAGAAATAAGATGCTGGTAACCTGATTCCTCAATATGCAGCTTTCACAATACCTCGAGTTGGCCATCAAAGAAGTGGCTCCTTTCCTCGAGGACCAGAAATAGAAACTGCGTTCTAAATCCATCGAAACCCTAACTTAGTTGGCCACAATCAATTAGCCTTTGACCAAGCGAGTGTTCTCATAACTTGGCATTACTGAAGATCTCTTTAATCAAATAGATGTCAGTACTGCTTCTTCCAATAAATCTGATCTCCCACAAATGCGATTCAAAAAAGAACAAAGAGAATAAAAAGATCCTAAAGATCTTAAAGAATTATATACACAATCTTTACCTGAACCCAAAAATCTGTAATAATTTGATATACCCATTTTCTAATCATAATAACAAGGTTATGTACCTACTATCATTTCCCAACCTTAAAAATAATAAAGAAGTGCCTAAAAACCAGATTCTCATCCTTAATCTTCCAGTGTTGAATTTAGACATGCTTAATAATAATAAGAATATAATTAACCTCCAGCAACATAATAAAGCAAACCATTTAGAATAGTTAAAAATCCATAATAAGACATTCCTGATTAAGATACAGGTCTCACATATACCAAACCATTCCAAAGGAAACCAAAGACTGAAGCTGATAAAACATTCTAACCAGTTTATTTGGATTCTGTCATGCCATTGGATCAACCAGAATCAGTCTTAAAGACATTATTGAATGAATTAAGATATGATGATTGGATTAGATAATTTGAAGCACTCAATAATTTAAGAAGGTTAGCCAAACATAATACTGAATTACTTAAAAAATCAATTAATTTTCCATAAATCTTATAAGAAATGGTAAAACAAATTGAAAATTTAAGAAGTGGAGTATCTAAAAATGCTTTGATTTCTTTATAAGAACTTAGTGATATCTATAAAAAAGATTTGGATTTTATTATGGATTAAGCACTTCAAAAATTAATTAAAAAGGCTATTGATCTCAACACATTTATAAGTGAAGAAGTTAGAAAAGCCACAATATCTTTATTGTAAAATTGTACAGAATCTAAATCGATATCTCTGATAGCCTAAGTTTATCAAAGCAAATCTATTGCAATTAAAGTGAATATTTGTTATGGATTAAATAATCTATTGGATCCCAATAAATAACAATTTGAAAAGATGTTGCAAATCCTTTGTTTTTATGCTTGTGATTAAAGTTAAGAAGTAAGACAAATTGCTAAAGAAGGATTGCTTAGTTTAATGAATTAAATTGATAAAAGAGAATTAGAATCATTAATAATCAAATTAGCACCTGATGGAGAATGTAAACGTATAATGACAATCATAAATGGTGAATCTACTACAACATCAGAATTTAGAAAATTTGGTACTACTTAAACTAAAGAAGCTAAAACACCAGAACTAAGAAATAGAACACCAAATAATAAGAAATTATCAACAGATTTTGAATAAATGCCAAATTATATGAATTAAGCAGAATAAGCAAAAGATTGGAAATAAAAGAAAGAAGCTATTGATTGGTTATGTAATTTTGTAAAAAAAGAGGCTTAAGCATTGAATGGTCATAAATATTCAAATAAGTTTTTGGATTTATTATGTAAATTAATTGATGATGGAAATAAAAATATAGCATTATATACTTGTGAATAATTCATTCAATTAGTTGAACCACTTAAAGTATTTTATTTTAAGTAATATAAATAGTTTCCAATATAAAATAATTATGTTAACGTATGGAATGGAGTCTTTAAAGTTGTCTCTTCGACTAATAATTCAGTAAGGTAATCAGCTGAATCACTATTTCATGAACTGATGATAAATATTGACATTCAATATTCATTACCTTAAATCTAACATCTCATATTGTATGGTCCAGCCAAATCTAAAGGTATTGCCATAACAATGTTAGCAAGTACTTTATTATTAATATTATAATAAGATTTTGTATAATAATTTTATGATGAACGACCGTAATTAGTAGTGAAATATCTTGTACCATTAGCTAAGAAATTACAAGAGGAATAGAAACCAGACATCAAAATAGCTTCATAGAAACTATTTTAAGCATTGGTATCTACATGTCCAAACGATGTCGCTCATTTGAAGTTATTAAAATGAATATTATTATTTATTATAATTTTTAGTTAATTTTACTCATTAGTTAAATATTTATAATCATAAATTAAGTAGATTGTTTAGAATGTCTATCTAATTTATGAAATTTGATATTCTTTATAGTTTCCATATATAAAATGTATAAATAAATAAATAATATACTATAATATATATAAATAAGATTTCTATTCTATTTGAATATATTCTTTAATGATGAAGTTGTATTATAGTATATGAAATATGAATGTGATTGTTAAAGAACAAAAATAGTTTCAATAAAGAAATTATATTAGATTAATTTTTCATATATATAAATTGAGAAACGGATAATGAAAACATTTATCTTATTAGGATTGTTATCTATCACTTTTGCAGTGAGTATTAGTAATCAAGGCACTTTAACAAATCCAACATCAAGAGTGGAAAGAATAATGACTAAGTTTATGCAATTAAGTGAGATGAGCACACAATTTAACTTTAATAAACTTTTTGATGCTATTGACTAATTGAGTGCTTAATTAAAAGTATTTTTGTATATATTATATTGATAGCAATCAGAAGTAGATGAGAACAATCTGTTTGATGCTGATTTTGCTTAATATGTTGAGGATTAAGCATTTTATACAGATTTAGTTACTTTCTACACAGCTGAAGTTGCCTAACATACAGAGGATTTAAGATCATTAAACAATCATTTGGAATCATATTAACAATAATTGACATAAAGATAAGAAGAATTAGATAGAACTCAAAAATAAAAAGCTTAATTAGAAGAGACCATTAGATAAAATGAAATTACTTACAATAAATAAATTAGTGATTTCAATACAGCAATAGATGTTTTAGATTAAGCTATTTAATTATTATCTGGTTTAAGAAGTAACTTCATAATAATATAAGTAGATCCTGTATTAATTTAAACTGAATCAGATTAACTTAAGACATTAGCTAATAAATTAAATTCAATCAATTTGAAGAATCACAGAGTATTATATTAACCAATAATTGATATCTTTATGTAAATTGCATAAAATAAGTATCAATATTAAATCATAATTAGTTTGGCTAATTAAGATCTACTCAAAAAGGTGCTTAGTATGTTGAATGGACTTAGAAACTCATTAGATGGAGGAAGAAATGCATTAACTAGCAATTACAATAGTGAAAGAGCATCTAATTTGGAATTATTAGAGACTTACAATAAGAAGATCGATGCTCTCGTTAATGAAGTCATTCCAATGTTATAAGATTTAATTGCTAATACTATTGGTATTTATATATTTGATTACTCTTTTTTATAGAATAAATTAAGGTGAAGACAGAATTATTGAATAATGCTTAAGCTAATTTAGATGAAGCAAAAGAAACCTTATAATATATTGAAGATAGATGGGTTAAAAGAAAAGCTTAACATGCAGCATTGTTAGCAGAATATGAGAAAGAATAAGCACTTATAGCTTAAACTATAACTGTTTTGCAAAGAGGTGGTGTAAGAAGATAATGATTTAAATTTTATTTTATTTCACATCGGAGGCATACTCATTCCTGCAGGCATCATAGTTTATTATCCAGGTAAACCCATTCCCTTTGGCTATGAAATTAAACCAATATTTGGTGCTCCTGTCACTCCCTATCTTGTTATTGGTTAGGCTTTTCCTGGTCCTGGTTATAATTCTTATTTCTTTGGAGGTTGATGAGGAGGGGCTTCAGCTGATAATGATATTATATTATCGCCCCTCACAATAATCATTCCCAAAGTTCTTTTGGTTTCGATTTCGTGAATTCCTACCTTAAAAATAACTTCTACCTTGTTTTCTTATTCTGTATTCTTCGCATTCACTCAGAATAACATTCAAATGTTTGTCAAAAGCTAAAAAGGTTCCAACTAACATACGTCCATCACCTAAAGTAATACGTACTCTATAATCAATCCATTAAAAAAATTTGCTTTTCTAAGACATATTTTAATATTTTAATATAAATATACAATATTTAATAATTAGTAAATTTAATTAAACATTAATCATCTCTTAAAACAAAAATTTCTAATCTCTTGAAATGCATATCTATCTGGTTCTTAAAACATTTATTAAACTGTTTATTAAGCTGTTTTCTTAACATTTGGAGTAGATTAATTTTAAGAATTCTCTTTTTAAATAACAGTCTAAATTCCTATTGAATTTGTTTGTTTTGGCTTTGGAATCTGACTAATCAAAAACATTAAACCTGCATTAATTTATTCCAACATCTCCTAATCCTTCTCTCTTTAATTTAATAAATAATCCATCTTTTATTTCAATTCACTCTAAAATTTATAAATTCATATACCAATTCATTCTAATCTTATATTTAATTTTATTAATTCTTCAATTAAGATTCTTTTATAGGTTTATCAGTTCTTACAATAAAATCACTTAAATTTTCAGATATACTAGAGTGCTTTGATTATTCTCTTTGTAAACTGAATTCATTTGAATTACCATAATTGTTTAACTATGGTTTCTCTTTTTATGTTTCTCTAAATTCATTCCAATTATCTGATTCATTAGTTCTATTGGTTTTCATTAAACCATTATTAGTTCTATTTGTCTTTACTAACCTTATATTGATCACTTATTACTTTTCTATTGTAAAGCAGAAATCAAATTAATGATTTAATCCTCATTATAATTATCTTATTCTTCATCAGAACTCATTTGATTGTCGTTAAAAATATAAATTAAATTATAAATAATATATTAACAACTCATCCCCAATTATCTTAAGATTAATAAAATGTAGTTTCTCCACCAAAACCACCAACAATTATATTAAAATTATTGTTACTTATTGAAATCTAACTAATCATATAATTCTATTAGAATTCTCTATGCAAAACCCATTTATTTGACATATTCTATCTCCAAAATTTAATTGTGCAATCCTTACTACCAGTAAATAAAATGGATGAATCTGAATTAAATATCACAGAAGTAATAGAAGCTTTATGACCATCCAAAGTCTATATTTTCTTATATAATTAATTCTATTCCATTTCCCATATTCTAACAAAACAATCCTAACTACCAGAAACTAAAACATCCTTTAATTTACTAAAACATAATGTTGTTATACTGCCTTTATGTCCTTTCAGTATTTGATTTTGAATCCATTCTTAATTCTTATAATTCCATAATATTATTGTTTTATCGAATCCTCCACTTCCAATAACATTAGAATTTCTATTAAATTAAACTGTTTAAATTCCAGATTAATGACCTTATAAAGTGTATTTAACTTCCCAAATCATTTCATCTTCTTTTTAAATCCAAATTTTTATTGTACAATCATCACTAACAGATACCATTTAACCATTTTTTTAATCTCCTTATATAAAATTAACTCCTCTTTAATGTTGTTATGTCTAAATATAAGGTGTCCATTTTTAATCATTTCTATACCAATAAACTATTGATCCATTTTCACAACCAGCAAAAAATGAACCTTTTTCATCATAAAAACATAAACATAAANCAGTTCTTACAATAAAATCACTTAAATTTTCAGATATACTAGAGTGCTTTGATTATTCTCTTTGTAAACTGAATTCATTTGAATTACCATAATTGTTTAACTATGGTTTCTCTTTTTATGTTTCTCTAAATTCATTCCAATTATCTGATTCATTAGTTCTATTGGTTTTCATTAAACCATTATTAGTTCTATTTGTCTTTACTAACCTTATATTGATCACTTATTACTTTTCTATTGTAAAGCAGAAATCAAATTAATGATTTAATCCTCATTATAATTATCTTATTCTTCATCAGAACTCATTTGATTGTCGTTAAAAATATAAATTAAATTATAAATAATATATTAACAACTCATCCCCAATTATCTTAAGATTAATAAAATGTAGTTTCTCCACCAAAACCACCAACAATTATATTAAAATTATTGTTACTTATTGAAATCTAACTAATCATATAATTCTATTAGAATTCTCTATGCAAAACCCATTTATTTGACATATTCTATCTCCAAAATTTAATTGTGCAATCCTTACTACCAGTAAATAAAATGGATGAATCTGAATTAAATATCACAGAAGTAATAGAAGCTTTATGACCATCCAAAGTCTATATTTTCTTATATAATTAATTCTATTCCATTTCCCATATTCTAACAAAACAATCCTAACTACCAGAAACTAAAACATCCTTTAATTTACTAAAACATAATGTTGTTATACTGCCTTTATGTCCTTTCAGTATTTGATTTTGAATCCATTCTTAATTCTTATAATTCCATAATATTATTGTTTTATCGAATCCTCCACTTCCAATAACATTAGAATTTCTATTAAATTAAACTGTTTAAATTCCAGATTAATGACCTTATAAAGTGTATTTAACTTCCCAAATCATTTCATCTTCTTTTTAAATCCAAATTTTTATTGTACAATCATCACTAACAGATACCATTTAACCATTTTTTTAATCTCCTTATATAAAATTAACTCCTCTTTAATGTTGTTATGTCTAAATATAAGGTGTCCATTTTTAATCATTTCTATACCAATAAACTATTGATCCATTTTCACAACCAGCAAAAAATGAACCTTTTTCATCATAAAAACATAAACATAAAATTTGATCTACTTATTTTAATTAACTTTCTAATTACCAATCCTTTTTTTCTTCATTCACTTTCCATAATAATAATTATTCTTGACTTACACTAGATATTGCATAATCTCCATCATGAGATATTATAACACTTTAAGGTAATTCTTTCCTAAAATGTTTCTAATGTACATTTAACAATTTATATTCATACAATTTTAATAATCTAGGAGTAAATTTACGATATAAATCTTAGCAAAATAAATTTAAATTGAAATTCAATACATTTACTTAATCCTATTACTTTCTCTATTTATCCAATAATTTTTATTCACTCTACTTCCACTTCTCATTATTACTTTTTTCACTTAATAATTGAATTTAAGCTAAATTCTTTTATTCTTCTATTGTTCCCTATTCTTTTTTTAATTTAATCATTTCTTAATCAAGTTTAAATAATTTTAAGTCTTTCTTATCTATTGCCACTTCATGCTTCTCTATCATACATTCATATTTCACTAACATCTCTGATAAATTCTTATCTATCCCCTTTTTCTAAAGTACTTTATTAATTGCACTACGAATGACCTTCCTTAACCTTGACTTATTATCTATCTTTCCTTAATAATATCTCAAATTTTTCATTATGGCAGTTTTAAATTCATTCATTTCCTTATAATATTCATCATGAGCTCTTTTAAATTCTATCAATTCTTCTCTATTTTTAAATTATCTACTAAAATGAATTAAATCTTCCAAGAATTATTCATATTTCTTTATTATTACTTCTGTGCAGTGTTGTTAAGAACTTAATAATTAGTTTTGCTATTCTAAATTTTTATCCAAAATCGAATTAACAAGAGATGATCTTTACTACATGAGTCTAGTAATCAATTCAATTTATTCATTAATTTTATCACTACTAAATTTGATATACTCCTATGTCATAATGTCTAGTAAATTCGATTGATTCTTTCCTTCATTTTAAGTAAACCATAACAATTAAATTTATAATTGGAATCTATCAATCCATTTTGAATAGTTTCCCTAATTATATTCTCCTATATTTGAACTTTCCATAATTTGATTATATCAGAACAATTTTTTATTTTAATTATTTTGAAAATTTTCATATATTCATTCCCATATTGTATCATTATGATTTGATCCTTTAAAAGATACAAGCTCCAATATTGCTTTTATTTATAAATTTCAAATATTTATTAGTTATATCTATAAATTTAGTGAATAATTTCTGAATAAATTTAAATAAAAAACATCTTAAATTATCAATTTGAATATATAAATTAGATAATAAATATCAATATGAAAATCTTCAACTTTCTTATATAAAATTATATAATATTAAGGTAATTAATTATTTAAAATCATTAGATTATAATATTTTCAAATTTAATTCTATTTTCTATTAATATTTTTCACTTTTTTAGTAACTAATTTGATCACAATACTAATCAAAGTAGAAATAATTATTACTAATTGTATATAACTATTTATCTCTTACCCATACTTAAATTTTATTTGAATTAAAATTTCTGATACTTTATTACTTAACTTTAAATAAGCAGGTTTTGTGCATTGTCCTTAACATTCTACTCTTACTTTATCAATAATAATTAAATGAATTTATAAATATTTACTTAGGATATTTTCAACAATTACAAAATGAGTTTCATTGTATCTTTCGATTGCTGTATAATTATTATTGGTAAACTTTTAGATACTATCAATATTTTTATGTTCTGATAAATTGCTTATATCAAATATATTAATAAATTTATGTTCATCACATTAAAAACTAAGAATTGCATAATTGTTATCAATGAAGAGTAAACTAGAAAATAATGCTTCTTATTCAAATCTTATTATTCCTTATTATTCAAAATTAATATTATTTAAATCATTTAGATCAACTGTTAATTTGATTAAGAATGCTAGATTAAATTTATTAATTACTATAAACTTAATTTCAGTTTGATTGTTAATTTAATTAACCTAATATATTTACATCTTGCCAGGCGCGTTTTAGGAAAATTATGTCTAAAGATTAGAAAGCAAGTCATTCCATTTTTATTACTCATAGTGAAGTATATCATATGTTGGATTTTCATCAACTTTCGTAATGTTTATAATTCTTATTTCAAAATAATTAAAATGGATATTCAAAAATAAGTAGGTGAAATTATCAATTTTTGCAACATCAATACACTAAAATACTTAATTTTTGAAGGATTTTGTAAGTTTTGAATCCTAAAGATAATAAAATTAAAAAGAAAAAAGAAGATAATCACTAGAGTATCTAAATATCTGCAAATCATTTATTTAAATCATATCTTTAATCTCAATATGTAAATAATTATATTCAGCTAGGATCTTATAATTTTTTTTTAATTTAGTATTGTTATAGCAAAAATTAAATTCATTTACAAATATAAAATCTTTTTACTGCATATAGATAGCATGATTACAATTATCTGGATTATAACCAATATAAAATAAGGAGAATACCATATCCTAATAATCAATTGGAGTAGATGTGTTTAAATCAAAAATATTTCTCAAAATTTATGTTTGATTAATACAGATACCAAATCTATAAAAAATACAACTAATAGAATTATTTGTAAAAATTAATGATTAATAAACTTAATTATTTTCTTATCCAATAATTTAAATATCTTCTATATTACCAAAAATATTCTTAAAATTAATAGTATTATCAGTGAGTATTATTTCATTTTAATTTAATAATTCTAATTTGTAATTTTTGTTAATTTTAAAAAGATGAAAGTCTAGATCTATATTTTAATTGCTAATCAAAGATTAAGTTTTAATTACGATTGCCTTATTCTAAACAAAACTATGACTTTCATGAAATATCTTTAAGTTAAAACATGGTTAATGTATATTTTGAATCTATAATTATCCTTGATATTAGTATATATATTCTTCATCATTAATAAAATCAAATAAAACTCTTTCTTCACTATCAATTTCAGTAATTTAAATTAAAGATTCAACTGCTGTTTATGTTAAATCATAAATCAATATAAAGGATCCTTAAATAGAACCTTTTGCTCTTATCATTAGGGTAGAATTCTGAATTTTGTAATGAAATGGGAATTAAATAATATAATTATATGTAGGAAGAGTGTAAAGAAAAAGTAATTCTTCTTTTAAGACTAGATATAATTTGATATAATAATTATTATCAAGACTAGTGAACAATAGAAGATAATCTGATAGTACATTTTTTATTTCAGATATCTTCTCTTTTAGTGTTATTATCTGTGTTACTTATTATCTATGTTTGAAATTCAAAGAATGATTGTCAATATATATATCATTTTTATAAAATTAAAGAGAGGTTTTACAATCATATTTATAATAATTCTTCCCTATAATAAAATAATCTCCAAAAAGTTGAATCGACATCATATTACAATCTTCAAGTAAATAATGCACAAAATATTTAATTTAAATTGCTTTTATTATCATGACATCAATATATCTAATAGTCTTTTCTACTTTATCAAATCCTAATTTATAAATTTCAATTTAATTTTAATATATTATTACTAAATGCATAGGCTATCTTATAAAAAATATTTCTATAAAATTATCAAGTAATTTAAGCTAATGTTTTTTTATAGGTCTACCATTTGAAAAAAATATCAACTTAATAAATTTATCTTCTTATTTCAATCCTATAAGTATTTGCTCATCTTTGAGTCTTTGTAAAAATATAATATTGCCAATAGTAAGAGTCCAATCTAAGTAGGATAGAAATTATGCTTTTGGATTCTCTAAAATTTATAGTTGTTTTTAATTCTCCATAATTTACATTATCTTGATAGGAAGTGTTCTTTTATATATCTAGTTTGATATGCATATTTAATCATTTGGATTATTTGTTTCATAAAATAATTTGGTTTCCTGAAAATGTTGAATTGGATTATTTGGATCGAACAATTTGAGATTAATCAAAAATTTAGAACCATTTTTTAATGCTGCTTATATAAAATATATTAAATCAGAATTGTTATAGGTTACTATAGATTTTGGTAAGGATAATTTAATTAATTTCAACTACTAATTTGATAATACCATAAAATAAGGTAATTCACCAATTTAAATTAAGTTATTTATGTTAATTGATATTTCATTTGAGGAAAAGGAATTAACTTTAATAAATAACTTATTTGTGAAGTGAAATAAAATAACATTTCTTTTAATTATAAAAATATTTTAAAAGTCTTATATACTTAAATCGAATTTATAATCATTCAAATATAATTATTAAGTTTCCTTATTTACTTTAACAACATAATTTAGAGTTTAATAATTTAAAAACTTAAATTACTTAATTTCAACATCAAAATGTGAATACAGAATATATATTACCTTAGTTTCAAGAAAAAATGAAATGATTTAATTAGAATAAATTATATACAAGTTGCTTTGAGTGATAAATTATATATCTAAAAGTTATGCTCTATTTTCTGTAAGTTCTTTTGTTTCTGTTAAATCATATAATTAAGTATTTTAAAATGAAAGATTATATATTTAAATTGAGTAAAATTAAGTGCTTTAACATTATTTATTATAAAATATTAATGTCTCTTTATTAAATATTGAATCTTATTTACAAAATGGTTAAATTGGTATCATAATTTCATCTAATATTTATGATTAATTAACTATTTAAAATATTGTAGTATTTTCATCGTATTTACATTAAATTATATAAATAAATTTATCCAAATAATGTAATTGGTAACAATATGATTGATTTAACAAAAGTAAACATTCTTTTTTTTCAATAATTATTTCATCATTATTATATAAATAATTGTTAATCTAATATAAGCATTCAATACTTTTATTCTTTAATATAATCACATCTATATAATCTTCTAAGATAAAGCTAAATAATCGTTCATCTCCATTTAGTTCTATAGACTATTCATTTTCTATTTTTATTTCTCTTAGTAATTCAATATTTTATTTCTCAATACTTTATTCATCAAAATTATCTTTATTAATATCAATTGCATATCCATAATTCTTTGAATAGATATTCTCATCAGGATAAATATAATAAGTAGTCTAAAATATTTAAAATATTTACTAATGAACAGAAAATAACTCTAATAAACAACCACATTTTCAAATATATGGTTAAACTAATATAACTCATTTAGTTACTATATATAAACAAATTTATTTATAATTTAATTAGTTTATAGCTTTAATTCTTATCATATTATTCTTAACTACATTTAATTAGACTTATAATACTTAAAATAATATATAAGAATGCCATTTTAGTATTTTTTATTGATTATATTAGAAATTAATTAGATAAAATTAGACATCAACTTGTATTGCTTATACTATATTTTTTTTTTGGAACTAGAAATTATTAATATACATTAATTAATAACAATTAATTAAGGATGAAAATTCTCTTTTTCAAAATATAATCCAAATCAATGTAGAATATGTAAACTATTTAAATTATAATACTATTTTATATTAGAATTTGTTAACTATAATTTTATTTGTTTTATAATGCTCTAATATTCTCTCATTTACTTAAAGGGTAATGAAAATATCAATATAAAACTTTATTTATCATAATTAAAATAGAGTATGATAATATTATATGATGAATTATTAAAATAGGATTATTTTTTGATGATAATAAATGATAATTATTATAGAATTCATTATATTTAAATTATTTTATATTTTTGAATAATTGAATAAATAAATATCAATATATTCTATTGTGTTATGTCAGCCAAAAATGATATATTATTCTTAATGTAATTAAATTAAACAAGAATTAATAATTAAAAATGAAAAATAAGTCAATAATTTTAATATTCCATTTTTAATCAAAATAAATAATGTAGAATTTTATCTTCTGTAATAAGAATATAAATGTGATACAATAATTAAAAAAAGAATAAATGACTTAAAATGTATCAATCTAATAATTCAATATTCTTGACAGCATTAATTATGACTTATTTGGATGTTTCAATAATCTCTCCACCAACAATCATCTCATCAAAGATTGAATATGCCTGAAATTATGATTATTTTTGTTACTTTATTAAAATTAAAGACAATATCCAATTCACAGACATTTCCAAAGTATTTATCTAAAACTTCAACATATAAATGTATCAATTCAAGCATTGTGAGCTCATTGTCTGAAACATCAACACACAAAGCAAAAAATAAGCCTGCATAACGTTTATAAATGATCTTGTAATTTCTAAACTATAGTAATGAATAAAGAAGTGTACTTCAAGGAAATTAGTGTGTTTAGTATCTCTGCATACAATTAATCTATGGACTTCATTTTACAGTTTGACTTTTTCAGCATCATCATAATAGACATACCACTTTGATAATCTGGTTTTTCCTTATCTATTTTAAAGTAAGATGAATCTGATCTATGAATAATATTTTAGAATAGTACCATTAAATTAATATATACTAATATATATATATATTAATTTATAAATAAAAGTCATTTTGTGATCCAAGGATGATTTAATATTTATATGATTGAAGGTCTCTTATTGCAATCATGCTAGAGAATTCCTTTCACAAAATTTAAAAAATCTTTACTACACCAATTTGGAAATTAGAACATCAAATTCATAATCTTCTTTTTTGTATCTTATTCATTATTAGATTCAAATGGAGGTCTGCCTAAATAATTATTATAAACAATATACCTACCTACAACTAATTCATAAGCCAATACACCAATAGTCCATACATCCACTCGATTATCATGGAATTAGTAATTGATCATTTCAGGACATAAATAATCTAGAGTACCACATAACGTCTTCCTTCTATTAGATGGAGTATGTACACTCCATCCAAAATCAGCTATCTTAAAGATTTCATTATGAAAACAAAGAATGTTTTCTGGTTTCAAATCTCTATGAATTACATTCATTTAATGCATGTATCCAATTGCCATTGTGATTTAATAAATAATTTTTGATGCCATTTCTTCACTAAATCTTCTATTAGTCTATTTCTTCATTAATCCATAAAGATCACCTAGAGGTGCCCATTCCAACATTAAATATACTCTTTTTTAAGTCTAAAAAAAACCATAAAATCCAATTATATTTGGATGTCTTAAATGACTAAGAATTTCCACTTCTCTAGTTAATGAACCTGTTAATTAACATAAATTTAATTGTCTCTTGCTGATAACTTTCAAAGCTACTATGAATTTACTCTCACGCTCCCTAATTGGATATAAACAAAAATGAATACCTCGCCAAATATACATGTCCAAATTTGCCATTACCTAAATAACGACCCATTTCAAATCTACTTAAACTCCATTCATGAGGATCAAATTCTTTTGTCTACTCTTTATTCATATCTTCCTCCTCACTATAATTATTTCTTGTTTCTTCTTCCATAAATTCATCCACTAATCTCTTCTTCTCTAAACAATCAAAACCTTTAGTATTTTCTTAACTATTTGTTATATTTGACAGCACAAAATTTGCATTTTGCCACATAAAATATAACAGCAAAATTATAAATATATATTAATTAAGTATCAAAACACTCAAGCTGTTTAATAATGACCCAGCCATTTCACTCGTTTACCATTTAACCATTCCCCCTCTCTACATAATCCCCCTTTCGAATAAAATGTACCATTTCCATGCTCTCTACCTTCAAACCAATTTCCCTTATACATAGATCCATCTTAATAAGTAAAGTCTCCAAACCCATGTTTCTTATCATTGATATACTTAAAGAAATATTAGTATTTGTTACATATCCATCATATAATCTTCCATCAGGCCATGTAAATGTACCATAACCATCCATCTAATTATTTTTCCATTATCCTTCATACTTTCTACCATCACCAAAATTAAATACTCCTTTACCATTAAATTTATTTTCACTTATTTGTCCTACATAACTAATCAAAATATATATAATTTATTAAACCTTGAACCATCTTAAAAATGAAATTCTCCAAACCCTGTCTTCTTCCCATCAACAAACTTTCCTTTAAAATTCGTCCCATCTGGATATCTTTCAATACCTTCTCCTTGTTATTTATCATTTACCCATTCCCCTTCATAAACATATCCTAAAGTTGTAATTTGTTTCCCTCTCCCATTAGCCATATTCCTTAGAAATTCCCCTTCATAATAGTCTCCTGTTGCTAAAATAAGTCTGCCATATCCCCACATCTTATCATCCTTCCAAAAACCTTCATAGATACTATTATCTGAAAAGATTGCCCTGCCCTTACAATGACGCAAACCTAGTTTCCATTATCCTACATATATGGTGCCATCTTATAGTTGATAGGGTTCATGATGAGGCAAAGCAAGTTCATCTTCTGTATAATTCAATTATTTTAGATATTCTTTGTAGTTAAAATTACCAATTTTATAGATTAGATTATTTACTATTGTTGAATATTCACTGAATTTGCGTTCTACTTTAGTAGCATTTAAAGGGGAGTGATCAATCTAGTATGGTTATTGAAAATACAACTTCTTGGATAGGTTCATCAATTGCATTAGTAATTTAAGCTGGTAGTTCATGACTATGTTAACTATCAATGGTGATTATTAATGGATTCTATTGTTCTTTCTTTTTATTTCTCCATTCTAGAGATTTAATACATTGATAGGAATACTTCGATAGGCTCTTTAAATAATAATTGCATTATGAGAGTAATAAGTTAGGGTAGAGAATTCAAATAGACTCACCATTTTTGTTCCCTAAACACCACAACAAGTTCCCATATTATATTATAAAAAATAATTGCATTAAATTATATAATTATGATAGTATTATAATTTGTGATAATTTTATGAATTAGAAATGAAGTGTTGATTAAGTGAAAATATAGATATAAAATGTTATTGGAAAACTCTTATTATTATGATGAGAGATAAGAAATTAAATATATATATAAATAATATAAATTATTAATGTAGAATAATTAAGGTGGTTAGAGTTTGCGAATTGAAAATGGTTCTGATGATCGAAGATTAGAGAGATTGGAAAGTAAGGATTTTAATTTTGATTAGGTAGTCAAACCAATAAATTCAAATATATCTAGATTTAATTCATTGTTGTAGGTGTGGAAAGAACATGATATACCTGAATATCATTAGAAGTACTACTATAATGTGATAATGAAACATTAGCAATAAGCTGATGAATTAATGAGAATTGAGATTGATAGCATTACAAACAATAAAAGTGTTGTTAGAACTTTACATCAGTTGACAATAGGAAGGGAAAGATGTCTTAAAGAAATATCTAGAGCTAAGCAAGGAAATATTTCAGATTTCTTGAAAACAATTTCAAAATTTATTTATGATCTTCGCAAACTCACTTTGAATTTAATTGAATTCCATAGGAAATGGATAAATTCTTTAAATTCTAAGTACGAGTACAATTATATATGGAGAATTAAGGATAGAAATTATTTGCATTAAATAAAGGAAGATCATAAATTTATATAAAATCATCATCCTAAGATGAGACAATATTTTTAATTTAATGATGAAGATATCTTCTATTTAAGTGTAGTTAGATAAGCAGAATAAGATGATTAATAAAAATATGATCATTTAATAAAACATAAGATGGATTAAAAATACAAAGAGAAGATGATAGATCTATAAGAATATTTTAATAAATAGATAAATGATTATAAACCAGTTAATCTTGGAAGTTAATCTTATTAAAATTCAGATATTAATAATCATGCAGGTTCTCCAGGATTTTAAGGTAAAAATAATATAAATTTGTCAAATTATGCAAGTAAGGTGATATACACAGCAGAAAATTTGGAATTTAATTTAGTATCATATCCATTAAAGGATTTGGAAGCAATATTAGAGTATTGGTCTAATCAAAATGTATAAGAATTGAATGACAGTTTTAAATACCCTATAAATCATATAAAAGATTTATTAATGTATTGGTAGGAAGCTGCAATAGTAAGAATTAATTAAAATGGGTTAATAATATGTTCAATTGATTAAGAATTCAATGGAAGAAGATGGATTTTACATTAAATATATTTATAAAAAGAAGAGTAATGGCAATAGAAATTGAAAGTTGTAATTCAACATTTTATTAAAATGTTGATATAATAAGGAGACACTTTTACATCATTAGCAATATGTTGTAGTAAAGATTAATCTATAAAAAATGTATTGAATGATTAGAAATTCATATTTTAAAAGAACATAACATATAATAAATTTAATGTAGTAATTTATGAATAAAAAATTTAAAATACTTAACAATTAATGAATAGATAATATTTCACTCCTTTAACATTAAGAATGCTTAGAATTTATGCAAAATAAACAGATTCAAATTTGATAACAAATGAGGAATTGCTTATAGCTTAATATTGTGCAAATATTGGAAAGAATACAATTATACAATTTGAAAATAATATATTGGCTTTGTCTCCATATTTAAATGTAAGAAATAACATTAAATAATATTAGAAATCAAAATTATATGGTCAAGAATATATGTTGATTTAAAAACCAAATGATGTAAAAAATAAATACCAAATTGAATTTAATACTCATGTTTAGACTCCAGTCTATTTTTAATAATTCAATGTTAAATTAAATTTTAAATATTTCAGTAGTGAATTCTATCGTAATAACACTTAACCATATCTTAGACTTACTGCTGTAATTAAAATTTATAAATATATATATAGCATCCAACTATGGATAAATAAGAACCCTCCATTCTGTAATTAAGTTCCTCAGAAATATCTAATAGTATGATTTATTTGATTTCCACCATTGACCCATTTATCAAAATGTATTCAATTGTCACTCAAACAATAGATTCATTCAAGAAGTACAATCTAATTAGATATCCAAATCTAACATTCAATCTTTTATCAATCAAACTTTTGAGAAATTTGATAAATAATAAGAATGTCAAAATCATGTTTGGCTACCTCAATTCAAATGTTCTGGAAAATAACTGAAATTAAATGATACCAAAATTGATGCTTACTTTTAAAATGATACTTATTTATCTGTAATGTATCCCAGGAATCCTTCATTACATACTAATAAATTTTTTAATGATACAGATAAAATTATTTAACCTCCATTTCTTTTTGGAATTGTATAAAGTGATCTAGAATTTATAAATAAACCATTATTCTCCATTTTAATAGATAAGGAGAATATCATAAAAACATCTGAAAAAACAATTAATAATAACACTTCTTATCCTACTTCTCTATAATTATAGCCAAAAGAAACTGAATCTGTTATTAAGGAATTAATCAAAAATACAGATATGGAAATTAAGAAATCTTTTTGTTCAGATCCTTCTATTTTGATATACAAATTAAAGTATTCACTTGAATGTTCATTAATTAATCTTAATATTGGTCATGCACTTATTTATGTTGATGAGAATCATATCTTAGAAAAAAGATGGGTTATTGAAACTATTATGATTAATGATATAAAGAATTTATCTCGATTGCTCACTTAATTAATTGAATATATATTTACTATTGATCCTTCAGCTAATGAAATACAAATTAGTTAGGTAAAACATCTATATACATCTAGACACATTATTAAGAGAAACAAGATTTGATAGCAAATAAAGATATCATGGATTCTATTAAAAAGGCTAAATTTAGATGGAGATAAGTTGATAATGATGCCAAAACACAAATTAGAAAGACTATCTATTATCTTAAGCGATCCCTTACTGATTAGTATCATATTATATATAATTATTTAGTCCTAACAAAACACTCAATTAAGTTTCAATTTAATTTAGATCTTATTATGCTACTTAGTAAAGTCAAGAAAGAAATCAAATTCAAAATCATTTAGAATATATTCATTCATCAAATCTATATTAATTCTTTGAGGATTGTTTCTAATATCATGTTAATGGATAAGTTCCTGATTCAAACTCTTTCCTTTAAAAGAAATTATAATCAATTTAAGGTAAATTACTTAATTCAGAATTCTTTACTATCCATTCTATTGAAGAACTTAAAACTTAAATTAAATTTTAAATTAATTTACCTTCTTTTGAAAGTAAATATTAATAGGTATATATATAAATGTAAGAAATTAGTTTGATTTACTTTCAATAATTACTTAATTGAAAATAAAAAAATAGAGACAAGTGATTTATAAAGATAAAAAATATTTAGAAATACCTAATTATGATGGATTACAATAGATATTTGAATCAGAAAATTATTAATTGAATTAAAAGATCTTTTTTATTGCAACTTAAGATCCACTCTATTTCATTTATTTTATAGAATTAAGGAATCCAAATTTGATTCAATAAATTCAATAAGATTAACTTAACATTGTCAGTCAGGTTTCATAAGTACATATAATTATTTTACAAGGCCTTCGTAACTAAATATTCAAGCAATTTCTAATTAGTGTGGATTGAATAATTTAAAAAAATAATTCCTATCCATTAAAATTAGAATTACTTATATATTGATTTTGCATTGAATTCACAATTTTCAATTGAATAATCTATGATAATGGAAGATGAATCTAATCATAATATAGAAGAAATCTATAAGATTAAGTTACCTATGTTTTGTGGACTATTGAATACCTAAGTAAGAACCTAATTTGAGCGTCCATTGATAGGAATGATAATTGATTGATGATTAATCGATTTTTACTCAGAAAATAAACATAAATATTGTAAAATATCTTTTTATTCTTAAATATCTACTCATAATGTTATAACAAATACTATTTTATTTTGTTTTAACAAATACTAATAAATATACCATTTTTAGATCCTATTAGTTTTATGTTAAATATAATTTAGTAACCATAAATCGTTAAATTAAAATTCAAAAAATGAATGCACCCAAAGCTATTCCTTTCATAAAATACATCAACAATCAATTTCAAGTAGATCCTCAAGCTGAATAATTTCTAACATCCCTTGGATCAGAAAAACTTGGAGTTGTCTCTATTGTAGGGAAATATAGAACCGGCAAAAGTTTCTTTGTTAATAGAGTTCTTCTCAATCAACAAGCTGGAGGTTTTTCAGTAGGTCCTACAATTAATCCATGTACCAAAGGTTTGTGGATATGGAGTCAAACAATCACAGCTTAAAATGCTGAATTCCCTGATATGAAGGCCATTATTATAGATACTGAAGGATTTGGAGGTATGGATGAGAATGTCAATCATGATACAAGAATATTTCTCTTTAGTCTTCTACTTAGTAGTTATTTTATTTATAATTCTGTTGGGAATATTGATGAGAATGCATTAAACACTTTAAATTTAATAGTCAATCTAGCAAAGGTAATTATAAAATTCATAATATATTAGGACATTTAATAAAATAATGAGAATACATTCCCTTAATTTTTATGGATTGTTAGAGATTTTGCACTTCAAATGGTTGATTAATAGGGAAATTCAATTAATTCAAAATAATACTTGGAAAATGCTTTAGAATTGCAAAAAGGATTGTCTGATTCTGTAGAATAGAAAAATCGTATAAGAAGAATGATTAAACATTTCTTTAGAGAACGTGATTGTATGACAATGGTTAGGCCAGTTGAGAGAGAAGATGATCTTTAAAAATTGGATTCTTTACATGAAAACAATTTTAGAGGGGAATTTGTTTAATAATTAAAAGAAGCAAGATCTAAGATATTTAAACGAGTTAGACCTAAATCTGTTTAAGGAAGTATGGTAAATGGAATATAATTATTGTAATTGGCAAAGGCTTATGTTGATTTGATAAATGGAGGTAAGGTGCCAAATGTGGAATCTGCATGGGGTTATGTATGTAAAGCTGAAGGAGAGAGAGCACTTAGAGAATGTATAAATTTGGCTGAATAATAAATTGAGAAGATGAAGACTTAGGTGATTTAAGATTTACCTGCTGTTAAATAGCAATTATTAGATTAGGTTAGGAAGTAATTTAAATTGAAAGCAATAGGATCTGAGGATGATTTAAAATAATTTACAGAGAAATTATCTGAATAATTTGAAGAGAAATTCAAAGAACTTAAATAAAGCAATAAAAGAAATCTTAAGGTATTTTTTTTAAATAATTATTTAGAATCATTAATCTAAAGTATTATAACCTCATATAGAAAATATAATGGATAGATTAAAGAATGATGAATTTTCTAATTATTATGAATTATAATCTGAAATGTTTAAAATTAGAGATCAATTTTAGAAGGAAGTAGGTAGAAATTAATAGGTTTCATAGTTATTTGATGAAATGAGTTTATAAATTTATTAATAGGCAGCTGAGAAATTAACAAGAAAAGCTTCTCAATAAACTAATTAAGAAAATAAACAATTATAATATAAAATATAGAATTTAGAGAAAGAGTTAAAGGCATTGCAAGATGATAAACATTAGTTAGAATTATAATCTAATAGTAAATTAGAAAAATTAAGTAAGGAGAATGAATTATTATCAAAAAGTGAATTACAACTTAAAACATAATTCTAATAAATTTAATAATAGACATAATAAGTTTAATAATAAAGTCAACATTAAATATAATAACATGATAAATAATTAGCCTTAATTACTTAAGAAAATGCTTTTCTGTAAAAAGAAATACAAAGTTTGAATGATAGATCTTCATAAGTAGACAATGAAAATAAAAAACTTAGATAAGAATTGATTACATAAAAAGCTGCAAATGAATAATTATAATAAAAGTGTCATTCTTTAGATTATGGAAGAGCTTAAGAGATATAAAAGTTGTAGTTAGAATTTGAAAAAAAAATATAAGAATTAAATAATGATATTGATTCAAAGAAATAAACAGCTCGTTAATAAAGTGAATGGATGGTTGAAAAATCTTATTTAGAAAATTAAGTTACATTCTTAAAGAGTTAGTTAGATGAAAACAAAAGATTGCATGATGCTCTATTGATAGCCTTATAATGTATTTATTACTTACTAATTTCAAGCTTAAAATAATCCTAGTAATGATTATTAAGAGTCTACTCTTGAACTTTTAGAAACAAATAGAAATCTATCTGCTGCTATGGATAAAATGGAAATGAGATGTAAATAATTAGAAGAGAAAGTTATTAAACTTAAAAAATTTAAAAAGATTTTTAAAAATAGTTCCAGTATTGTTTGTTTACATTGTAATAGACAATATTAAAGTAATGGATTTAATTAACATTTATCAACATGTATTGATAATAACCCTTGTAATCCAATAGTTTAAACATAATAATAATAATTATAATAATAATCATAATAAACTTAATCAAACATCTAAACACACAATCAATCTCTTAGTCATCCTTTACCACCTCCTATTGATTTAAGTCAATTATAAATTTCTATCAATTAAACAATGGTCAGAGAAACCCCTGATAATAAACCTTATACTGAATATATGATAAGAGTTCAATATAACTTAAAGAAATGGACTATATCCAGAAGATATAAAAACTTTTGTGAATTACATTAAGCAATCATTCAATAATATCCCAATATGAAAATGCCAGAATCAAGTTCAGCCATCATTAATACTGCTGATATTGGTAGTGTCTTTAATGCTAAGCGACCTACAGTAATTGAAGATAGAAGAAGAGCTTTACAATCATATATTAGAGATTTAGCTAAATTAGACCCTGTTAGAAATTCAACAGCATATCGTAAATTCTTGGAATTAGATACTATAGATTAAGTTGAATAACCAAGCAGAAGCATGTCATAAAGTAAGAGATAAAAATAAATAAATTTTTAGTGGGATCACCTAAAAATGAAGGACTTTAGTCTTCTAGAGATTATGGAAGAGATTCTTTATCTGTTATGCCTAAGCCATTTTGGAAATAATCAACCTAACAAATTGCCATTGGTGCTTCTACCTCAAGAGAATAGAAATATGAAGATGTCCCTCCTTAGAATAATTATATTAGATAGAAAGAAAATTAACCAACTTCCTCTGCTTCCAATTTAAACACCAAAATTGATAGAAAATTATTACCATAATCACCGTAATCATTCCTAAAGGCATTTTAGAAATAATAGGAAAGTAAAATATTATTATTAATTTAAAGCCTCTAAAGTCTATAGAATGCATCATTAACATTCATTACTAGAAATTTCAGGAGACATATAATGATTTTATTTTTAATAAATAATTATTTAAACTCAAATAGTTTATTATTATTTCTAATGACAAATTAATATACATATCTATCATCTTTAAATTTATCTAATTGCTATTAAATAATAGGATATAATCTTAAATATTTGATATATTGTGTTAAATTAGCTATATATTCAAGTTTATACAGTCAATTAACATCTAAAGTTTTTATATTGATTAAGATTATATCTATAATTTTTAGATTTGGATTTTTATAAGAATTGTTTTTTTGCATTTTAAGAGATAAATAGACTATAATTATAAAAAATAGTGAATAATAATTTTAACATAGACATTCACTGTAGATAATATTTATAAAAAACATTAATCTTGAAGGTGTGAAAATTATTTTTCCTATTACAAAAAATAAAATAATATAAAAATTGCATATTTCTCTTTATTTATCTGTCTTTTAACATAGAAATTTAATTATTTCACTAAAACTTATATTTCAATTTTTAAAACTCAATATAAAGTAAATAAATTTTCAATTTTGTTCTTAAATAACATAAACAACATTTATTATGATATCTTTGAAATAATCATTAATATCAATAACTTTTGAAAAAAAAATAAATTTTTTAACTCTAATATTATATAATGATTGATTACATTAGAGAATTCAAAAGAATAGGTAAAATATGTTTAAAAAGTTATTAAAAAATTTAATAGTATAAATGTTAAAGAAGAACTAAACATAATATTTGAGAAATGACTATGCGTCAATAATAAAATGAAATATTTAATAAGAAATTAGTTTATATGTTTATATATATCGTAATAATGATATTACGATTACATCAGAATTTGAGAATTAGTTATAATTTTAGTTGATAATTCTGAATATAATTATAATAAATTTAAAACAAATAGATGCTGATATTTTCTATCTTGTCATATTTGGTTACAGCTAAATTCCAAATCTATATGGATGGATAATTAAGGATTTTGAATTATTCATTAGCAAATTTTGGACATATTCCATATGGACGCACTTTAGGTGGATTTTTGGTGGCTCCTTAAGAATTAGAAGATAACTAATTAGATCTATGCAATAAATCCAATATCCAGAAATTACCAGACTTAGAGAGTGTTTGGGTTGTTGGACGTATAGGAAATTGTTCAGCAACCACAAAAGTATATTCTATATATTAGGATTAGGCATATGTAGCATAGGAATTGGGAGCTAAGTTATTAATAATCATAAGTAAAAAGGCTAACTTAACTAATGTAATGGAGTTAAATAATGATGGGATGGGTTTCAAGGTGCATATCCCAACAATTGAGATTGCCAAATAGGATGGTGAATTATTATTACAGGAAATTACGATAACATCAGAATCACGACAATATGGATTAATTTCATTCAATGATTCAAAGAAAGTTGAAAAAGTATGCAACATAAACATATATTACAGCCTGAAGTAATTTTGTTCATTTCCCTAAATGATAAATCAGGCTTTAAATTTATAAGGGAATTTTAGTAATACTATAAAATATTGGAGAAACAGGTGTAATTCTACATCAGTTATGAAGTAGAAGTGAGTAAGAGAGATAAAAGAATGAATTTTACATAGCCAAATGAGTAATGTATGGGAGGTGGAAGATATTGTATGTAAATAAGGGGAGAAGGTTTAGGTAGATAGGTGATAGAAGAACAATTGAGATAACATTGTATTTGGATTAATAATGCAACTCAATGGTTTGAGTATATGGTAATAGAAAATATAAGAAAAAATTTAGGATTATTTTGATAAGAATTGTTTTTAGGTGTAACATTATGCTGCTTGTTCAAATGAGAATTGGATAATGAAATAAAAAGTAATAGGAGAATGTGTGGAGAATTCATATGAAAAGGATTCAAAAAAGGCAAGAGAATTAAAAGAAAATATAATAATGGATTAATGGGTAGGAAATAAATCATTAAGTGGAATTACATATTTTCCAGGAGTTTTAGTGAATGGAAAACCATATCATGGTAATTTAGAGGCTGAAAGTGTTACTGAAGATATATGCAGCAGTATGATAAATATTATGATTTAGATATGTTGGATTAAACAGTTTGTTTGGCTTTATAATAATAAGAGGATGATTCTCCAAGTAATGGAAGTGAAATAAATTGGGCAATGATTGCATTTGCAGTAGTAAGTTGTATACTTTTTGGTTTATTCTTGTTTATGTGTTATAGAAGGAGATTGAAAATGTAAATGTAATAAGAATTGGGTTAATAAGTAAATGAGATGGTCAGTTAATACATAAAGTTTTATGAAACTAAAAATGAGAAATGATTTATTTCATAATTTTAAGGTTTAAATATATATATATATAATACCTAATTAAGTAATTATTCTTTATGAATATACAAACATAATATTTTTCAATAATTAGTGTATATATAAATTCACATAAAACTTCTCAAAATATCACCAATTTCCTTAAATTCCATTTAAAGCATTTTAAATTCTTAGATGGTTAGATTAATAATTTATTTCTATAGATTTCCTTTCTCATCTTGTATATGGAATTCTAATAAAATATACAATTTCTTTAAATTAGGATATTTGACATCTCCATTGTATTAATTGACTGTCCATTTCAATTCTTTTAACTTTCCTAAACTCAATACTTTCTTTACTGTCTCTGGATCAAAACCTTATAATACTTTCATAAGGTATTCTCTATGATCATCTTAAACAAGTGTATTCTCTTTTAACCATTTACTTAAATGTTCTGCTGTGATATTATTCTTTTACACAAATCGAATTAAGTAAACATAACTATTTATACAAAATTCAGCTTCTTATATCTCTAATGCAACAGATTCACGCTAAAATATCTAAAGCATAGATTAGAGTGAAAAGGCACTTTAATAAGAAAGTGTGAATTTATAAATTTCATCCACCATATATGCAAAAAGACTCAATGGTACTTTTAAAGAAAGATTGAGTCCTCTTATCGAATCTATGTCATAAACATAATTCTGCATTATTATTAATTTTCTATGAATAACAGTGAATTTTGATATTTTTATACATATTCATTCTATTGCATGTTTCAATCCTCCCAATATATCTAAATTAATTAATATTGGAGCAACATATTATTCATTCAATTTCACTTCATACTTCTTACCAATCTATACAAATTTTGTATTTGCCTTATGAGTTACCACCATTAACCAAATCATTAAAACCAAATACAATATTGGGACCATATAGAAAAATATACAGAAAGCTTAAAGAATAGCCAATTTTAACAATCTTTAAGTATTACTTTATTTCTTAATCTCTTCCATTGTAATTTCTTAAGCATCAATTGGGATACTACCCACTTCAAATTTTTATGTTCCTCTATCTAATAAATTCATCACTTAATCTAATTTAGTTTCTTCCTATTCAATGTTTAGTGATAAGTCATTGACTGGCTAAAATAATTGTTATGTTAAATTCTTACATATTATATTTAAACATTAATTAATGTTAAATATAATCCATATAAATATGCTACAAACTCTCCTATTAAATATCCAAAATGAATATATCCTTCATCAAATACAGAAATACTTAAATCTAAAAAGAAAATCATAACAAAAAAGATGATTGTATATTCTATATAAATTAATATATTCTCTTTACATTTTGTATTTATGCATACACTTCCAGATGATATATGTACAATCATTCCCAGAGTTATTATAGGTAATAAAAATGATGTTGTTAGGAAGGGTAAATAAAAGAACCAACCAAAAAATAACACATTCAATAAAGTTGAAAATAAAGTTATTGCAAATGAATAGCATATCATCCAACCTAGCCATTAAAATTTCATCACTCTTTCCTATAAATTATTCAGAATCTTACTTCTTTCTTCATTCCTCTTGCTTTATATGTGGCTATAAATAAATGTAGACTCAATGTAATGAAAAGGAATAAGAAGAAATTACTACAGAATCCCCATTCATCTACAAATGCAAAACCTAAAGCTAGTGAAAATTAGAATATTTATTATATTGCCAAGGCTCTCAGACTGTGTTTTAGAAATTGTTTTCTCTCTTCACTTGAAGCTTCACTAATTGTTCTTGTTGTAGTACAATTATCTAAAACGATATTTTATTGATTGACTGGAATTGCCTATGAAGCTGTAGGTTCTTCAATCTAATGATTTGAATCATGTTATTCATCAATTTAAGGATATGGATTTATATCTTACAGATCACTCATTATTTGATTTTTAAGATTATTATTAAATTATAATAGTTTGTATTTAATAATGTGTGAATATTAATATATGGATGTTATAAAATTAAAAAGAAACATAATTGAAAAATATTAAAATATTATCAGTTAAAATTAGTAAACCAATTTTGGGAAGATAGTAGTGACAACATCATGTTAATTATCACTACTATTATTTATTAATTACTATATTGTATTAATTTATTAGAATTGATTTTTAAATTATGAAAGTCTAAGAGTCAGAAGTTTATAAACGTATAAAACTCCTTGGATCAGGAGCTTATGGAAAAGCATATGTAGCTGAGAGTATTAGAGATGGACAATTATGTGTCATAAAATAGATAGATGTGTCTTTCATGAAACAGGATGAGATTGCAGTAAGAGTATATTGATTGATATAGCAAGCATATAAAGAGGCTAAAATAATGTCGACATTGAAACATCCTAATATTATAAATTTTAGGGAAGTGTACAAAACAAAGAAGGGTAAATTGTGTATTGTTATGGATTATGCTGATGGTGGTGATTTATCTCAAAAGATAAAACAAACACAAGGTTCTTTGTCAGAATCTCAAGTACTTGATTGGTTCACTTAATTGAGTTTGGCAGTCAAGTATTGTCATGATCGAAAGATCCTTCATAGAGATATAAAGACTTCAAATGTGTTTTTAACAAAAGAAGGAATGGTAAAGTTGGGAGATTTTGGGATTGCTAAGATTTTATCAACAACATCTCCTTGTGCAAAATCAGTTATTGGTACACCATATTATATGGCTCCTGAGATGTTTGAGAATCAACCATATGGATTTAAATAAGATATCTGGTGTTTAGGAGTAGTTCTTTATGAAATGTGTAATAAACGACCACCATTTGAAGGTGATAATATAGCATAACTTGCTTTAAAAGTAGTTAGATGTGAAATAACTCCAACTTTGGAATATTATTCAATTAAATTAAGAAAGTATGCAATTGCATTCACTTCTAGCACAGTTTAATAGGGAAACTTCTCTCTTGTAAAGAACATCGAAGACCAGCTATCAATGAGATATTACGTGAGTAATTAATCAGAGATAGAATCAAGTCATTTCTAAGTGAGACTCTTTAAAAAGAATAATAAGTGATTGATTAATCATAAAAAGCAAAGAAATCTGTATAATAATTACCTCAATTGAAAAGACGAGTAGCTACACCAAAATAAAGAGCTAGTCCTAGTGTTCATAAATTACCTGAAATAAAAAGAACTATTGATACACCTGATTTTAGTAAAAGAGTACAATTGAAATAGAATCAATCAGTACTTCATGCATAATCTCCTAAAAGATAATCTCCTAGAAGAAAGAATTAATTATCAGAAGGTCCTGAGACACCTAATAAAATGATGAAATCACCTTCACTGAACATAAGGATTTAGAGTGGTAAAATACTTACAGATAAACATCTTTTATTAAAAAAATAAATTAAATCATTTGATCGTTAATAGAGTGGTAGATAAATAGTGAATCATTAAAGCAATATATTTTTTAGTCCAAAAAGAAAATAATTAGAAGAAGAAGAGAAAGTATTAGATCCTATTGAAGAGGCTGATAGTACTCCATTGACATTGACTAAATCTAATATAGAATTTTAGGATTTTAATAATTCAATTGAGGAAAGACGAAAGAAAAATAAAATTATATATAAAGATCCATTTAAAAAAGATGATGAAATGAGTGAAATGATATCATAATTGCAAGAAATAGTTGAAGATGATTTTGATAATCCACCAATTAATGAATAGATTAGAGTACATAAATATTAAATAATTTAGAATTTAAAAGCAAGATTAATATAAAAATTAGGTAGACATTTTGATGAAGTTTTTAAATAATGTGTGTAGGCTTTTAAAAAGAATGGTGATCTTGGTTAAAGTGAAATGATTAACATTCTTTAATAAAGATTCTCTGGTGTCTCAATAAAAAAAGTTTCTGGTATTGCTACTCTAATTCTCACCCTTATTATTTAAACAAAAGGTGAAACCATCAATACTGAATTTTGACTATTTATTAATTATATCATAGTTTTTTATAATATACAAAATAATTTATTCTATTCAAACTGATTCATATAGTGATTCCAGAAATCTTTTTTATTCTTCTGATAATTTTCCTTTAGAGTTCATCATTTCCTTTAATTAATCTGGAGGTACAAAACTAAATGACACAGTTTTATTTTAATTATTAGATCGTACAATCTAAAAATCATTCTTATTTTTTAAAATGCTTTTGCAAGTCTTAACTGGACTTTAATCCAATATAGGAAGACTTATATCATCTTAACTATTATCATTTTCATCATTTGAATGACTAGTCAATTAAATATGCTCATCAGGACATGATGATGATTCACTGAATTTTTATTGAATTCTTAACTAAGCATACTTTTCTTGTTTGCTTATGGACACTTAATCCCAAAGTGAAATGTCATTTTGATTAATTGGGATTTGAAGACAAGTTGATCCCATTTCTATAATATTAATAAGTTTAAGTTAAGTTTATTTTATAAATTATTTCTTCACTCAAATCTAATAAATTATGGCATCTATTCAATATTGATTATTATATAATATGAATGATTATCAAATTTTAATTGATGCACTTCTGATAAAGTTTTTTATTGGACTAAAGAAATCTACATATGTAAGACAAACAGCAACAAGTACATCCTCATCCTTAAGACTCTAAAATCAATTAATAATATAATCTATACTTTTGAAGCCACTTAAGTATCTAATAAAGATAAAAGTGTAAATCCTGATAAAATTATACATAAAAAAGTATCAACAAAACCCAAAAATATAAGGAAAATCAGATATCCAAAAACTATTGCACAACTTAAAAACAAATTTTTGTTAATAATCACATTATCATTTTTTACTTATTCCAAATTTTTATCTAATTATTCTGGAAGATTTGTATTAATTATTGAATAAGATTTATTAATATATTCCAAAATATTCAATCCTTATGGTAAATCTTCTGGATTACTTAATAATGATTTATTTAATTAATTAAAATAATAGATTCCATACACAAATACAACTTCTAATACTAGAATAGGTTTGTTGTAATCACAATCAAATGCAAATAAAAAATTATTGATTGGGAATAGTATATATATCAAAATGGATGATACTTTTCCATAAGAATGTGATTTGTTTATCTAAATCAAAATAATCTAGAGTAAAGCATTTCCAACTAAACCAGCACATACTATTTTTGTATAAAATATTTTTGCATCATTTCTCCATGACCCTTTTGAAATACAAGCAAATCCTCCTAAATCTAATCCAATTAAAATGGTATAAACAATATAAAACCATTTTTAATGTTTAACCTATTAAGATTTTTATATTCTCATACCATTTTTCTAGAAGATCTTCCAATAACAAGTTTAAGTGTCAATCCAATTGTTAATGCTATAAATGTAAAATAAGTCCACCTAAAAGAGTACCTTGATAAAGAATCATATCTGCCAAATAATTTCCTATAGTCTTCACCATTTCGATATTCTTCTGAACCATAATAAAAATTTTAGTGTTCTTCAAATGGACTGTATTCCACAATACACAAAATTTCAACAAACCTAAAATCTTGAGTCAATAAAAATATTGATAACACTCCTATATATTATAGAATTGAATAACAATAGTATTTTGTTAAGAAGTGAGCTCTATTTATTGTCTATCTAAAAGGTGGTTTATTTTCAACTTATAAATCATTTTTTATTTCTTTATCATTTAACTAATCATTAGAAATGATTGGATCTAATGTAGGATATTTTACTTTCTCAATTAAAATTGATTGATTAATCATTTCAACATAGGAAGGTTGATTATAATCTGCTTGTATCATATAATTTAATTATAAAAATGGAATAAAAATAAACTATATTATTAGCCAAATTTATGCATTTATTTGATCATATCTCAACTCCAATACTTCTAACAAAGTTTTAGATTGGACATAATAAATCTAAATAAACTATGCTTGCTGCTATGAAATTATCATCAAATTATAAGGACTATATTATATATATTATTGTATTACTCTTGAAGCAACTTATGTCTCAAATATTAAACCAACTATTGAACCAGCTAACAATATCAATGGAACACATGATATTTAGTTTCTGGTTATAATTAAAAAGATTATTAAAATAATTTGAATTCCAAGTGCTCCTATTATTACTAATGTCTTTTTGGGAATAGTTAGAAGATTTGGATTTTTTTATTCAATTCCTTGAGATTCATTATTGATAGGAGTTATCTCTTAAAAAAGTTTAGTAATATCTTTACGAACTGGTAGATCTTCTGGATTCAATAATAAGGAATAATTGAGTTGATTAAAGTAATAGAAACCATAAATTGCAATAGATTCAAAAATCAGTATTATGGCTTCAAAATTCTTGAAAATTAAAACCAAAATAAAGTTAAATGGAATCTACATATAGATTAGATTATTTGCAAATTTGTTGTAATAGTTAAGTTTATCAATTTTAATGAGTGAAAGTATCACTATACTATTTAATAGTAATATTGAATTAGTAGTAATTGTTACATAACATATATCTTTATGGATCCAATAGTTATCCTTATACTTTCCTGCATAACCAACAAGACTAAGTCCAATGAGCACTGCCTAAGAAAAGAAAAGGGATATTTAATATTTAACCTAAATTTTATACAATATAGAATACAATGGTTCGATTAATTCTACCAAACAATATTGCTAAAGTGTTTAAGATCAATAAGGTTATAATTACATAAAATGTCCATCTTACTTCAGATATTTCATACCATTGACTTTATCTCCAATTTTCATATTCATCATAAGTTTAAGAGTTTGGATAATACTTTTTATATTCAGAATAGCTAGTATAATATCCTGCTAAATTGATTTTGGAGAATTTAGTTGATATTGACATGAACCATTTTGTTAATCCTAAAATTTGTATAATCAACACAATCAAAAATGATATGGCTTAATTCTTATAACAATCAAATAAAAATTGAATTCTCTATTATTTTAATTCATCTTATGTATTTTAATATTTTGGCATGGAATTGTATGATGGAGGTGGAACATAATTGCTTAAATCAGGGTAATTGATTATTTTTATCTGATTCTAATCTAAGGTGATGTAATTAGGATTTGAATTATCTACTTAAGACATTTTATTATAATTTTTAATTTTTATTAATTTATTATTAAAGGAATTATTATGATATATTTAATAGATATATAAGATAATTATAAGTCTAAAGTATGAATGATATAGTAAATTCAAGAATTAACATACAAACTCAGAAGTAAACTCAGAAATTAATTTACTTTGTCGTAATTAATCAGTTTAAAATCATTTTAAATAGCTTTTGATAAAAAATGATCATTTCAAATAAAACTAATTAAATTCATACTATTACTTATTTTAATGATTGTATAATATACATTTATGTAAATTATAATCTAATACTATTTAAATATTATTCTTCAGGAGAATAATTTTGTAAATTTCTATGATGATCTAAATATAATTAAGAAAATAAATAAGTATTGTTTGTAATAATAAATATTCTTCAAGTGTTATCAGATTTTCATATTTATATAATTATGCTATTTAATTGTAAATCAATTTAATTAAATACTTACAATTAATAACTTATTTAAGAAAGTACTAATACTAGTAAATGCTCTAAATATATTAATTAAATAATATTTCTAATAATATATGAGAAATCTATTAAATGAATTTAGAGCTATAATTATTTATTAAATAACAATCTAGGGTATGATGAATTTATAAAAATATCACTCAATATCTACAACAAAACCTTATTCTTACTATCTTTTAATTGATCCTAAAGCATTGTGTTTGTTTTTGCGAGCAGCAATCATTCTTTCTCTTAGCTAATAAAGTTTAATTATAAATATATACTTCATTATCTTCTTTAGTTTGGAAGTCATCATTTGGATGATTGCCAATTCTGTAACCAATAAAATCTAATTGAATATAATATTTATTACCTCCTTCTCCTAAATTGATTGGATTTTTTTTTAAATTATCACAAATATTTTATTATTATTATTTCTAAGTTTATTAAACTTATTTATTATTATTTTAATTTCCTTATTTACCCTGTTTACCTTTACTTTTACCTTATTATTATTTCTATAGACCATTAGGGTTTATATGTAACCATTAGAATTCATAAATAATAAATTTAGCTAATTGTATTTCATTTCCTTCTTCAATTCCAATAAAATTTTAGATCTATTCTTTCAAATCATTTAGAGTAGGAGTCTTAGATGTTTTAAAAATAAATTCTTATGGTTTGATGTATACTTTATTTATAGGATCTCTCTATTTAATTAATAAGAGCATTTCATCATCTTTTAAATTTTCTGGATTATTTAAAACTTAATAAACAATATCATTAGTAGAGAATTATAATTTTTATAAAGGTAATTCTAATTTTCTAAAAACTTATCCAAAAAATCTGTTTTTATTGATATCTCTTACTCTTAAATGATCAATATCTATATTCAATCCAAAAGTAGAAATAATCATTTATTTCAAATCTTTTAAAGTGGCATCTTTTCTCATAGTTTCATGTTTTTAAAATAAACAATCATCAGGATAACCAGTAGTAGTTGAATAAAGTTGGAATCTTATCAATTCACAATCAATTTATGCTGTTTTATCACATAACATAAGTAAATCTCTATCTCTTAAATAACATTAAGAAACTGTTTTAGTTTCATCAGTTAATCCTTCAGATGCAACTTATAACCAATCTACTTTATAAAGTCTATGTTAAGAAGAATCCAAATTAAAAGATTTGCATGATTCTAATTTAATCTATTCAATCTTATCTTCTCTAGGATCAACATGTATTTCTATATTCTATTCCTTATATTGAACTACTATTGAAATCTTTCCATTTTCAGGAACTTCTCCCTTTTCTATTTATAATCTTGCTCCACTAAAATATTGTTATAATAACAAATTACCCTTCTCTAAAATCCTAAAATTCCTTTAATTAAATAGAAAGATCAGTCTTACAAAATAGGATTGATCCATTAAGATTTCTTAATCTATGAGCATCAATTATTCCAAATTATTCCTTAATAAATTCAATCAATTCTTAAACAGTCTAATTCATATTCACATCTAAAATAAATAAGAAATAAATCTTTACAAAATTTAGAAACTCCAACTTTATCACCTTATTCTACTAAAATTGATACAATATCATCTCCTACTTATAAATCTTTCTCATTTTTGTTAACATTCTAAACTGGCATCTTTTTCTTAACCAATATTTAAGTTTCAAAAGTTAATTACATATCTCCCAATTATGTTTCATCACTCAAATCTGATATTATTTTTTAATTTTGAACATTTCTTAATTCTTATTCATTTTCAGGAATTCCACACAATGCAAATATCAATTATTTTAATTCCAATAATGTAGTTGAAATATACAATAAAAAAGACTAAGGTTGTTTATTAATGATTAAATTAAGTCTATAAGGTACTTTTTACAATCCTACTTAAGGAATATCTTAATCTTTCTTAACCAATATCCAAGTTGATTCATGTTCAACCTTTTCTTCTTCTAATGTACTTTCTAAATTCTTTAAATATCTTGGAAAATGTAATAGTTTATTTTAATAATTTTCTTAAAATTCTAAGAGCCAATATCCATCTTTATTAATTTATTCATATAATTATTAAATTTTTTAAGATAATCTTAATTTATATGTTACTTTTTCATATTTCTCATCTAATAATTTATGATTTTATAAATCAATAATTGAAGCATCTGCTACTGTTATAATAATATGTTATTTAGCTTCCTCATAAACCTATCTATCTTATTCAATCTTTTCATTTAATTTATTCACATAATCATATAGATATTTAGGTATCTCCTCCTTTGATAATTTAGATGGTACCAAATTCCTATCCCTATAAATCAAAATATAAGCACTCTCTGATCCCTAATATTATTTTTATATCTTATTAACAGGTATAGGAATAACAGAGTTATCATTGAAATCATACCATCCTTATGCAACCTTAGGATTACTAATCTCAAATGGCAATTAAACTTCATCATAATCAACCTCATCTTCATTTTTTTTCATTTATTATTAACATTCTACTTTCTCTTACCAATATTCTGGAATGTGAGATAACCAATCTCCTTCATCCAATAAATCTCTAAAATAAGCAAAATAATGTCCTCCATGAGCATTACCTCTATGAATTATTATACCTTATAACTCATATATCAAATTATCAACTGGATTTTCTAAATATGCTCCCATCTCTATTTCTAATGGAAATTCAAATCTATCATTTAATTTCACTCTTTGCATTCTTTCATAATCAAATGTATATCTATTCAAAGTTATAGTCAATATTGATGGTAATTTCCTAATCTTGTCTCCTTTCAATGCATCTACCTATTAATATTGAATATTTATATTACTTTAAAACCACATATATCACAAAAATATTAATTGGTACCATCCAATAAAAATGGATTAATATAACTGAATAATCCTTCAGATAAATTTTTATTGCCTTCCACTTAAATATTCAAATCATACATGATCTCTTCATTACCATGAGAATTATTGCAATTCAAACAAGTTATATGATGAAATACCACTCCTTTATAAAATGGTGCAATAATAAAAGGAGTACCATATAAGGATCTATCAAGTGTCTCAAATAGTACTCTTAAGTATATTTATTTCATTCTTACTTATTAGCATCTGACACATCTTATTATAACATTTATTGACCATCATTCCAACCAAAACTAGAAGTCAATGCTTCAGTTGATGTTGCCTTTGATTACAAACTCTACATTTTTATGAATAACTTCTAAAACTCTAATAGGAATCTATTTCTGCTTTCATTCTAAGCTAAATTAGCTGAATCTTCAATTGTTTCTTTGCATAATGGTAATTAAAGAATGACTTTTCTAAACTCAGGACACATATAATATGATTGTATTAAGCTGTTCAAGTAACATGTAGCACCTTAATTTTTAAGGCCTGCAAAATGTTTTATTCTTGGAAGCTCTGGCATATCCATTTAATCAGCACAATTCTTGGCCTTTCTTGTTTAATATGTAATAATTGTTGGATTATATTATTCTTCCATTGTTTCGAAGGTCTCTCCAAACATTTTAATATTTTAATTATTAAATTCTTTTATAATAAAAAAAAAAATTTAATAATTAAAGAATTAAACAACATAATGTTTATTCTTAATTATTTTCATTATTATTATTAAATTATTTAATATAAAGATTTAAAATATATTTTATAATTGAATAAAAACTTTTCATAAATGAGTTGTTTTCAAATTATTTTACAATGAATTTCTATTGGCTTTTTTACCATATTTAAGAAATATCAAGATAAATATGATATTAACTATTAATATTCCAGATTAGATTGTTAGAGCATTTTGCAATAATAATGAATTTACTAATTAAATTTCTAAAGTAAGAGTTGATACATCATTAGAGAGTATTAATTTTGCATTCTAAGTGCATTCATTTACACACTCAACTTTAAATTAATTTAAAGTCATAAAATATAAACTTCCATTTATATGGTTATATATGACATAATGAGATTGATTAAATTTTTCAATTCTTTTATAATCATATGATTCTAATCTTTAAATACTATCCAAAAAGTCTTTATTGTTCATTTATACTTTTATATCATAAACATTGACAAATTATTTATTATTCTATTCAAATGTAGCTACTATAAAATTATCATCTGCATAAAGTAATTCTATAAATTGTGATTGTTTTTCATATCTTAGAAATTAATGTGATTTAATTTTGAAATTATCATATTGGATATCATCAAAAGAAAATTCAAAAACTTAACTAAATTATGTATGATAAATCAAAATGAATTTAACAACATAAATATGTCCCTTTTTTTCTAGATAAAAAATCTCTATCTTTTATATTGCAATATCAAAATTGAAGTATTCAACTTGTCCAAATATTAATGACAAATCAATCTCAAATTCCTTAATAATATCAGTTTTGCAATACTATTATAAAATCAATTACTTATCGTTAACAGTAATAAAATAAATCTTTATTTTATTGGAGAACCAATATACAATTATATATGTTTGATTTGATAAATAGATGGAATCAATATAATAAAATTATTTATCTTATTTTAAAAATGGACCGATAAGCTAACAAATATCTTTGTAGAATAATAATATTTTGTATCCATAAATTTAAAAATATAAGATATCTTTAATTAATTTCACTTTTTCCAAATTATTCACATAAGGGTGAGACAGTATACTTTATACAGTTTTCTTCTATATTATTACAAATTAATCTAAGTCATTTTTTTCTAATTATACCATCAAGTAATCTAGATTATGATTATTATGATAAAAAACATAATATGTAAGTAACTCTTAATTAAAAATTATTCCTTTTATTTAGATATGAATTAATTCAAGAGTTAGATTATCTATTATAATAAGAGATTTAATTTCTTTTAATGACTAATTATTTAAACAAAGACTAGATTCAAAATATTAACAAATTAAGTGTTATTATGTAATATTTAGAGGTAATTTAACTATAAAATCTTAATTAATATCAGCTGTTACAATATTTCCTTTAATTAGATCCCAATTTAATGTTTCTTAAAGAAAGTAATTATGTTAAGTTTTATTTAAAGTAGCAAGGGTGTAATTATGATTTAATTTTTATATTTACATCTTAATTTTAACAGATTAATTACCAACATAAGAGTTTACAATTACTTCCAATTCTTTTTCTATCCTGAAGATATTTTACTATTAAATTGAATATTTAAAACAAATCTAATTTAATTGATGATAGAATATTTTTTCATTATAATAATAAATTAAAATCCTTTTTTTATCATCAAAAATTTCATAAATTTGATAAAATTATGAATTTTCATCAATTTCTGTAATAAAAATAAGAGAATTAATAGCTGAATTTCTTAAATTATAAACAAGTAAATACAATTTATTTTAATTTTTTGCACTTATCATTAAATAAAAATTTTAAAATTTTTAAGAAAAAGAAGGTTGATATTTGAAATTATAAGTTGGAATAATATATTATTAAATTAATTCAGTTTTTATTTAACGATATAATCTGAGTTTTATTTCATTTTCTTCTTCAACAAATATTACAAACATTAATGATAATTCATCTGTTAATACTTCTATAATTTTTCCTTCTAACTAATATCTTCTATTCAGTTTTGATAAATAAATGATTTCATTCTGGCTAATTAAAATTTGACTATTCAAAATCTTATAATAATGATTACAATTAAAAAGATAATATTAAGATTCTTCCATAAATAATAATTTATTAACATCAATATATACGATTGTTAACTTACAATTTTCATATAAAATGCTTATGTATTTTAAATATATTGCTATTTTTATTATTTTATTTTCTTAAGGAAAATTTGTTATTTATAATTACAATGAGTCATCTATGGTAATTAATTATATTGTTTTCTCATAAATAATCAAAGTGTTTCCTTATCCCACAATAATCAAATCTATGATTATCTTTTTAATTAATTTTATACTCTTTTCTTAAATAATTTCACTTTTGTTGCAAAATATAAATGTTATGATATCTTCCTATTTAAACATTATACACATGTTTATTTAATCATTTAATTTCCCAAAATATATCATTTTCATATATTTATGATAATTTATTTTGCAATTTTCTATGTATAATGTCTAATTTATTTAAACATATTTATTATTTTCAATGATAGCTTTTAAATAAATTGGAAGACTTTGTGATATTTATGATTATTTAAAACATATATCTTCACTATCATTATTTTAATAAATTATGTTTTCTTATTAATTCATAATTACTCTAACTTCATTTTACTTTAAAATTTCAATATAACTTTATTCTAATATGAAGTCTTAAAGATAAATCTAATTTCCAAAGTTTAAATATAATATTTTCTAAGAAGAGATAAATTAGTTGTAAGTTCTTGGTGGTTAAATTTAAAAGAGTCTTAATTGAGATTAATAAACACCAACAAAATATTGTTAATTAAATAGAGGTAATATCTCTAAAATAGATAAATTTATTTTTTATTATAATTAGTTATTTATTTTAGCAAATATGTAATCATTAAAATGCAATACTAAAATCTTTTCAATTATAAAAGAATTTTTATACTTACTACTACTTAGATTCAATAGATTCTTGTCTATTCTCAATTCTTTACTAGAATTTTCAACATCTAATATTAAATTTGATTTTTAACATATTTCGAATACATTCAATATTATTGCATCAGTAGCATTTGAATAATAAATAATCTAATTCTGTTTCATATTATAATTCAATATTAATTTTTAAAATATTATAAATATTCTATCTAGTTGACATATTATAATTTTCCTCAAATATCCATATTAAGTATATGTTATATTATTTTCTTAAAATAATTCAATCTTTTTTATTGATTTATACTAATAAATTTGTTAATCAATTTCAACTTAATAAATATTATTTGATTTACAATTTTATTCAAAAATAAAAATATATGATTATCTATAAGAGAAATCAATTTAACAAATATCTTCAATTTCTAATTATATTTGATCATATATTATGCCATCCAAATTGATAATAGATATAATTTATTGATTTTCATTAAGTTAGCAATTAATTATATAGATTTATTAGTTCACTTAAATTAAATTTTTACATGATTGATAGGGCAATGTTATATTACAAAAATGAGGAGTAATAACTAATTATGAATTCAACAGATAGTCTTTAATTATATATAAACAATATAAACTTGAATTATCCATTACCATAATCATGTTATCTTCTTCATTTATTACATGTTAAAAATAAAATAATTTCATTTACTCTGTAATATTAATGAAGACCTAATTTTCTATTTTTTCTTCATGAATTAATTCAATTTGAAATTGGCTTTCATTTGAGTCAAGCAGATTTTATTCAAATGGAACAAAATACCTTTAGTTATTTGTAAATTTAGTTTCTCCTTATACAAAATACTCTGTTTATTGATAAGTTATAGAAATTAGTTAGAGGATATTGAAAGGAAAAGCACTAAAAAAATATAAAAAATTCATAAACAATGATTAATATTATTAAATTATTTATAATTTTTATTAAAAATACCTTAGATTTTATGAGAGATATCATTTATAATTGAAATCAATATCTATTTTGAGTAATTTATTATTATACAAGATTATAGAGAGTATTTAATAATTTTTAACGAATAGAAAAAATGATTGAGTTTATCAAATTATAAAATAAGAAATATCAAATTTTTATTGATAACAAGAATGAATTTTAGTAATCTAATTATTTATTTACTACAGGTTTCAAAAATGTAAATCAAACTAGAAAAACAATGGAATATAGAAAGAGAGTATCACACATAATTACAAAACCATAATGAAACTTGTATTTCTATTAAGAACATGCTATATTTTTTATTTAAAAGATTTATTCAAAGAAATTTGAGTGAGTCTAAGTAATTAAAATAATATAATATAATCAATGAAGACTTTTGTGAATATAAAATGAAATTTGCTCTGAATAACTTTTCAACAAATTATAATCAATAAAAATAAAGAAAAATAATAGTTCTCACTATAGGAATTGTTAGAATATTTTAGGAATAATTTTGAAAAAAATAAAATATGTGTATTTAATTTTAAGGCTTTATCATTATTGAAGTATAAGAATAATCCAAAACCATAAGATAAATAGATATTAATTAATGAACAAGTTATAAATCAATTATAGAAATTCTTTTATTAAGAAGTGAAAGAATGTACTGGAAGATTATATTAAGAAGTAAAAATGATAAATGAGACTGAGAAATTGGATAAATTAAGTAATGAATGCAAAACCATAAGATATATGGAAGGATTGGAGAAGTAATTCAAATAATTGTCTGGATGCAAACAAGACATTAAATTACATTGTAGAATGGTATTTTAAAAAGTTAAATTGAGTAATTGATTATGAAAATTATTGGAATGATACTATTATATATTATTTAAATAATTAATATGCAACAAAGTGACTCATAATAGCCACAAACAACGCAAACAATAGATGAACAACCAAAACCGAAGGATACACGTTATAAGACGAGTGTAAGGTCTTTGCCTAACTTGTAAGGATGTCACGAAGACAAAAGGAGTAGAGTTTGAAGAGTTCGATTTGAAATAAGAATTAATGTAAGGTCTAGCAGCAGCAAATTATGAGAAGCCATCTCCTATTTAAGAAGAGTCAATTCCATTTGCATTGGCAGGATCTAATATTATAGCAAGAGCTAAAAATGGCACAGGCAAAACAGGAGCCTATATAATTCCAATTCTAGAAATGATGGAGAAAGAAGGTCAGATCTAGAGTCTGATCTTAGTACCTACAAGAGAATTAGCTCTATAAGTTTCTAGTTTAGTAAAGGAGATTGGTAAGTATATGAAGGTTGAATGTATGGTTTCAACAGGAGGTACTGATTTTAAAGAGGATATCTATAGATTGAAACAGGTAGAGAGTTAAATGATTGTAGGTAGTTCATGTATTGGTTGGAACACCTGGAAGAATATTAGATTTGGCATAAAGGAAATTAGCTGATTTGTCTAAATTAAAACATTTTGTTTTAGATGAAGCTGATAAATTACTTTCAGTTGATTTTTAACCACTTATTGTTAAAATACTTTAATTTGCACCTCCAGAAGTATAAATTATGATGTTTTCTGCAACATTTCCTGTTGATGTTAAAGGTTTTATTAATGAACATGTTCCATAAATACAAGAAATTAATCTTATGGAAGAATTAACATTAAAGGGTGTAACATAATATTATTTATTTATTGATGAGAAATAAAAAGTCAATTGTTTAAATTTCATATTTAGCAAACTTGAAATAAATTAAGCAATTATATTTTGCAATTCAGCAAGAAGAGTAGAATTATTGACTCAAAAAATTACTGAATTTGGGTATTCATGTTTGTATGCATTTTGTATCATTCTATTAGCTACATTCATGCAAAAATGAATTAGAAGGATAGAAATAAAGTATTCCATAGTTTTAGAAAAGCTGTAGGTAGATGTCTTGTCTCTACAGACCTCTTTACTAGAGGAATTGATATTTAATCTGTCAATGTTGTCATAAATTTCGATTTCCCAAGAACTGCTGAAACATATTTACATCGTATAGGCAGATCAGGAAGGTAATTTAATAATTAATATAATAATTAGATTTGGTCATTTAGGTTTGGCTGTTAACTTTATAACTGAAACAGATAAAGATACTTTGGTGTAAATTGAATAAGAGCTAGACACTGATATTAAACCATTTCCAAAAGAAGTTGATAAGAGTATATATTGATAAATTAATAACAAAAATTAATACCCTCAGCCTATTCTACTATTTGTTAATTTATATTAACAAATTTTAATCATTAATATTAAATATTATAATAATTATCAACGAACTATATATTTGAAGTAAATACTACTTCATAATTATACAAATGTAAAAAAGATGTATTAAATTCAAATCACATTTTCATATTAAAATAAATTCTCTTCTTTTTATATATAAAAAATTATAAGCAAATATCTTTTTCAGTCTAATATGAAAATAAGGATTTAAATAAAAAAAAATAATATGGAAATATAGACTCTTTTGTATTTGGCATAGATTTCTATTTTCTAATTACTATATATTCATTATTCAAAAATACCAATACATTTCTTTTTATAATTGATTTTCCAGTTTTTTCTGGGGATCATTTTCTTCTTTTAAACTTATAAAAAATCTTTAACAGAAAAGTCTAAATAAGATATATATATATATAATCTAAACTAAAAATATAATTTAAGAAAGGCCTTCAAAATTCATATAGGATTTAAAATTTTAAATAGTATTGAGCTAATCGTTAGGCTACTTTAAATTAATTTTTCTAATACGTTTATTCACTCATCTAACAATTCAATTTGTTAGAGAATATAAAAAGAGTATTAAACTAAGAAAAAGTGAATTAAAATACTTATTTATAGCTTATGGTTTGAATATTATATAATAAATGAGAGAATATTATCAATTGAAATGGGAATAGACTCTTTGAACAAGTGATGACAATATGTTTGTAACTTCAGGAAAAAAGTTCATCTCTTAAATTACTTAATTTATGTCTTCGCTATTCTCTTGATCATCTTCTTTTCTATAGTTAAGATGAATATAATCACTAAAAAAAATAATATAAATTATTCATTTACCTTCCTAATATTTAATCCCATCTAAATCGAAGGTATTTGTAATATCTATTTTTTATTGCATTCTAATTTCTATCATTAAAGTATCTAGAAACAAGTGAGAATCTAGGGCCATGTTCAAGTACAAGTGATAAAATCTTTTGATCTTCTTCAAAATTGAATGATGTTGTATTATTCAATTCTGAATTTTTATTGTTTCTTCTTCTTCTTTTATAATGGAAATCAACTCTCTTCTTCTTCTTGATCTTTTTTGCTTTATGACTTTAAGGAATATGATTTTAATCAACTATTTAAGTTAATGAAGGATTCTCTTAATTTGAGAAAATCAATTAAGATGAATATTCTTCAAAATGACTTAAATCGTTTTCCATCTATAAGAAATTGATGAAATTTTGTTATGCTGCACAATCTGACATTAAATTTAATATGAAATTTAGCTTTTTACTGCTTTACGATTATATATAAATGGAATTTTATAATATCTTTTGAATTTATACATATTAATACAGTCTTAAATAATATTTATTCAATATTAATTAATTGTTCAGTTAGTAAAGTGAATTATTACTACATATTACTAAAGACATAGTAAATTAAATTAATCCATATATGAATAATAAAAAGACTTTTACAAGATAAATTTCTAGAACAAAAACTTTTTAAAATGACTTTAAATATACTACTATTTATTTGTACTTATTCTTTCAAATTATAGATTTTGTAAATAAACACATAATGAGCTCTAGAATTAAATTTAAATAAAAAGCATTCACCTCAATTATAATCAATATGATATTGAAACTAAAATCTCTTTTTTCTTTAGGTCTATTATGAAAATTAAAAATGTTATTCATTTACTGTTATTATTTCATTTTATTGATAAATATTTGGTTTACAAGATATATAATCAATAAGAAGAATTGAAAGATTTATTATATTATAAATATTATTGAATAAAGAACAAATTTATACTTAATTATAATATTTATTTAAGTATTAATTCTTAAGAAAGAAGACTTCTTTTGTTGTGAAAATAATTATAGAAAAAGAAATACAAATGAAAATATAACATAATTAATTACATATGTTAATATTTAAATAATTATATATTTCTCATTTTAAGATTAAGGTATAAATTTTATTCATTAAAATTTAGAATAACAAAATTGAAATCTATTAGATAATTCAAATTTTATTAATAAAAATAATTATGAAGAATATAACAAATAGAGTCTAAGTAGTCTAAATTAACTACTTCTATCATTCTTAAATCTAATTAAAGATATCCCTATTCTTTTTTTCTATATTAAATATATATTATAATTCTGATTTTATTTTAAAATTTCTGACAAATATTTCGAATTGTATGTTAACATCTATATTTTATGACATAGTTGTTTTAATTACTGTCAATTTGTTTAGCCACACACAATTTGTATTTTTATATAAAATATTCTGCTATTAAAATTAAGCTTTAATGAGAGTAACTTTCTTAATCCACACTGAGAGGACTATTTACAAGGGAATTATCTATAATTATCATATAGTATAAAATTATTCTAATTTCTTTTTATTTTATAAGATGATAATTTGATAATAATATTGGTATATATTAAATGATAAGATATTTGAAATACATCTAATAATAAATTTAAGTAAATAAAGAATTTAGACATACATGAATAGAGTATTTTGATTCTATAGATAATCTAATTTGAGAATATAATTTATAATAGCAATAATCTCAATATTAAAACTATGTATTAACAAAACTAAGTTATGTATCAATAACATCCTAATTAACAAATTCCAGTATAACAACATCGGGATTACAATGTTCCTCCTCCTGGTATTATGATGGTTGATTGAATTCTAAGGTTATAAAGCTCCGAGGTATCCTAGAGAAGAGTTGCCTGAAAATTAAGAGCAGAATTTAGATTTAGGTGGGTCATATTAGAGTTATCTTTATAATTGTGGAGAATGTTGTGGTAATTGTAAAGCAGTTTGCCCATGTAATCCATTTGTTGAATATCCATATGTTCAAGTTGAATAGAGCTTTGTTGGAGTGTATTTACGTTTTGGAAAGTATATAAAGACAGGTATAAACATAATAATAATATAGTTTAACCTGGATTGATATACATAAATCCTTGTACTGATACAATTTAGAAAGTAGATTGTAAAGTTTAGATGATCGATTGTCCAAGATAATAAGTTATGACAAAGGATAATATTTTAGTTAGCATTGATGCAACAGTTTATTATAGAATAGTTATACCTAGAAGATCAATCTTTTATATCAATGATCTGCATTAAGCAGTAACTTAATTAACATTGGCTACAATAAAAAGTATTGCAGGATCCCATACATTGCAAGATTTATTGGAGAAGAGAGCAGAGGTATAATAATAAATAGAAGGGTTTGTGGATGAACATGTTTGGGAATGGGGAATAGATATTGAAAATATGTTAATTAAGGATATTCAATTGAATGCTGATTTATAGAATACTTTATCAATGGCAGCGAAAGAATAAAGAGCTGCTTAAGCTAAAGTTATTTCAGCTTAAGGAGATGTATAATCAGCCAAATTGATGAGATAAGCAGCCGAATTATTGGATTCTAAAGCAGCTATGCAAATTAGATATTTAGATACAATAACAACCTTAGGATAACAAGGATCAACTAAAGTAGTGTTGCTTCCTACAGATTCTAAATGATTAATTTATATATATTGTATAAGAATATAAAATATTATTCCATAAAATTATGGTCAAAGAAAAACAAGTGCTTGAATGACGAAATATGTAAATAATAGAAGTGTCTTGAAAATTATAGAGATCAATTAAGGTGGCAATAAGTTTAATGTTAGAAGAGATGTAGTCTATTAATACGCAGAATATAGAGAATCTTGAGTAAAAATAATTATTATGGATTATGGAGGTGATGAAAGTGTAGAAAATTAGATTTCAAATAGATGATATGAAATTGGATTTATCAATATTAAAATTAATGAATTCATACATCTTATTCACTATTCTTATAGGCTTAGGTGCATCTTAAATTGTAGTGACATCACAAAACATCTGTGGTTGTACACAATTAACAAATCAAAATGATTGTGGCATATTACCAGGCTGTATATGGGTAGCAGCTAGCAACTAATGCTAATAAAATAATTGCTCAACACTAACACAATCTTAATGCTTAAAAGCTTCTTATTATTGTCAATGGAATCCAAATACAAATCCTCCATCATGTTCGGCATTTACATCATGTGCTAGCTTAACAGCTACAAACAATTAATAATGTATCTAATAGAATGTTAGATGTCTTGGATATGGTGTATTACCTAATTCAACCTCCAGTCAATGTTTGTATTATAGTGAAATCAGTTCAAATTGTAGTGAGTATCAATAAAATAATTGCTCGTATAATTTTGGTAAAGATGGACCATGTTATTGGACTAAAGATAATATATGTTAAGTAATTAATCAATGCTCACAAGCTCAACAATAAAATTAATGTGAATAACTTAATTATTTCAAATCTGATTCTCCTTAAGGAATTGTATGTTAATGGAATGGTACTACATGTTCACCTATAACAAATTGTAATCAATTTACAACTGAAGACACATGCAAACACTATTTTTCAAATTTGAATTCAATAACTTTGAATGTATGTGCATGGTCTTTAGGTTAATGTGTTAATGTAAATAACATTAATTAATTGAATTCATAAAATTGTATAACTAATACAGGTTTATTGTTTAGATGGTATGGATTATAATAAAATCCTGCAATAGGATTTTGTGGTCCATGTAAATAATTGTCTATTACAACATCATAAATATCAATTATAACAAAAGCTAGATGCATATGTTCTGATTATGTCTTACAAACTGATTGTAATTCATAGAATAGTTTATGTCAATGGAATACATTAACTGGAACTTGCTCTTAAAGTACATGTGATTAAATTAAAAATCAAAGTATTTGCACTCAAGTTTCAAATTGTTTCTGGAGTTTTAAAACTAATGTATGTTAAAATTTGAATAGTTGCAATGATCTCATATATAATTTTAGTGCAGTTGGATGTGCAGCATAAAGTTTATCATGTGCTGGTTATGAAGCAAATAGTTGTATTGCTACATCTACTATTAAATCTACATGCAGTAGTTAAAAAACTTAAACAGACTGTTCCTAATTTATTGGTGTTTAAGGTCTTTGTGTGTGGAATGCTACTAATAATTCATGTTCTCTTTTATAAGTCTGTAATTAAATATCTGATGCTGCATTTTGTGGAAATTGGAAAAATTAATGTCAATGGAATGCATAATCATCATAATGCTAATAATTGGAATGTACAATGTATTAAAATGAATAAACCTGTTCTTATGTGATTAATCAATTTACTGAATACTAATTGTGTAGATGGAATAAAACATTAGGACTTAAAGGAGGTTGTGAAAATGCTTACTCAGCATTATTATAAACATCATAAACTTGTGTTAGTAATACAGGTAGTACTTTTAGATGGAGTACCAATAATGCATCTGCAGGAATGTGTGTTTCATGTGGTACAAATCAATTATCAATTTAAACACCATCTTCATGTTAATGTTCATAATTATACTCAAAAGAAAATTGTCAAAATTCAGGATTTTGCACTTACAATTCTACAACTAACATTTGTTCACCATCATCTTGTCTTTAATATGATAACTAGATTACTTGTGCTTCATTAAGTACTTGCTATTGGAATGGCACAAATGGCTGTGTATCATTCACTAATTGTTCTTCATTAACAGCAACTAACTAATTAGAATGTGTCAATATGAATGCTTCATGTAAAGGATTCAGCAATGGTACTTGCCAATCTTTTCCTACAACAACTTGTTCTGCTTTATATGCTGCTAATGGTTAGTGTTATAATAATATTGGTACTGATGGAGTTTGTATTTTGAATACAACAGGCTAAACTAAAACATGTGATGGATTTTCATAATGTACATAAGCAACAAATGAAACCTTATGTTTAAGAAATTAATTTAGTTGTTCATGGAACAGTATTACCAAATAATGCTCTTAAGTTAATTGTTCATCATTCAAAACATAATTAAATTGTTAATTCTATTTACCAAATCCACTCTCATCATAAGTTGTTCCATGTTTATGGAATACAACTACTAGCACATGTGGACCAGCTTCTGATATATTAACATAATTAACTTAAAATAATTGTGCAGCTAGTACTCATAATACTTATAGTTGGGTGACAGTTTCTGCTACAAATAACAAAGGATATTGTGTCAGATGTTAAGAATAGGTTACATTACCTAAATAATGTGGATGTACATTTTTAAGCTAATTTGATTGTTCCTAAGCTCTATAATGTTATTGGACAAATGGGTCATGTTAAACAATGAATTGTCCATAAATACTATAATAAACAGTATGTGCTTCTTAAACTGGTTGTTATTGGTCGAATAATTAATGTCAAGATTTAGTTGGTTCATGTGATACTTTATTAGGTAAATCTTAAGCTGCATGTATGGCACAAAATGTATATTGTGTTGGTAGTAATGGTACTACTTGTAGCTAATCCTATAATAAATGTGAAGCAAATACCTTGGATACTTCATGTGTTGCATCTCTTGGAAGTGATGGAGCTTGCTATTGGAATAGTACAACTAATACATGTGTGGCTGTCAATAGTTGCAATTAATTACCAGAATCTGCATGTAAATTAAGATCAAAATCTTGTTATTGGGATATTACATCTTGCTAAACTTTAACATGTAGTACACTTTATTCATAATTTGGTTAATGTACTTTTGTTATGAATTTATCACCTATCAGCTATGTTTAATCTTGTAAAATGATCCAAAATGAATGTATTTCAATATCAGATACTCTTGGATTAACTTAAGATTAATGCTTTACCAATTCAAATAGAACTGCAAGATGGGTTCCTAAAACTAAAGGAGAGGGAGGAATTTGTTATTCTTGTTCAGCAAACTTGACTCCAATTTATTCAGCTCAAACATGTTAATGTTATTAATACATGACTTAAAATGAATGTCACAGTGTTCCAAACTAATCTTGTGTTTGGGCAAACTCAAAATGTACCGAAAAAACATGTGCCAACATTTTTACTAATTTAGCATGTGCCTAAACTATGGGATGTGGATGGAATTCTACAACTAATGTTTGTGAAAATTTCACTTCATGTAATTCAATCACTGTTACAGGATTAGCCATTCAAAACTGTCTTAGTTATTCTATTTAATGTAAAGGTTACAATGGAACAAATTGCACTTAATATCCTAATTATACTTGTGGTTCATTAACAACTTCACCTACTTGTAGTGGTAATTTAGGAACTGATGGTGCTTGTTTATGGGTTACTGTTGGTGAAACATCTTCATGTGTTGCAATAACATAATGCAATTAAATAAATAATCAATAAATATGTAGTTACTATTCTAATGTTTGTATATATTTAAATAAGGCCTGTCAATAACTTACCTGTGCTAGTTTCACAAGTCCAGCATCATGCAGATATGTTGTTACTTCCTTTACAACAGGAGATATCTAATAATGTCAATGGTCAACAAGTTCAAATTCTTGTATCGATTTGATAACATCTTCATAATTAAATTCAATTAATTGTTCAATTAATACAGGATTCACTTATAGATGGGTTCCTACAAAAAATGGAAATGGAGATGGTTATTGTACTAAATGTGTTATAAACTCTCTATATGTTCCTGGATAATGTGCTTGCAACTAGTTAATTTACTAGAATGATTGTTAAGCAAATCTTTAATGTTCATGGTCTACTGCCTAAAGTACACCAAGTTGTTATAATAAACCATGCAGTTAAATTTTTTAATAAGCAGCTTGCAGTTCCAATCCAAGATGTTCATGGTCAGCATCCTAATCATTATGTTAACCATTTTCATCATGTTCTGATCTAGCTGGTGTCAATGCTGGAGAATGTGCCAGTTATTCAATTTATTGTGCAGCTTTATCAACATCATTTTTAACACTTCAATAGAAATATATTTGCTCACCAACAGCAAGTGAATAATGTTCAGTTGCCACTCCAACATCAGGAAAAACAGATCCATCTGAATGTGAAAACAAATATGTTTCTTATGGTATTTGTTAATATAACACAACTACTTCATAATGCTAAAAAATTACAATGTGTTCAGAGATTACCTCTTAAATGTAATGTCAACGATTAGTTCATTCTTGCTATTGGTAATTACCAACTGGAGAAGCAACCACAGGTTCTTGTGTAGCTACAAAATGCACATACATTACAAATAAATTAGAATGTACTTATGTTTTGAGCTCATTGGCAACACCATCTGCTACTAGTGTAACTTAATGTACTTGGTAACCATCTAACGGTTGTTAACCAGCTGCAAATATCTTAACTACTCTCTCATCTAGTTAGTGTTACTCCAATACTTTGATGATGTCAAGATGGACTTCTACTTCAGGAGATACTGGTTATTGTGCCTCATGCACCTAATATAGTCTAACTACAACCCTTAAATCTGTATGTTCATGCTCAGATTTATCCTCATATGAATGTGCTTATGCTTCCCCTTAATGTTCATACAATTAAACTAGCACTAAATGTGTTACATAAACCTGCACATCTATTACATCTAAGTATTCATGTGCTGCAAATCCTAATTGTATCTATGTTGGAACTTGCCAACAATACACAAAATCCCCATCCTCTACTACTTATGGATGTGTAAATATCACAACTGCCACATCTTCTTTTGATTGCACTGCAGCTTCAGTCAATTGTCCTCAATTTACTCCAAATACTGCTGCAGGAAAACCTGGCACATGTGGTGTAGTAGAATAATGTAGTAAATTAAATAGTACTACATGCAGTACTGCTGCTCCTTATTGCGTTTACAACAATAATTCATGTTAAACTATTAATAATTGCAAATAGATAACTGACATTGCAATTTGTAGTTTATAAACAAACAGATGCCAATGGAGTGTTGTCTTGAATTCATGTATCACAAAATCATGTAATTCATATACCATTTAATCTGATTGCACTTATGTCTATACATCTTATTCACCTGGAGATGTCGCTCTTTGTTACTGGGATTCCAGCAATAATGATTGCCGAAGTGCTTCCTTATCATTAGCAGAGACCTTTAATTAGACTAACACCACATAATGTTATGTAAACACAGGTCATGTATATCACTTGGACGGAAATGACTGTACAAGGTGCTTCTAAAACATTTTGAGCATTCTTCTAATAACAGTGCTCCTCATATTAATTTGAGAGTATTATCATTTACAAATATAAATAAACATTTTATTTCTTATCATTTATTTACTCTCTCTATAAAAATTTAAATTTACATAAGAATAATTATTTATCTTATTAATTAATTAATATTTTTATGTATTTATAGAGAACAAATCAAATTTATTTTACATTTTTTTAATAATTTTTAAAATATTAAGACTTAAAACCTGAATAAATATTAGTTAAATATTTCAATTATTTAACAATAAGATTTTCATATCCCATCAACAAGTTTTTGTCATAAATAGTAATAAATTGTTAATTAATTTAATTACATAATACATAATTAAAATCGAAAAGCAAAATCCATGTGTAATAAATAATCCTACACATACTTAAGAAAACCAAGTATTTTATAAAAATCATTACAATTGTTGTAATTGAATTAAAATAATACTAGAAAATAAAAAATTTATCAAATGTTTATAATAATTAATAATAAAGATTTATGTTATAAAATATATGAATTGGCTTTCATAGTCTCTTTAAACTTAGGAAACCTTCTCCTTTTCCTCCACTATAACTAACTTAGAGTCTAGCTCTATTTGGTAATACAATAAAGTCTTAGGCATTCAAACCTAATAATATACATAAAAAATACCAGTATATTCTGAAGATTTCTTCTTTTAATCTAAAGTGGCAATATTCTCTCCATTGATAAGAACAGAGACAGTTTATTTTTCTTTAGAGAAAAAGGCATAGGCAATATGATAGACACCAGGGGCAACAATCAAAATAGAGCTTTTTCCTTTTTCCCATACAAAATTTTCAGGCAAAGTATTTATAACCTCATATTCCCAAGGAATTAAATGATTTTATGTTTCACCTGATCTCCATTAAAATCTAGCCACAATATTTTCTTAACAAAGTGATTCATAGATTTAATTTTAACTTTTGAGATAATTAGATAGATCATCTGCTGATACTTTAGTTTATAAATCATTATGAATAGCTTCAAATGCTTAATTGATTTCAGGTATATCTATATATTATAATTATTATAATACTTGCTTTAGTGTCTAGAATAGTAATCATATCTTATATTCCAGCTTTGAGCATCATATCTTTTTGTATTAAATCTAAAGTATATTTTGTCAATTAAATATGTTTGGTTAAATCCTTTTAATAGGCTCTTTCATCTTGATCAATACATAATTTTTAAATAATGTTTTTTAATTCTTCAAAATCTTAGAAAAGTACTCTTTATTTTAAATTAATTTCTAATTAATTCAATTGTTATTCAAATGAAGATATTTTTTTAGAGACTATTTAAGAGACTTCTTATTTAATATTTTTAAATCCATCTTAATTGGAACCAGTTTTTTTGATTTCATTAACTCTTCTTTATAATTATTATTCAATTTAAACTTAAATATGTTATTCATCTTCATATGATAACTATTTAGCTTTAACTTCACTTATTTCCTTTAATTATAATAATTAAATACTTTATTCATTTATTAAACTTATCTTTATAATTGTTTAAATACTTAATCTGATTTAAATTCATCTAGATACTCTTACATTTAATCTACTTTTTATTATATATCTTTTTTTTATATTTTCATAGTATTAATTACTTTTTTAAGATCATCTAATTCTTCTCTTTTGTCATCATCCATTTATTTAATATTTTCAGATAAATTATATAATTCTTCTGTCAATTTCTCAGATAAATGAGTAGATTTCATTATAGTTGTTTACATTTATTCACTTGTGAATTATTTAGATTCTAAAATTTCATTTCTCAATCTATCTAGATCTGAAATAATTTCTTAAGAAAATTTATTAAATCTTTAAGAATAACCATCCATTTCTCCTTAAAGTGAATTTATAGAATGCATATATTTATCTAATTCTTTATTATCAACTTTTTTATTTAATTATTTTGTTACTCCATCAACTTATTATTTCATTTCAACCATCATAGAATTATTATCTTACAATCTAGAATCCACAACATTTTTTAATTCTTATTATTATTCTTTAATAACTTCTAATTGATGTATTTCAGCCTTATTTTATAATGAATTAATTAGAATTGAAAAATCTTATCTATCAACTTTAACTTCTAAAATTGAAGCAATTTTATCAATCTAATCTAAAGAAGCTTTTTAATCAAGATTTTAGATGATTGGTTATAAATCTTCTAAAGAAGAGTAATTTTATAAAATTTAATCTAATTCTTATTTACTAATCTTTTTATTTACTGCCTATTGTACTTAATGTTTACTAGCTTTTGTTTCAAGTAATTCATTCATTTCTTATAAATTTGCTTTAAGTTCTACTTATTAAGATAATTATGAAAAATCTTTCATACTAGGTACTTATTAGAATTTCTTAGATATTTATGTTTATAATTCTTCAATTTTGTGTTTCATATTTTACATTTCTCCTTTGAATTCTCCTGATTATTATTTCTCTAACAATTATTTCATTTCATCAACATCAATTTTACTAAAAAAATCATTGAATAAATACTATACTTGCTCAACAAATACTACATATCTGCCTTTAAAACATAATCCTTTAATAAAACTTAAGAATCTTCATAAGTAATTTTAGTATCAAGATTGGCAGCTATCTCTGCTATAGTTCTTGAGATGTCATTGATATTGGCTTTAAGTGCTAACCCTGAATGAAGTTCATTTTTAGAAGCTCTTGTAGAAAGTTGCTTTTCTATTTCTCGTATACTTTCTCCTTATGATTTTACAACATCCGTTAAAGCCTTAAATGTCAATCTGATAATATCATTGATATTTTTCCATTCCGATTAAGACTATTGTTAATTTTAATGCATTCTACCTACAGCAAATCTTCTACGATGGCTGTACTATATGGATCATTATCATCTCGGTGATGCATAATTTAATTTTGAATTTCAGTTGATAATTAAATATATTAAAATTTCATTATACTAATTCTACAAATACACCTAACAAGAAGTATTTTTACATATCAATAACTGATAGTTAAAGTAAAGAGTAAAATTAGGAACATTTATCTCAAATTACCTTAACTATAAAAAAATATATATATATATGCTTAATAATTTAGATAAATTAGAATATCAAAAATATATGAATTTCATATTTTGCATATTTAAGAAAATGATTAGACCTAATTTACTAATAAAAGTTTTTGATATCATTTTATTAAAGATTGAATATGATAAGGCATTAATAATAAATTCTTTAGTTAAAAATTATTTTTGTGGATAAGTACTATCATAAATTGATGAAAATTTAAAATGGTTATTGAAAACTAATAAATAAAATCATGTTTTCTAATACAATGTTATATTTCATTATGTAATAAATTGAATATATTTTTGATTCCTTCTATTTTATAGAGATAATGAATAAAAGATTATTGAGGACTATAATATTATTTTGGAATGAGTGAAATGTTGAATGTTTTAATTTTAAATAAGATGGATTTAGATTTTAATAAAAGAGATAATAAGATGGGAATATAAATAATGAATTATTAAATTTTTATAATTGTATTATAAAATAGAAATGATTAACTTAAGTTAAATATTAGAAGGAGATAATGGGGAGATGACATTTTATTAAGATACTAGTCAAGTTGATTTGGAGGATATCTTATAAGAAGATGACGAGATTAGAGAGTAACTCAATCATTTGAATAGTGATTCTTAAACTATGGAATTTAATTATCAGAATAATGAATCATTCATTTGTGATTAAGAAGAATTCATTTCTCCAATTTAAATAATGTCTTTGGGACATCACTCTAAAACGTTTGGCATTTCAACAAATTATTTGATCAATTATTGGGAAAGATAACTAGCATTATTCTCGAATAATAAGAATAGCAAAACAATATAAATTTAAGATGCATCATATATATCAATCAAAGGATAAATTATAGCTGTTGGATTTGAGAGTGGTTAAATTCACATTTATGAAGGAAGTTAATTAAAATTAGCTCATAAAATATAGGAACATCAAACAACAATAATAGGTTTGAATATAGTAGATGTTTAAGCAAATGAAATAGTAATGGCATCTTCTGATCTGGATGGTAATGTGAAATTGATTAGAGTTGGTTAAAATTTATTTAGAAGTAAAATTGTAACAAATACTATATTGAATAAGTTTGAATATCCTGTTACTTAATTGATATCATAATAATTTAAATATTCTGATAGTGATAAGACTAGTTTATTATTAACTTTAGGAAATAGTAATATGGTTATAACATTATCAATCAATCCAGAAGTTAAGGTAGTACATGTTTTTGATAAACAGAAATCAAATAATGATCTTCATTGGGGTAAATGCAATCATGAAGGTAATCAAATATAATTATTATCTATTCAATGGAATTCATTTATTTAATTGATAACCTTTTTGGAAAATTCACCTTGGTATTTTTCATTCTATTCTGCTGATACTCCTTTAATAGGATCTAAATTCATTTCTGAAAATTTGATTATTGCTGCTACTGAAGGATAATTTCAAGTTCTTTACATTCCTTATTTCTCAAAGGGCAAATATTGTTTTAAATCTGATAGCAAAGCTAAAATTTCTAACACCAATTTCCATTAAAACATATATTGTTTAAGAGCAATAAGTAATGTAATCTATTTCATATCTGAAAATAAGTTGTATTCATTACATGCATTAAGTTGGTTATAGTATCTTAAATCCTTAATACAAAATGATTCACCTTAATGGTCAATAGCATTAAGATTTCTTGTATAAGTTTATAGAGGTAAAGTTAAAGGAATGCCAAATTTAGAATTGGATGAAGATAGAAATGCAATTTAAACATTAGCTCCTACTTTAATTACTAGTATTACTAATACTAAAATGAATAGAGAATTGATATCAGCAGTTGTTTAATTTATTCTTCTTTGTTAAATACCATAGCATTTAATGATAGTACGATAAGGTTGTGAGAAATAATAGATTTTAGAAGATTATTATAAAGTTTTAGAACATCATTTAAAGAAAATTACTTAATTACCAAAAGAGATATTTTTTGATTTGGCAAATAAATTCTCTCCTGAGTCTTTCTAGAAATTAGTAATTAATTTGGATTTAAATTCAATTGATATTGGATATACATATGATGTATGTTTAAGTAAAGAAATATACACTCCATTACTGTATATATGTCCAAGAAAAGAGGAAGATTTTTTAACTCCTTTAAATAAAATGTTTGAGAAACATAAATAGGAACTATATGAAAAATGTTTATGGTTTATAGAAATTACATAAAAATAAATTCTATTTCCAAATGATCAGATTCCATTAGAAATATGGAAGAAAGCTGTAAGATAATAGATGTTATGGTTAATGGAAGTATTGGATGTGTTGTAAAGTGAGAAATTGTTTCAAATCTTGACAACTTATCTTAAATAACCTTGCTTAGGTGCATTACATCATGAATCTGTGTATTCATATTTTAATATAACTTAAGAAAATTTATTGGCAACAAAGATATTTGAATAAGTAAGTAGTATTAAATAATAATATTTACTATAATATCTATTATTTATTAGTAAAATAATTGATTAGATTAAAGTTAAAGAATCAGAAAAATTACTATTATAGATATTTGAAATCAATAAATCTTATATTGATAATTATGTAGCAATGCCTGAAGATTTAGATTAAATCTTATAAATTATTTATTATTTAATGCCTCATACTGCATTAATTGAATAAGCATATGAAAGTTAATGTGTTGATTACATTGCTTATTACTTTTTATATTAAAATTAATACAACGAAGCAATTAAAATATTCTTTAATTATGAAGAATTCAAACTTAGAGTTTACAAATGGTTAGAATATTAACCTTATGATCCACTTATGTTAGATCATCTTGATAAGCTACTTGAATTGGACCCTGAGAAATGTGCTAAAGTATTTCAAAGTTGGCCTATCGAAACTTTATAAAAACTTATTATTTATCAACCAAAAAGAGAATTATTACATGTATTCAAATATTTATCTATTGATCTTTCTTAATTTCTTTAATTGAAACTAATTGAATTGATTAGTATTCATGAACCAGAAAATACTATTTCATGGTTAAAGAATAGACAATATTAATTAGAAGATGTTGAATAAATATTTTAATAAACCAATAATATTGAAGGATTAGGATATATTTTAGAACAAAAAGGACTATATCAATAAGCAATAGATAATTATCTTTAAGTATATATAGAGGAATCTAGAAATTACATTTTATCATTTAGAAATCAAGATAGAGTAACATAATTGTTTTAGAACCTAATGAGAGTTACTAAAATAGCTGTTTAATCAGCTGATACTAATTAAGAATTATATTTATATATAGCACACAATATCTTTAATCCGTTGATGCATTAAACTCATTGGTGTAAACTTAAGAGATCTTATGTGTTCAATTAGTAATTTAGTTAGCTATTTATGCATTTATTTCGCTATTCTCCAACAGAATTAATCAAAATAATAGAAATAAATCATGAAACATTTAATTAAGTTCACTTAAAAAGTAGTTTTATTACAGTTTTTAAGGAATTTGGATATGAAAAATAATTAGTAGAAAAGATATCTAAGATTATTAGAAATGATAATATTAAATTGCTTAAGTTACTATATTCTTTAATGAACAAATCAAATTTATATGAAATTAATTGCATAGAGTGTTAACAATCATACACTTAAGATTAAGCAATTCTTTTAAAATGCGGCCATACAATGCATCCATTTTGTTTGGAAAACAAGTATTGTCCAATATGTTAAAATATCTCAGCTTAATCAAGTATATCTAAGAATATAATTAATAGTGCTTGAAAGTATAGGAATAGAAGAATTAAAGAAATCTATCTTAAAATCTAAAGTGGATAATTAATAATTGTAATTATTGAAAAATGTTGATGATATAGATTTGGAAGATAATTTTATATAATCAACTACTTAAGATGATAAAGAAATAATAGAATTAAGATTATTAAATAAAATGGATATATATGATTAATTAACTGATTCTGCATTGCAATAGGTATTCAATTGTAATAATTGTAGTACAATTCTTTTTTAGATTAATATTTTTGATAGTTGTCTGACTTTATACTTTATATAATTGTTTATAAATAAAAATGCAGTTATTTCATATATTTAACTTAGAAATTAATTTAAAAAAGTTCAAAATTCTACATAATGTTCTGTGACCATCAAGGAGAATAATCATTCTGTATATGTTGTCAATAACTTATTTGTGAATTATGTATATGTTGTACAAATTCAAAAAAAATAAATGTGCCAAAAATACATTTAAATGCACTTTGTTCAAGATGTGATTAAACTTAAGCTTAAATTAAATGTGAATAGTGTATGTTTCAATTCTGTTAAGAATGTTTTTAATCAGTTCATAAAATAGGCAAATTTTCAACTCATATCAAAATTGAAATCAATTAAGATCTACACTAATAAATAATCAAATAAATGTCTATAATTACAGAACTTGAATAATACTGTTAAGAATAAATGACATCGATTTTATAATATTTTGATTAGATCTAAGTAGTATTAGATAGGAAAAAAAAATAGTTTCTTGATGTTATATCTAATTATCGTAATTAATAAATAAAATAGCTTAAATAGAGAATAAATTTAATTGAAGCAGCTGTCAAAATTAATTCAGAATAATCTTTTGAAATCCCAAAGTGTCTAATTTATTAAAAAGAAACNAGAATTATTACATGTATTCAAATATTTATCTATTGATCTTTCTTAATTTCTTTAATTGAAACTAATTGAATTGATTAGTATTCATGAACCAGAAAATACTATTTCATGGTTAAAGAATAGACAATATTAATTAGAAGATGTTGAATAAATATTTTAATAAACCAATAATATTGAAGGATTAGGATATATTTTAGAACAAAAAGGACTATATCAATAAGCAATAGATAATTATCTTTAAGTATATATAGAGGAATCTAGAAATTACATTTTATCATTTAGAAATCAAGATAGAGTAACATAATTGTTTTAGAACCTAATGAGAGTTACTAAAATAGCTGTTTAATCAGCTGATACTAATTAAGAATTATATTTATATATAGCACACAATATCTTTAATCCGTTGATGCATTAAACTCATTGGTGTAAACTTAAGAGATCTTATGTGTTCAATTAGTAATTTAGTTAGCTATTTATGCATTTATTTCGCTATTCTCCAACAGAATTAATCAAAATAATAGAAATAAATCATGAAACATTTAATTAAGTTCACTTAAAAAGTAGTTTTATTACAGTTTTTAAGGAATTTGGATATGAAAAATAATTAGTAGAAAAGATATCTAAGATTATTAGAAATGATAATATTAAATTGCTTAAGTTACTATATTCTTTAATGAACAAATCAAATTTATATGAAATTAATTGCATAGAGTGTTAACAATCATACACTTAAGATTAAGCAATTCTTTTAAAATGCGGCCATACAATGCATCCATTTTGTTTGGAAAACAAGTATTGTCCAATATGTTAAAATATCTCAGCTTAATCAAGTATATCTAAGAATATAATTAATAGTGCTTGAAAGTATAGGAATAGAAGAATTAAAGAAATCTATCTTAAAATCTAAAGTGGATAATTAATAATTGTAATTATTGAAAAATGTTGATGATATAGATTTGGAAGATAATTTTATATAATCAACTACTTAAGATGATAAAGAAATAATAGAATTAAGATTATTAAATAAAATGGATATATATGATTAATTAACTGATTCTGCATTGCAATAGGTATTCAATTGTAATAATTGTAGTACAATTCTTTTTTAGATTAATATTTTTGATAGTTGTCTGACTTTATACTTTATATAATTGTTTATAAATAAAAATGCAGTTATTTCATATATTTAACTTAGAAATTAATTTAAAAAAGTTCAAAATTCTACATAATGTTCTGTGACCATCAAGGAGAATAATCATTCTGTATATGTTGTCAATAACTTATTTGTGAATTATGTATATGTTGTACAAATTCAAAAAAAATAAATGTGCCAAAAATACATTTAAATGCACTTTGTTCAAGATGTGATTAAACTTAAGCTTAAATTAAATGTGAATAGTGTATGTTTCAATTCTGTTAAGAATGTTTTTAATCAGTTCATAAAATAGGCAAATTTTCAACTCATATCAAAATTGAAATCAATTAAGATCTACACTAATAAATAATCAAATAAATGTCTATAATTACAGAACTTGAATAATACTGTTAAGAATAAATGACATCGATTTTATAATATTTTGATTAGATCTAAGTAGTATTAGATAGGAAAAAAAAATAGTTTCTTGATGTTATATCTAATTATCGTAATTAATAAATAAAATAGCTTAAATAGAGAATAAATTTAATTGAAGCAGCTGTCAAAATTAATTCAGAATAATCTTTTGAAATCCCAAAGTGTCTAATTTATTAAAAAGAAACATTTAATTTAACCGCCAAAGAATAAATTATAGACTTGATTTTAAATATTGATATTTAAAAAAACCTTGACTAAAGTACTCTAAGTCCACATAAAATTCTTACTTAATCAAATGTGAGAAGGAGTGCCAGTTGTAAAAAATTGGAATCTTAAGAAAAAATTGTTGAGATTTGTGAAACTTTTGAAAAGAGAAAATTTATTAAATCATTGTGTTAATCTAATTCAATTTAATTATAATGGACTCATTCTAGATAGAAGGTTGACTATAATTTAGAAATGGGAATTGGCATGAAAATTAAAGGAGTTGAATAATTTAAATAAATTTATATAGGTATTGAACCATAATTTACAATTACTGGATTATAAGCAAAAACCAATTACAAATTTAGAATTTAAAGTATATTTGAAAATAAGACAAGTGAATTCAGTGAAATCTTGAATTTAGCTACATCTTAATAATAATCTATTGAGGATAGTCTAATAATTTCTAAGAAAATAATAAATAATGATATATAGGTTTAATTTGAGAAACCTGGATTAGTTTTAGGCACAAATCCATTATACTTTGGAATATGGTCTTGGGAAATCAAATTAATAATTAATGGAATAATTGAAGATTTGACAGCCAGTTTGGTTGTTGGATTAGCTAATAAATAAAGAAAGATTGTTGGAACTACATTGAATTATGGTTATTAAAGAGACTCCTTGATTATTAAGGTCTTAGTTGATATGGACAATAAGTTAATGACTATAACTTCGAAGATGCATCCAAATGGAGAAAGATTCTATAATATAATAGGTCCTGTATTTCCAGCATTTTAAAATAAAAATACTCATAAAGGATCAGGATGTAAATTATTGATATAATATTAATAATTATGAATAAAAAAGAATTAAGAAAACTTAATTCATATGTAGATAAAGAAGTACTCAATCTGACAGGTGATCTTTATCCATTTGCTCTTTTCTCATAAACAAAACCACTAAATCATTAGAAATGGGTTTAAGAGGAAATAATGCTAACTAATCATAACATAGAAAAAGTGAAGGCATGGGTACGAGAACAAGAGAAAGGGTAAATGTTTAGAGGAGAAAAAGTCAATTACGATCCAGAATATCTTGAATTTAAAGAAGAGGAAATAAGTATTGATAATGATTGGAGTTTTGAAGAGACTTAATATTTATTCAATTAATTGAGGAACTTTAATTACAATTTCATAGTACTGTCTGATAGATATTCATATCAAAATAAAAACAGAGATATTTATTAATTGAAAGATAGATATTATAGTGTTGTTAATGAAGTATTATAGAAGAGGAATGAAAAATCACATATTCTATATAATTATGTTTATGATGAAGAATATGATCGATTTAGAAATATGGAACTTGAAAAGTATTTAAAAAGAACAAAATAAATATGTGATGAAGATNAAATATATATATATATGCTTAATAATTTAGATAAATTAGAATATCAAAAATATATGAATTTCATATTTTGCATATTTAAGAAAATGATTAGACCTAATTTACTAATAAAAGTTTTTGATATCATTTTATTAAAGATTGAATATGATAAGGCATTAATAATAAATTCTTTAGTTAAAAATTATTTTTGTGGATAAGTACTATCATAAATTGATGAAAATTTAAAATGGTTATTGAAAACTAATAAATAAAATCATGTTTTCTAATACAATGTTATATTTCATTATGTAATAAATTGAATATATTTTTGATTCCTTCTATTTTATAGAGATAATGAATAAAAGATTATTGAGGACTATAATATTATTTTGGAATGAGTGAAATGTTGAATGTTTTAATTTTAAATAAGATGGATTTAGATTTTAATAAAAGAGATAATAAGATGGGAATATAAATAATGAATTATTAAATTTTTATAATTGTATTATAAAATAGAAATGATTAACTTAAGTTAAATATTAGAAGGAGATAATGGGGAGATGACATTTTATTAAGATACTAGTCAAGTTGATTTGGAGGATATCTTATAAGAAGATGACGAGATTAGAGAGTAACTCAATCATTTGAATAGTGATTCTTAAACTATGGAATTTAATTATCAGAATAATGAATCATTCATTTGTGATTAAGAAGAATTCATTTCTCCAATTTAAATAATGTCTTTGGGACATCACTCTAAAACGTTTGGCATTTCAACAAATTATTTGATCAATTATTGGGAAAGATAACTAGCATTATTCTCGAATAATAAGAATAGCAAAACAATATAAATTTAAGATGCATCATATATATCAATCAAAGGATAAATTATAGCTGTTGGATTTGAGAGTGGTTAAATTCACATTTATGAAGGAAGTTAATTAAAATTAGCTCATAAAATATAGGAACATCAAACAACAATAATAGGTTTGAATATAGTAGATGTTTAAGCAAATGAAATAGTAATGGCATCTTCTGATCTGGATGGTAATGTGAAATTGATTAGAGTTGGTTAAAATTTATTTAGAAGTAAAATTGTAACAAATACTATATTGAATAAGTTTGAATATCCTGTTACTTAATTGATATCATAATAATTTAAATATTCTGATAGTGATAAGACTAGTTTATTATTAACTTTAGGAAATAGTAATATGGTTATAACATTATCAATCAATCCAGAAGTTAAGGTAGTACATGTTTTTGATAAACAGAAATCAAATAATGATCTTCATTGGGGTAAATGCAATCATGAAGGTAATCAAATATAATTATTATCTATTCAATGGAATTCATTTATTTAATTGATAACCTTTTTGGAAAATTCACCTTGGTATTTTTCATTCTATTCTGCTGATACTCCTTTAATAGGATCTAAATTCATTTCTGAAAATTTGATTATTGCTGCTACTGAAGGATAATTTCAAGTTCTTTACATTCCTTATTTCTCAAAGGGCAAATATTGTTTTAAATCTGATAGCAAAGCTAAAATTTCTAACACCAATTTCCATTAAAACATATATTGTTTAAGAGCAATAAGTAATGTAATCTATTTCATATCTGAAAATAAGTTGTATTCATTACATGCATTAAGTTGGTTATAGTATCTTAAATCCTTAATACAAAATGATTCACCTTAATGGTCAATAGCATTAAGATTTCTTGTATAAGTTTATAGAGGTAAAGTTAAAGGAATGCCAAATTTAGAATTGGATGAAGATAGAAATGCAATTTAAACATTAGCTCCTACTTTAATTACTAGTATTACTAATACTAAAATGAATAGAGAATTGATATCAGCAGTTGTTTAATTTATTCTTCTTTGTTAAATACCATAGCATTTAATGATAGTACGATAAGGTTGTGAGAAATAATAGATTTTAGAAGATTATTATAAAGTTTTAGAACATCATTTAAAGAAAATTACTTAATTACCAAAAGAGATATTTTTTGATTTGGCAAATAAATTCTCTCCTGAGTCTTTCTAGAAATTAGTAATTAATTTGGATTTAAATTCAATTGATATTGGATATACATATGATGTATGTTTAAGTAAAGAAATATACACTCCATTACTGTATATATGTCCAAGAAAAGAGGAAGATTTTTTAACTCCTTTAAATAAAATGTTTGAGAAACATAAATAGGAACTATATGAAAAATGTTTATGGTTTATAGAAATTACATAAAAATAAATTCTATTTCCAAATGATCAGATTCCATTAGAAATATGGAAGAAAGCTGTAAGATAATAGATGTTATGGTTAATGGAAGTATTGGATGTGTTGTAAAGTGAGAAATTGTTTCAAATCTTGACAACTTATCTTAAATAACCTTGCTTAGGTGCATTACATCATGAATCTGTGTATTCATATTTTAATATAACTTAAGAAAATTTATTGGCAACAAAGATATTTGAATAAGTAAGTAGTATTAAATAATAATATTTACTATAATATCTATTATTTATTAGTAAAATAATTGATTAGATTAAAGTTAAAGAATCAGAAAAATTACTATTATAGATATTTGAAATCAATAAATCTTATATTGATAATTATGTAGCAATGCCTGAAGATTTAGATTAAATCTTATAAATTATTTATTATTTAATGCCTCATACTGCATTAATTGAATAAGCATATGAAAGTTAATGTGTTGATTACATTGCTTATTACTTTTTATATTAAAATTAATACAACGAAGCAATTAAAATATTCTTTAATTATGAAGAATTCAAACTTAGAGTTTACAAATGGTTAGAATATTAACCTTATGATCCACTTATGTTAGATCATCTTGATAAGCTACTTGAATTGGACCCTGAGAAATGTGCTAAAGTATTTCAAAGTTGGCCTATCGAAACTTTATAAAAACTTATTATTTATCAACCAAAAAGAGAATTATTACATGTATTCAAATATTTATCTATTGATCTTTCTTAATTTCTTTAATTGAAACTAATTGAATTGATTAGTATTCATGAACCAGAAAATACTATTTCATGGTTAAAGAATAGACAATATTAATTAGAAGATGTTGAATAAATATTTTAATAAACCAATAATATTGAAGGATTAGGATATATTTTAGAACAAAAAGGACTATATCAATAAGCAATAGATAATTATCTTTAAGTATATATAGAGGAATCTAGAAATTACATTTTATCATTTAGAAATCAAGATAGAGTAACATAATTGTTTTAGAACCTAATGAGAGTTACTAAAATAGCTGTTTAATCAGCTGATACTAATTAAGAATTATATTTATATATAGCACACAATATCTTTAATCCGTTGATGCATTAAACTCATTGGTGTAAACTTAAGAGATCTTATGTGTTCAATTAGTAATTTAGTTAGCTATTTATGCATTTATTTCGCTATTCTCCAACAGAATTAATCAAAATAATAGAAATAAATCATGAAACATTTAATTAAGTTCACTTAAAAAGTAGTTTTATTACAGTTTTTAAGGAATTTGGATATGAAAAATAATTAGTAGAAAAGATATCTAAGATTATTAGAAATGATAATATTAAATTGCTTAAGTTACTATATTCTTTAATGAACAAATCAAATTTATATGAAATTAATTGCATAGAGTGTTAACAATCATACACTTAAGATTAAGCAATTCTTTTAAAATGCGGCCATACAATGCATCCATTTTGTTTGGAAAACAAGTATTGTCCAATATGTTAAAATATCTCAGCTTAATCAAGTATATCTAAGAATATAATTAATAGTGCTTGAAAGTATAGGAATAGAAGAATTAAAGAAATCTATCTTAAAATCTAAAGTGGATAATTAATAATTGTAATTATTGAAAAATGTTGATGATATAGATTTGGAAGATAATTTTATATAATCAACTACTTAAGATGATAAAGAAATAATAGAATTAAGATTATTAAATAAAATGGATATATATGATTAATTAACTGATTCTGCATTGCAATAGGTATTCAATTGTAATAATTGTAGTACAATTCTTTTTTAGATTAATATTTTTGATAGTTGTCTGACTTTATACTTTATATAATTGTTTATAAATAAAAATGCAGTTATTTCATATATTTAACTTAGAAATTAATTTAAAAAAGTTCAAAATTCTACATAATGTTCTGTGACCATCAAGGAGAATAATCATTCTGTATATGTTGTCAATAACTTATTTGTGAATTATGTATATGTTGTACAAATTCAAAAAAAATAAATGTGCCAAAAATACATTTAAATGCACTTTGTTCAAGATGTGATTAAACTTAAGCTTAAATTAAATGTGAATAGTGTATGTTTCAATTCTGTTAAGAATGTTTTTAATCAGTTCATAAAATAGGCAAATTTTCAACTCATATCAAAATTGAAATCAATTAAGATCTACACTAATAAATAATCAAATAAATGTCTATAATTACAGAACTTGAATAATACTGTTAAGAATAAATGACATCGATTTTATAATATTTTGATTAGATCTAAGTAGTATTAGATAGGAAAAAAAAATAGTTTCTTGATGTTATATCTAATTATCGTAATTAATAAATAAAATAGCTTAAATAGAGAATAAATTTAATTGAAGCAGCTGTCAAAATTAATTCAGAATAATCTTTTGAAATCCCAAAGTGTCTAATTTATTAAAAAGAAACATTTAATTTAACCGCCAAAGAATAAATTATAGACTTGATTTTAAATATTGATATTTAAAAAAACCTTGACTAAAGTACTCTAAGTCCACATAAAATTCTTACTTAATCAAATGTGAGAAGGAGTGCCAGTTGTAAAAAATTGGAATCTTAAGAAAAAATTGTTGAGATTTGTGAAACTTTTGAAAAGAGAAAATTTATTAAATCATTGTGTTAATCTAATTCAATTTAATTATAATGGACTCATTCTAGATAGAAGGTTGACTATAATTTAGAAATGGGAATTGGCATGAAAATTAAAGGAGTTGAATAATTTAAATAAATTTATATAGGTATTGAACCATAATTTACAATTACTGGATTATAAGCAAAAACCAATTACAAATTTAGAATTTAAAGTATATTTGAAAATAAGACAAGTGAATTCAGTGAAATCTTGAATTTAGCTACATCTTAATAATAATCTATTGAGGATAGTCTAATAATTTCTAAGAAAATAATAAATAATGATATATAGGTTTAATTTGAGAAACCTGGATTAGTTTTAGGCACAAATCCATTATACTTTGGAATATGGTCTTGGGAAATCAAATTAATAATTAATGGAATAATTGAAGATTTGACAGCCAGTTTGGTTGTTGGATTAGCTAATAAATAAAGAAAGATTGTTGGAACTACATTGAATTATGGTTATTAAAGAGACTCCTTGATTATTAAGGTCTTAGTTGATATGGACAATAAGTTAATGACTATAACTTCGAAGATGCATCCAAATGGAGAAAGATTCTATAATATAATAGGTCCTGTATTTCCAGCATTTTAAAATAAAAATACTCATAAAGGATCAGGATGTAAATTATTGATATAATATTAATAATTATGAATAAAAAAGAATTAAGAAAACTTAATTCATATGTAGATAAAGAAGTACTCAATCTGACAGGTGATCTTTATCCATTTGCTCTTTTCTCATAAACAAAACCACTAAATCATTAGAAATGGGTTTAAGAGGAAATAATGCTAACTAATCATAACATAGAAAAAGTGAAGGCATGGGTACGAGAACAAGAGAAAGGGTAAATGTTTAGAGGAGAAAAAGTCAATTACGATCCAGAATATCTTGAATTTAAAGAAGAGGAAATAAGTATTGATAATGATTGGAGTTTTGAAGAGACTTAATATTTATTCAATTAATTGAGGAACTTTAATTACAATTTCATAGTACTGTCTGATAGATATTCATATCAAAATAAAAACAGAGATATTTATTAATTGAAAGATAGATATTATAGTGTTGTTAATGAAGTATTATAGAAGAGGAATGAAAAATCACATATTCTATATAATTATGTTTATGATGAAGAATATGATCGATTTAGAAATATGGAACTTGAAAAGTATTTAAAAAGAACAAAATAAATATGTGATGAAGATAAAAAGTTATAAGAAGATCTAAGGAAAGTTAATCAATAAATAAAGAAATAAGAGAGGGAACATAAAAGTTTATGCAAATCTATTAATCTATAAGAATATGATGTAACTTATTATTTGCCATTTAGGATATTGATGATAAATCAATCAATTATATTATAGATATGTCATAAAGAAATGAAGAAATTCAAAAGACAACTAATGAGAGAATAGTTTATTTAAGAAATAAATGGATTAATGAAGCATTACCATTACCTACTACAATAAAAGATAAATTGGATAGGCAATTAAAAGAAGTGCTTTAAAATACTAAATTAGCTTTAAATTAAGAAATAGAAGAATTATTTTGTAATCTACGTAAACTCTAATTGGGTGTATTGAGTTAATAAAGATTATAAAAAAGAAGAGAATAAGATAAAAGACATTTGGAAGATAAAATTAAAAAACTTAAAGCTTAACATGATTCATAATAAGCTAGTGATATGAAAACTAAAAAATGAGATAATTTGTATTCTAATAATAATTAATATTGGGTTCATTGTTTTACTATCTCAGAAAATTCATGTTCTTTGGCTAAGAAAATTTTAATTAAACAAAACAGTTACCTCTTTTTTCTAATAATGATCTAAAATATTTTGCAGAGAAGTCTACAACATCTCCTGGTTTATTTCTAATAACTTCCTTTGCATAATGTTTCAATATCACTGGTAATTCAGGAGGTACTACAATCTATTCAGCACAATATATTCTCTATTCTCTCACATCTGCCATTTTATTATATATTAAAATAATTAATTAAATTTGATAATTCATTAATTTATATAGATGAGGAAATCACAAACAATTCTCATCTGCACATCTTATCAAAGGTTATATTTATTCTGTTTATTTCCCTCTAAGACACTCAATAAATTATCTAACATTCAATAATTAAGATGATATCCTTGTATTCCTCATACAATAGAACAAAACTACTTAACTCTCTCCTTCCTGTGTAATATTTCACTAAATACTTGTGATAGTATATGCTACATCTCGTTTGAACAATGTCTATTTGAAATACAGTCATAATCTGTATTAATTCCAAAGTTAATCCATATAAGTAATGAAAAAAATAAATATTTAAAATACATAAATAATTATACAATTAGATATTTATATAATAATTAATATATATAATTCTTATTTAATTCCTTATATGAAATATATTCATTTATTATTAATAATAGATGCTTACTTGTCTTTTTTCTTGTCTGCTTTAATGGCCGCTTTCTAAAGGAATAATGCTTCTAATGACTTACCATCCTGTTCTATTACTGCACCTTATAAATTACAATTTTTTGCAGATATCAAACATTATCTTCCAAAGACTTTATAACAATGGGTATAATCACTTTAATTATTAATTTCATCTAATTTTAAATCATGAATATTCTCAGGAAACTGAAGTTCAAAGAGTCTGATAGATCCATCTTCCATAGCCACAGCCATATCTTTACAATTAGGAGATAGAGTTATTTTTGAAATAATTTCTATAAAGCCTAAAAGGATATAAACAGTGGCTAATTATGGAATGCTCCAAAATCTAATAGTTTTATCTTATGAACCTGATACAATCATTTAATTATCGTACAAGATAGATAAGCATACTATTTTCCCTTAATGTCCTTTTAATTCTGAAATTGAAGTAAAATTCAAAGCTTCAGTTATTTCGTTTATTAAATAAATGACACAACCTCTTGCGGCTACTAAATTATTACTATTATTTCCAAAAATTATTTAAGTAAAACATTCATCATTATTTTCAATTATACTTTTATTTTGATTACTCTTATAATTCCAAAGGACCAATTATCCTCCTCCTAATGCAATAATAGTTTCTTACTACATAATTAAAAATGTATTGAAATACTTAAATGATTAAAAGGCGTAGATAACTGGATATTTTGTGAGATTGAGTGATTCCAAATAGTATTTTTTCTCTTCCTTCCTTTAATAGAGACTATAACAACAAATATCGTTTGTAAATCTATAATGAACTAATTCTTTCTCATAATAAATGACTCGTTATAGAGTGATTTAATTAATTTCACTGATGTTCCAAAGCTTGAAAATTCCAATTTCACAAATAGATATCAACAATTTTCCATCTTAGGAGACTATCAAATTTTTAATTCTACGTTCATTATCAAGAGTTGCAATTGTTGTGATAGAATCAAAATCTTGGCAATTCCTAAATTCAATAGTTCTATCCTTATTTGAAACCATAATGTTTTAATTAGGAATAAATACGGCAACATCAGTAAATAAAATAGGATAGCGATTATAGCCAATTTTTGTGGTGTATGGTTCTATTAAAGTATCATATTTTTAGGTTTTAATATTCCATAAGATTAAGTATTTAAAGTATTCTTTGTATTAATATTATGATCCTCCATAGTTTCTTTCCGATTAAAATACAAATAGTCTCCCTTATCCTATACTAACACATAATGATAGATCTGAAGAAAACCTGCAGTGTTTAAATTAAATGTTAGGTGCTTCTAGTTTTTTAATCTAATATTCATATCTTTAATCTTTCTAAGAGTAATAATTAAGACATGATTTTAGTTTTTCAATTGCATCTAAGAAATCTAATTTTAATATTTTATTATTCATTAAGCAAAATATCTGAGAATCCTATCTCAAAAACATTGTTGTGTAATCAAAATTATTATATTGTGTCATCTTTAAAAGTATTAATTAAACCTAATTTTCTTCCTTACAAAATTTCCAACAGTACATATATTAATTATCCCCTAAAAATAAAATTGAGTTTGGTGAACTTATTTTAAGAAAAGTAAATGGCTCATTTGGGTAATAATTATTGTAATTAATTTTAATCTCTTCTCTTTAAAAAAAACCAAAATCATTTTAATAGTCATATAAGTATAAATCGGCTCTCCAATTACAATTCCTTTAAGTTTTTGAATAAAAAGTGAATATAATATTTCTTATTCAATAATACAATAAACTAAATAATTTTGATCAAAACAAAAATCAACAATCTTTGATGTTTTTAAATAAGCTATACTTATTTTGATCCCAATTATAAATAACACACTATTAACTATTATTGTTATCATTTGTAATTACAGCAAGTGTCTATGTATCTTTAGTAAAACAACTTACTTAATTTCATTGACAGATTTGTTAGGTAACTGCTGTACCTAATTATGAGTATTTAAATTATCCAAATAATTTATTACAATTGAATAATCTTAATCAAAAGATATTAAACTTAAAATTGATCTTTAGATTATATCCTTTTTGTCTTCCTAAATGTTTTCAATTTATNACTTTATAACAATGGGTATAATCACTTTAATTATTAATTTCATCTAATTTTAAATCATGAATATTCTCAGGAAACTGAAGTTCAAAGAGTCTGATAGATCCATCTTCCATAGCCACAGCCATATCTTTACAATTAGGAGATAGAGTTATTTTTGAAATAATTTCTATAAAGCCTAAAAGGATATAAACAGTGGCTAATTATGGAATGCTCCAAAATCTAATAGTTTTATCTTATGAACCTGATACAATCATTTAATTATCGTACAAGATAGATAAGCATACTATTTTCCCTTAATGTCCTTTTAATTCTGAAATTGAAGTAAAATTCAAAGCTTCAGTTATTTCGTTTATTAAATAAATGACACAACCTCTTGCGGCTACTAAATTATTACTATTATTTCCAAAAATTATTTAAGTAAAACATTCATCATTATTTTCAATTATACTTTTATTTTGATTACTCTTATAATTCCAAAGGACCAATTATCCTCCTCCTAATGCAATAATAGTTTCTTACTACATAATTAAAAATGTATTGAAATACTTAAATGATTAAAAGGCGTAGATAACTGGATATTTTGTGAGATTGAGTGATTCCAAATAGTATTTTTTCTCTTCCTTCCTTTAATAGAGACTATAACAACAAATATCGTTTGTAAATCTATAATGAACTAATTCTTTCTCATAATAAATGACTCGTTATAGAGTGATTTAATTAATTTCACTGATGTTCCAAAGCTTGAAAATTCCAATTTCACAAATAGATATCAACAATTTTCCATCTTAGGAGACTATCAAATTTTTAATTCTACGTTCATTATCAAGAGTTGCAATTGTTGTGATAGAATCAAAATCTTGGCAATTCCTAAATTCAATAGTTCTATCCTTATTTGAAACCATAATGTTTTAATTAGGAATAAATACGGCAACATCAGTAAATAAAATAGGATAGCGATTATAGCCAATTTTTGTGGTGTATGGTTCTATTAAAGTATCATATTTTTAGGTTTTAATATTCCATAAGATTAAGTATTTAAAGTATTCTTTGTATTAATATTATGATCCTCCATAGTTTCTTTCCGATTAAAATACAAATAGTCTCCCTTATCCTATACTAACACATAATGATAGATCTGAAGAAAACCTGCAGTGTTTAAATTAAATGTTAGGTGCTTCTAGTTTTTTAATCTAATATTCATATCTTTAATCTTTCTAAGAGTAATAATTAAGACATGATTTTAGTTTTTCAATTGCATCTAAGAAATCTAATTTTAATATTTTATTATTCATTAAGCAAAATATCTGAGAATCCTATCTCAAAAACATTGTTGTGTAATCAAAATTATTATATTGTGTCATCTTTAAAAGTATTAATTAAACCTAATTTTCTTCCTTACAAAATTTCCAACAGTACATATATTAATTATCCCCTAAAAATAAAATTGAGTTTGGTGAACTTATTTTAAGAAAAGTAAATGGCTCATTTGGGTAATAATTATTGTAATTAATTTTAATCTCTTCTCTTTAAAAAAAACCAAAATCATTTTAATAGTCATATAAGTATAAATCGGCTCTCCAATTACAATTCCTTTAAGTTTTTGAATAAAAAGTGAATATAATATTTCTTATTCAATAATACAATAAACTAAATAATTTTGATCAAAACAAAAATCAACAATCTTTGATGTTTTTAAATAAGCTATACTTATTTTGATCCCAATTATAAATAACACACTATTAACTATTATTGTTATCATTTGTAATTACAGCAAGTGTCTATGTATCTTTAGTAAAACAACTTACTTAATTTCATTGACAGATTTGTTAGGTAACTGCTGTACCTAATTATGAGTATTTAAATTATCCAAATAATTTATTACAATTGAATAATCTTAATCAAAAGATATTAAACTTAAAATTGATCTTTAGATTATATCCTTTTTGTCTTCCTAAATGTTTTCAATTTATTAAGGTTAACCTTCAACATTTTCTTATTCATTATTTTATATTTAAATAATTTATTCATCTAAATTATCCATTTATTAAGGTTCATCATTATTTTCTATTTCTAAAGGTACTTTATAAAAGAAGAACTACATCTTAATTTTAGGGGCTTAATGGCATTGAAAAGAATTCGTTATTGTAAATTGATTTATTTCATAAACTAATATTTCATTTAATTCATTAGCTAATGCCAACAGCATATCATCATCAGAAAATAATAATAGTTTTATTTTACTATTTTAGTGAATATTTTTTAATATTATGATTTAATTTAATTCCACTACTCTTAAAATATTATTATTTTGACTATCATTAAGTCCAATTACTAAATGCTTTAGATTATTAGATATTGTAAAATATTGAATATCAACATTTTCTAAATTTAATTCTAACTGAGAAATTTAAAAATTTTAATCTTGAACTAAATGATTAACATTCCATAGGTATATTTTATTCTTAAAATTTGTATAATAGAATTTGTCATCATCTGTAAAATATTGAAAAAAATCATCAGGTTCAATGCTTAAATTAAGACTACAAAGTAATTGGTCACTATCTAAAATTCTAAATACTATATTTTAACTATCAACAGATGATAATATTTTAGAATCATTTGAAAAGAGAAGATTAATGATTTTATCATTATTATACTATTTCAATTTTATCAAATTTAGTTTAGAGTCTAGAGATAACTCACCTAAACTTAATTCATTTTGAGAATCTACAGAGCATATATATTTAAAATCTTATGATATTTAGTAAAGCCTTATTTCAATTTTCTCATATTCATATAATATAGCTGACTCATCAATTTTATCATTTTTCTCCCAGATCTCTGCTAAAGAAAAATAGTATTCTTTATTATTATACTCTTTATATGTAAACAAGGTTATCTAACAAACTATTTATCATTTGATAACAATTAAATCTTTTGAATGTTTCCTTTTATTTTAAAATTATAAGAGGGGCATCCACCAGGAATTATCTCAAATAAAGATTTTTGAATTGCTTAAATATATTAAATATTCCATAATTCAACTGTTTCTCCTTGTGTTATGATGAGATAATCCTAATTTTGTGTAATTGAAAAAGAGTTTATTAAGTAATCAAAAGTCTTTGAAATTATTAAGACCTTATGTTCCATATCCCATAATTTTAGAGTATAATCTATAGCTCCACTAGAATATAATAACAAACTATCTGCTGAAAACATTATTTTGCTAATTTTATTCTCATGTCCATCCTAAGTTATCCTGTTAAAGTTCACATTTAAATTCCATAATCTTATCAATTTGTCATCACTACAAGATGCTAATGTTGAATTATCTTAAGAAATTTAGACTACATAAACTTTTTCTGAATGGCCTTCAAATTTAGCCATCACTTTTCTTGCTTTAAAGTCCCAAAAATAAATTATATTATTAGTTCCGCATCCTGCTAAATATTTTGAATCTTAAGAGAATGAAAAATTTAAGAATTTAATATTCTCTTCCAATTTATTGAATTCTTATTGATTTATATTCTGATAAAAATAGACTTGGTTACCTGAAGAAAATATTAAATTTTTTCTATCTTTTGAAATTGCTATTGTATCGCAATCTTCAGTGTAACTATAATTATATTCTGTTTTATCATCGATCAAATTCTATACCTTAAATTTGTTATAATCTAAATAAGCTACTTTTGAATCGTTTAATAAAATAACTAAATCTTTCAAATTATAATATCTAGTGATATTTATTTTTATTGATTTAATAAATTTTCTAGTAATCATATCATTTATTTAAATAGAATTCTCACCTAAAGTTGAAGCAAGGTATTTAGATGATGTTTTAGGATTAAGAGAAGTTATTTTATCTTGAATAATTCCGATAAATTAAGGTTTATTAATGTCTGTGATATTAACAAGAATTATTTATTCATATGCTAATACTAAAATCTTCCCATCATTTGAAAATTAAACTGAATATGAATTTGAATAGCTATATATTGATTAATAATCTTTATATTTGCTAAATTAAGAAATATTTTATTTTGAGTTAATGTTGTATAATGTGTAATTTTTGTCATTCTGAAAAACTATATTTTCATTATCAGGGCTAAACTCAAAATATCCTAATTCAGTGAATTCATCAATAGTAACATCTGATTCAAAATAAGATAATTTAGAAAGTTTATCATTCCCATATAATTAATATTTTGAGTGATTTGATATCCTAATTGTACTTTAATCTTTATTCAGAATAAATCGTCGTTTACCAATCAAATCTATAGGATATATTATAATTGATTTATTAAAATAATCATCTTTTAGTTTTGCTAAATATTTTCCATCCTTTGAAAAAACAATTTTTTCTGTTGTTTAAAAATTATAATAGTCAATTAAAGTGAATTGATTATCTCCATCATTTCTCCAAATTTTAACAGATTTATCTTCTTTTGTATATAGATATTAATCATTTTAAAAAATTTTGGCATAAAATGCAGATTTCAAATTAGGAATTACTTCAAGTATATTGGTTGATTTGATATTCAAAATATATATCCCTGATGGAATAGTTACAATAAGTCTTTCTTAATCTTAGCAATAAGTAACTGACTAAATGATATCAGGAAATGGATAACTGAATTCTATTTGATAGTTTTTATCATTATCCCATATAATAACTTTTTTATCTATTCCACCAACTAAAAACCGACTATCAGATGAAAATTAATATTCAATTTTTGATTAATCCGAACTCTCTAATATTCCTAAATAATTAAATTCATCAAATTTAAATCATCTAACTCCTGTAAGAACAACAGTGCAAAATACCTTATGTTTTATGTAAGCAACATATTTTTTCTACATTATAGCCTTAAAAAGAATCTGTGGCAGCACATAATTTGATTTATGGAAAATTTGATATGTCCCATAGTTTCAAAATGCTTCTTGCACTAATTAAATATTTTCCATCATATATGAAACATAAACATTTGGTCAATTCTCCTGTGAATAATGAATGCAATAATTATTTTGTCTCAAAATGCCAAAATTTAATAGTCAAATCATCACTAGATGTAGCAAATATATTTATTTTGGAGAAGAGGCAATAGTTCTAACTTTCGAATTATCATCTTTAAAAATAGAATTAGTTTAGTTAGAAAGGAAGTTCCATATTTTTATTTCATCACTATTATAGAATGCAACTTATAGACTATCGCAAGAAAAGCAGATATCTGGAGATAATTAATAATTATAGTTTCCTACTTCATTAATTGATTCTTTTAATGTATATATTGAATTTTTGAAAAAATCCCATATTATTATTAATTGATCTGTTTAGGATGTCATAGCCAAATATTTATCATCAAAAGAAAATATCATGCAAGAAATCTTGTAACCAAATCGTTCTTCATGTTTTAGAGAAAATTTCACCCCTTCATAGGTCCAAATTTGTAATTGTTAATCTTTATTAAAACTAGCGAAAAGAGATGATTAATGAGAGAAAACACATTATTCAAAATTATTCTTACTACTCTCGAATTCAACTTATTAGTCATTATCTAGTTTAATAACATAATAAGTTGTTCCAGTATAATTGTAATTAATCACAAATAATTAATCATTTTATGAAATAGAGACTTTCATACCATTATCATCGAAGGAGTTAAATTAGAGTTGATCTAACTTTATTATTACTACTTCTTTATATTCTCTATTTGTTTGAATAGCCATTCTATCATAATTAGAGGATATTGTTATATTTTAAGTGTAGGAAATTTAAAAGAAATTAATAAGTTGAAATTTTTCTACTGACCAAAGTTTAACACCTTTATCATAATTTCCACTTAATAGTTTTTTTCCTTATTCAATGAATCTAAGTACATTGACCAGTGAATCATTTTCCAAAGAAGTTATTGGAGTGTTTGTTTATAATGACCATAGTGATATTTATTCTTCAGAACTTGTAGCTATTAAATTTTCATCTGGTGAGAAATCTATACAAGTACAATTAATTATTTAATAATATTCTTCTTATTCTGATATGTTGCTACTATTTTAAATTAAAATTACATCTTCAAGATTTTCTATTGATTTCTAATTATCTGTAGTGAAATATATATTATCTATATGATATTTAGAAGAAGTGCGTAGTAAATAAGGTTAATTTATATTTTCGATATTCCAAACAGACAAATTTTCAGACTTTGATTCATTAGATACACAAACAGGAAATTCAGATGTTTAATTGATTGCTAAATACGTAATTGGAAAAGAAATTTCTATTATAGCTTCTACTTTTTATTCTATGACATCCCAAAGTGTAACTTTTTTGTCATCACTAACAGATGCCAACATTTAGCCATTCTTAAAAAATGAAATAAACTTTATCTTACTGTCAGAACTTTTTAGAATGAATCCATCTTTTTCATTGAAATTAGTTTTTATTAAATTGATATCCCAAAATTATATTAATCCTCTCTCATCAACAGCTAATAATTCTTTTTCATTTTATGACAATTGCATTTTTATGATTTTTTCTTATTTATTTATTACACAATTTGATTTTATGATTTTTTTTAGATCACTTATCAACCAAGACTCAATTCTATTTGTATCACTACCTACAAATAAAAGTTAATCATCATCTGAGAATACTAAAAATTTTGGTAAACCAGAAATATCACTAATTTCTCCTTCTTGTTAAAATGTTGCATCATCCCAAAATTTTTTAACTTTTTGTGAATCTGCACTTGCTATCAATTTACCATTATTTGAATATTATATTACAACAACACTGCCTTTATGTCCTTATAATAAAGGTTTCTCAGAACATATCATATTTGTCCATTTAGCCTCTTCCAAATTAGCTTGATCAAATAGGCAAGAATCAATAATTACTTCATTAAAAATAGATTTTTTTAATTTGCTTTTATAAAAAGATAATCCTTTAAAAGTTGTCTTTTCTATATGTATACCTGAAAAATCTTACTCTCCTAGATACACTTACAAATAACTTAATAAACAAAAACTATTTGAAGAAGCTACTTTAAATGTTTTCTTTGCAGATAATTTAGCAATAGAAATTAATTTAAGGTTATTTTCATTCTTAAGTTTTAGGTTTTCTTTTAATATTCTCAAAGACCCAAAGTAATTTTCTAAAGATATATTAAATTCTTTCTTATTAAATACTGATTTTTCTAAATAACTTACACTTTTTTGAGTAAGTTAATTGTCAATGAATTAAAGTTTATCAATTAAATTATTTATATGTTTGGCTACATAAAATTCTTATAAAGATTTATGATTAAATGTATAGCTTTTCCCTTTCACATTAATTAATGCAGAACTTCTAACAAGTTTCCTATAGTCATCTTCCAAATCATCAAAATATTGTATTTTCCAATCATCTTCATTATTTTAGTCAAAATAATCATTTTTTAATTTTAACCTACCTTTTTGTTCATAATTAACTTATGTTGTTTAATTCTATAGCTAATGATTCTGAAAATTATAATAAATCTATCGTAAAACTATCTACATTTTCAACTTTTCCCAATTATCTAAGTTTCTATAATTATTATTCATGATAACATTCTATAAAGTTTTAATAGAATTCATAAATTGTAAATATCTTCATTTTCAAAGCAGCAATCACAATTTTCAAATCATCTTCACTTATATTTATTATTTAATTTTTTATCAAAGATATATCAGTTATTGAATACTTTTCAAAAAAGTGTTAACTTTCTAATTTTTCAAGAATAATTTATAAACTTTTTAAATCTTATTGATTCTCATAGTCTTGTTAAATTTCACTTTACTTATATGTATTTTCCTCTATAATTATTTGTACTTTTTTTTACTCTAAATATATAAATTTTGATAATTTCATTTTTGATAGATTTTCCTTACTTTTTAGTATTAAGAAATTCTTCTGAAACATTTCCTTAATTTCTTGAGATCCTTTATACTTTTAAGAAAGGTTTGGAAGAGTTTAAACTACGATTTCAAGCATAAATGGAGTCTATAAGAAATGTTAAATTTTTAGATTTTAAATAGTTTTATTAAATAACCCTGCACTCCATAAATCTTTAAGCTCTTTTTTTAAGATAATTAACTAATCTTCTTAAACATATTGGAATGCAGGTTATTTTTATATAATTTCCAAAATATTCTCAATTTATTCATCAGTTAGTAACATAGTAGAATTCTCATTAATTCCATCTTCATCATCAACTTAATCTAAAATATTATTCCAAATCTCTAAAAATTCTTTAACATCTAAATTCTATTGTTTAATTTACTTAACAAAATCATATGATGATTTAATTCTTATTTTAATACTCAATTTAACGTAATGTTTAAGGTAATTCTCACTTTGTTGTTTATCAAAATTCATGATTTCGACTTCTTTTAATGTCTAAAGGCTTTCACCATAAAACCATGTTTAATATCCTAAACTTGTTAATATTTCTTTACGAGTTGTTATTATAAATTTTACTTTTTTTATTTAATCAACTTAATTACGATCTTAGATTAATCTATTTGTTAATATTAAATTGGATTATATACAATCTTGCTTCATTTCATCGTAACTATCAAGAATCAACACTAATTTAATCTTATTACTCGAAATTGCTTCTTTAAAATCTTTTAATTGCAACTTATCAAACCCATAATTTTCAGATTCAAGTGTTTGGTCCAATAGATTAAACTTTGGGTTTTTTAATTATGGTAATGATTTATATATTGGAATCCAATCCTTTTCGTCTAATTTTTGTTTCCACAGATAAGCTTCAATTTTTCTAGCTGCTCAACTTTTACCCGAACCAGCTTGACCTTTTATCAACATTACACATTTTTATTATTCATCATAGATAAATTAATTCACTCCCTTCTATTTTGTTTTATCTAATCTCTTCAACAAGCAACTCAGAAAATTTTTAACCTAAAAGAGTGTTTTAGACTTACCCTGTAACTGGATTGATTCCTATGTTTTTAGTGGGATGTATACAGAATCAACCTCCAAAAGATAAGCTTAAGATAATACCTTTTCTTTTCTTATTAAAAGCAACTCATCATATTTTTTTCCTCTTAATTTTCTCACATCATTTCCAATCTCATTTATTGATTCCTAGAGATCATCTATTTTCTTTTTTATTTATTTTATATTTTTTTAAAGTTCTTTTAAAAAGATTAAAGTAATATCCAATTGCTAAGACATTTCAGAAATATTATCTAGAAATTCTTCAAACTCCTCATATTGGTTTGTTAATTATTTTGACAATTCATCTCGCTTAGATTGATTGCCTTCAAAACGAATTGCTTATTCAATATCATCCAATTCCTTCAATTTTTAATTCATCTCTTCTTTCATACTTGAAGAAAAAGTTTTAAGATCATGAGAGAATAGTAATTTTTAGATTTCTATCACCTCTTTATTTTTTAGAAAAGCTCTAACACTTTCATCCTTTTCTATCATCCATATTCGTTTTATATATTCTTGACAAAGCAATAATAATTCTTTTTCAGGGACTTAGGATTAAATTTTTATTAAATGAAAGAGGAAACATTAACGGACTATATAATCTTTACTTAAATCATAGATTTTTCTTTCCACTATCATTTCCTATTCTAAATTATCTAATAATTCTTAGTAGTCTTTATCTATTTAAACTGCTTTTTCTGAAGTTATCTAATTATAACAAAAGATAGTGGCAAAATCTTTTAAAGTAAAGTTTATTATATTTTTTATTTAAGTTCCTGAATTTTACTATTTATCCAAATTATTCTATATAAATTAATTTAATAATTAATCTAATTATAATTAAATAATTAATTCTTTGATTATTGATTTAACATTATCTAAGAAATATTTTTGAAAATGATCTTCAGTAAAAAACTCAAAACCCATACAATTTTAATGAACATACTTCGATAATTATTACATATTATCAATGATTCTGTTAATATTCATTATTTAGTTATTCAATTCATTTATATTTTCCGAAATCAGTATTAAATACTCATTCTACTCAATGTTTTCTGCCTAAATTTGATCTTATGTATTCTTAAATTGAATATTATTTAATATTTAATTTTAATCATATTATTGGTATAACTCCAATATTTCTTTTTTGCATTATTCAATATCTTAATATGAGGACAAATTTAATTTAAAAAATGAATTATAGAGTTAAGTTTATAGAATTAATGCTGAAATTACTAAGCTATTCTATTAAGAAGCAAAATTAGCTATAATTCTATCTCTTAATTTTACAAATTACTTAAGTATTGTGTCAATACAACTTTTATTTTTTAGATCCTAGTACATTAATACTTCAATATCTGTTTTTTGTTCCAAAATCAATGCACTTATTGATATTTCTTATTATTGGTTATTGTCTTATTATTTAAGCTCTTTATTTTATTTAGTTTCTAAAGTAGATTTGAGATTGAACTCCAATTTCGAAAAAATATAAGCTTTCTACATATTCTAACCTTTTAAAATTTTCATCATTTTTATATAGTTTTATATTTTCAGGTCAAATTTTAATATATCTTCAAGAGTTTGAAATTTCTATTGAATAAGAAATTCCTTAAATTCTTTATGGTATTCATTATTAATAAACTGTATTTTAATCCTTTCAATGATTTCAATGATATCAACTAAGAATTCACTTATTTTTTAATCTTATTATTCATTATTTGTTATGAATGTTAGCTTATTGTTAAGCCTCCAAAAGTTCTATAATAATTATTATTAAATATTAAGTTCTTATAAAAACTTTTCTATTTAAATCTAAGCATCCCGAACAAATAAATTTCAATCATTCTCTTGATTTTATTTTGATTATTCTTTGGATTCTGATTTTTCAAATTTAGAAAATTTGAATTGAAATCCTCTTAGTTTTGTAATTTGATCTAAAATTAAATTGTATTTATTTGGAAAATTTAATTTGATCCACTCATTATAAATATTTTCTAACTAATTTTATTAAACTCCTAATTTATTTTAATCTTTTTAATTCTAATTTTGCTTATCTTTTTGATTTAATTTTCATACAATTTAACTTATTCTTAGCAGATTTCTATTCTCTTTTTCTCAACAATCATAGTAAAATCAACTTCATGAAGCAAATATGAAAGTTTGGATAGGCTAAACTCTAATTATTGAACTTCTCCTTCTTTATTTAAAACTAGATCATAATTATAACCGTTATTTTTTGTTTAAACATCTTAAGAAGGTAATTGGAATGATTCAACTTAGCTTTCAATATATTATTCTAAGATTTTGTCTTTAATAACTTATAACAATTATTTTAACCATTAAAGTTTTTTCACTTATTCATCAACACCAAATAATTCAAATCTTGGTGGTAGGTTGTTTTTTTCTTCTTTTTTTTTTAGTTTTTAAAATGTAAAATCTACATAAAATTGAAAGAAATTTAGAAAATTTTTGGTTTATAATAACATTTTAAAAAAATTTCATCCTTTCCAAACCTAATCCATTTAAAATTTGTTCCGTTTCATAATCAATAGACTTAAAGGAGCAACTATTATTTAGTTTCCCAAGATATTTATCATAAGGCAATATCTAAATAATATTTTGCTTAATTAATTAATTCCATAATTATTTTTATTTCATATCATCTTAATTTTTTAAAAAGATCGTTTTTGATATAATTTACCTATATGAAATCAAATCTGAGATAGCATTTATCCAACAAAAGTGAACTATCCAATTATCTGAATTCTGCACATATTATTAATATCCTAACTAAAGATTTGCAATTTATTTATTTACTAAATTCTATTCTTGAATATTTTTTATAATGCTCCATTTTAAGAGAAAAAAGAAATAATATATTTGATATGTTTGAATAGGATAAGAAAATTGGTTGTATTTTTCAATCAGCAAATATTTTGCAAAATCAAATAATGCATTTGTAAAATCTTCACTTATTGAAAGTGATAATAAAGAAGAGAATGCAGAGGATTCAATCGATATTAATTTATCCTATTATTCCTTAGAGTTTGTCCTACTATTTATCAAGACTATTTTAATCAGAGTTATCTAAAAATCGAGTCCACTTGTCCAAAAATTTTAGTAGACTTCAAGATCTTGCTTGATAATATCAATCATAGATAATAATTCATCATGTACTTCAACCAATAGTACGCGCTATTCATCTTTTAGCTAATAAGTATAAATTATCATTAATAAATCATTAGAAACTTCCAAAACATAATAACAAAGACAACTTGATCCTCTTAAATAAACTGATATAAATGAAATAAGCTATCTAAATTAGTTTAATGCTAAATCATAGAGCATTAAAATTAAATTGTCATTTTTACAAATTTCACAAATCCAATATCGATTATAAAAAAACCATTATAATGACATCATTATTTCATTCCTAGAAAAATTGTCTAAAAGTTAATCACATTTATCAACAATCAATTGACTATTTAATTTCATTGTTTATAAGTAATTCATAGGAATTGTGTTTTACATTTGACTTTTTATCTTTGCTTTTGATCCTACGCATCCTCCTCCTCGAAGGAATAGGGTTGGAGTTGACTTAATTATATCATCAACTTTATCAAATTACAATTCAAGAGTATTTAAGCATCTCTTTTTAAAATCAATATTAGAGGATAACTAGCATTTAAATGATTTCATACTTTAGTTCTTGTTATTGAATACAATAGTCTAAAAATCATATTAAATTTCTTTTTAATATAAAGCTGCTGAAATGATTTTTATTTCTTTAAAAAGTAAAAAATAAACTAACAAGATTTGTAACTGCTAAAATACATCATATATAAATTAAATGAAGAATTTATAAACATCAAGCCAATATTTCATAGAAATGTAAGAACATTCATTAAAACATTTAGATTAGATTTAGTTATTTATTAAACAAATAATTTTGATAGTAAAAAATAACAAATAAATCTCACATGTATTTCAATAATGCAAAAAGTTGTGTATAAAAAAAATTTAAGTATAAATTTTGATATTGATATTGATATCAATAGTATTTTTATTATTATATAGAATAAAATGCGAAATGCAAGAATTATATTTTACTCCCTATTCAAACCAATTAAAACTTAATTTAAATATGCTCAGGCATTTTGTATTTTATGATTAGTTGGGATTTGACGTTGAATTTATTAAGGCTTATTTTCTGAATTACTTTAAGTATAATATCATTAAAGGCAGCCAAGGTAAATTTAAAACCTTTCTTAATTATGAAATTTTATTTTCTCTTTAAAAATTAAGCTTTTTTATAAAAATTAAGAAGTTAATTTTTTATTTCATTTAAATTGAATACATTTTCACTTTGGATAAACTTTTAATTTTTACTACTTGCAGTTAAATCTGCTTAGTTGAAAATTAATCACTTATACTTTATATGAGTATATTATTTTATTTATACTAAAACTCTAGTTTAGTTCTCTAAGTTATTATTTGAAAGCTTAATAGCTTTTTTTAATTTATATTTATGGCATCTTATTAATATTATTAATATCAATCTTTTTATTAGGATTATNAAAAATTGTCTAAAAGTTAATCACATTTATCAACAATCAATTGACTATTTAATTTCATTGTTTATAAGTAATTCATAGGAATTGTGTTTTACATTTGACTTTTTATCTTTGCTTTTGATCCTACGCATCCTCCTCCTCGAAGGAATAGGGTTGGAGTTGACTTAATTATATCATCAACTTTATCAAATTACAATTCAAGAGTATTTAAGCATCTCTTTTTAAAATCAATATTAGAGGATAACTAGCATTTAAATGATTTCATACTTTAGTTCTTGTTATTGAATACAATAGTCTAAAAATCATATTAAATTTCTTTTTAATATAAAGCTGCTGAAATGATTTTTATTTCTTTAAAAAGTAAAAAATAAACTAACAAGATTTGTAACTGCTAAAATACATCATATATAAATTAAATGAAGAATTTATAAACATCAAGCCAATATTTCATAGAAATGTAAGAACATTCATTAAAACATTTAGATTAGATTTAGTTATTTATTAAACAAATAATTTTGATAGTAAAAAATAACAAATAAATCTCACATGTATTTCAATAATGCAAAAAGTTGTGTATAAAAAAAATTTAAGTATAAATTTTGATATTGATATTGATATCAATAGTATTTTTATTATTATATAGAATAAAATGCGAAATGCAAGAATTATATTTTACTCCCTATTCAAACCAATTAAAACTTAATTTAAATATGCTCAGGCATTTTGTATTTTATGATTAGTTGGGATTTGACGTTGAATTTATTAAGGCTTATTTTCTGAATTACTTTAAGTATAATATCATTAAAGGCAGCCAAGGTAAATTTAAAACCTTTCTTAATTATGAAATTTTATTTTCTCTTTAAAAATTAAGCTTTTTTATAAAAATTAAGAAGTTAATTTTTTATTTCATTTAAATTGAATACATTTTCACTTTGGATAAACTTTTAATTTTTACTACTTGCAGTTAAATCTGCTTAGTTGAAAATTAATCACTTATACTTTATATGAGTATATTATTTTATTTATACTAAAACTCTAGTTTAGTTCTCTAAGTTATTATTTGAAAGCTTAATAGCTTTTTTTAATTTATATTTATGGCATCTTATTAATATTATTAATATCAATCTTTTTATTAGGATTATAACAAATGAAAAAAAAAAATCTATTATTTTTGCATTTATAATTAATTAATTACATTTGAAAATAATTAAAATTTATTTAAAGGCTACAAATGTAAAATTAATTCTTAGTTGAATTTGCCACCAAATCCAATACAATAATTCAATCAATGGCGAATTTACATCATTAAGCAAAAAATATCAATGATTAACTCATTCAAACAGTCCTATCTGATGCAACACATTGGATGGTTGAGACTATTAACACTTTATAATTTACAATTGAGCAATTTAATTAAAAGTTTTTAAGAAATGAGGGAATAATCTAAAATGAAATGAATTAATTGAAATTANCAATTTAAACATTAGCTCCTACTTTAATTACTAGTATTACTAATACTAAAATGAATAGAGAATTGATATCAGCAGTTGTTTAATTTATTCTTCTTTGTTAAATACCATAGCATTTAATGATAGTACGATAAGGTTGTGAGAAATAATAGATTTTAGAAGATTATTATAAAGTTTTAGAACATCATTTAAAGAAAATTACTTAATTACCAAAAGAGATATTTTTTGATTTGGCAAATAAATTCTCTCCTGAGTCTTTCTAGAAATTAGTAATTAATTTGGATTTAAATTCAATTGATATTGGATATACATATGATGTATGTTTAAGTAAAGAAATATACACTCCATTACTGTATATATGTCCAAGAAAAGAGGAAGATTTTTTAACTCCTTTAAATAAAATGTTTGAGAAACATAAATAGGAACTATATGAAAAATGTTTATGGTTTATAGAAATTACATAAAAATAAATTCTATTTCCAAATGATCAGATTCCATTAGAAATATGGAAGAAAGCTGTAAGATAATAGATGTTATGGTTAATGGAAGTATTGGATGTGTTGTAAAGTGAGAAATTGTTTCAAATCTTGACAACTTATCTTAAATAACCTTGCTTAGGTGCATTACATCATGAATCTGTGTATTCATATTTTAATATAACTTAAGAAAATTTATTGGCAACAAAGATATTTGAATAAGTAAGTAGTATTAAATAATAATATTTACTATAATATCTATTATTTATTAGTAAAATAATTGATTAGATTAAAGTTAAAGAATCAGAAAAATTACTATTATAGATATTTGAAATCAATAAATCTTATATTGATAATTATGTAGCAATGCCTGAAGATTTAGATTAAATCTTATAAATTATTTATTATTTAATGCCTCATACTGCATTAATTGAATAAGCATATGAAAGTTAATGTGTTGATTACATTGCTTATTACTTTTTATATTAAAATTAATACAACGAAGCAATTAAAATATTCTTTAATTATGAAGAATTCAAACTTAGAGTTTACAAATGGTTAGAATATTAACCTTATGATCCACTTATGTTAGATCATCTTGATAAGCTACTTGAATTGGACCCTGAGAAATGTGCTAAAGTATTTCAAAGTTGGCCTATCGAAACTTTATAAAAACTTATTATTTATCAACCAAAAAGAGAATTATTACATGTATTCAAATATTTATCTATTGATCTTTCTTAATTTCTTTAATTGAAACTAATTGAATTGATTAGTATTCATGAACCAGAAAATACTATTTCATGGTTAAAGAATAGACAATATTAATTAGAAGATGTTGAATAAATATTTTAATAAACCAATAATATTGAAGGATTAGGATATATTTTAGAACAAAAAGGACTATATCAATAAGCAATAGATAATTATCTTTAAGTATATATAGAGGAATCTAGAAATTACATTTTATCATTTAGAAATCAAGATAGAGTAACATAATTGTTTTAGAACCTAATGAGAGTTACTAAAATAGCTGTTTAATCAGCTGATACTAATTAAGAATTATATTTATATATAGCACACAATATCTTTAATCCGTTGATGCATTAAACTCATTGGTGTAAACTTAAGAGATCTTATGTGTTCAATTAGTAATTTAGTTAGCTATTTATGCATTTATTTCGCTATTCTCCAACAGAATTAATCAAAATAATAGAAATAAATCATGAAACATTTAATTAAGTTCACTTAAAAAGTAGTTTTATTACAGTTTTTAAGGAATTTGGATATGAAAAATAATTAGTAGAAAAGATATCTAAGATTATTAGAAATGATAATATTAAATTGCTTAAGTTACTATATTCTTTAATGAACAAATCAAATTTATATGAAATTAATTGCATAGAGTGTTAACAATCATACACTTAAGATTAAGCAATTCTTTTAAAATGCGGCCATACAATGCATCCATTTTGTTTGGAAAACAAGTATTGTCCAATATGTTAAAATATCTCAGCTTAATCAAGTATATCTAAGAATATAATTAATAGTGCTTGAAAGTATAGGAATAGAAGAATTAAAGAAATCTATCTTAAAATCTAAAGTGGATAATTAATAATTGTAATTATTGAAAAATGTTGATGATATAGATTTGGAAGATAATTTTATATAATCAACTACTTAAGATGATAAAGAAATAATAGAATTAAGATTATTAAATAAAATGGATATATATGATTAATTAACTGATTCTGCATTGCAATAGGTATTCAATTGTAATAATTGTAGTACAATTCTTTTTTAGATTAATATTTTTGATAGTTGTCTGACTTTATACTTTATATAATTGTTTATAAATAAAAATGCAGTTATTTCATATATTTAACTTAGAAATTAATTTAAAAAAGTTCAAAATTCTACATAATGTTCTGTGACCATCAAGGAGAATAATCATTCTGTATATGTTGTCAATAACTTATTTGTGAATTATGTATATGTTGTACAAATTCAAAAAAAATAAATGTGCCAAAAATACATTTAAATGCACTTTGTTCAAGATGTGATTAAACTTAAGCTTAAATTAAATGTGAATAGTGTATGTTTCAATTCTGTTAAGAATGTTTTTAATCAGTTCATAAAATAGGCAAATTTTCAACTCATATCAAAATTGAAATCAATTAAGATCTACACTAATAAATTATCAAATAAATGTCTATAATTGCAGAACTTGAATAATACTGTTAAGAATAAATGACATCGATTTTATAATATTTTGATTAGATCTAAGTAGTATTAGATAGGAAAAAAAATAGTTTCTTGATGGTATATCAAATTATCGTAATTAATAAATAAAATAGCTTAAATAGAGAATAAATTTAATTGAAGCAGCTGTCAAAATTAATTCAGAATAATCTTTTGAAATCCCAGAGTGTCTAATTTATTAAAAAGAAAGATATCTAGGTTTAATTTGAGAAACCTGGATTAGTTTTAGGCACAAATCCATTATACTTTGGAATATGGTCTTGGGAAATCAAATTAAAAATTATTGGAATAATTGAAGATTTGACAGCCAGTTTGGTTATTGGAGTAGCTAATAAATAAAGAAAGATTGTTGGAACTACATTGAATTATGGTTATTAAAGAGACTCCTTGATTATTAAGGTCTTGGTTGATATGGACAATAAGTTAATGACTATAACTTCGAAGATGCAACAAATGGAGAAAGATTCTATAAAGGTCTGAATCCAAATTTTTTCCATATTTTCACAATTTCCTCATTTGCTCGAAATTGAGGAAGTTTTGAAATTTTTTTATTGATTACTGAAATAATAACCATAAAATAATGAATAGTATCTTAAAAATCTATTTTTAATTATTAGCAATATATTTTTTTTTACATAATAGAGATTTTTCTTAAATTTTTGTAATTAAATTGAATGATCAGATAAGTTAATAAAAAAGGATAGATTTTTATATTATATTTTGGCATTATTGTTTATGAATATATTAACTATTATTGTTTTACTCTAAGTTTAGAGATGATTTCTGTTTAGTTTAGTAGAAAATATCCTTACAGTATTCGTAACACCTTGCTTTTGAAAATCTCGTTTTATTGAACAAAACACAAAAAATATTACTTATAAGGGCAGTGGAAGAATTTCAAATGGGATTCATAAGTAATTTAAGTATTAGATATACAGAATAAATTTAGGTATTACATCATGAAATATAGAGAGAATGATATCCTAAATGGTTTTTTCATAACCATTATATTATTCTATGTATATGCACCGCCTTGTTACTACTTATTAGTTAAAAAATAATAGCTTGTCGATGAAAAATTTCGTTCTGGTTTATTGTGTGGGATAAAAATATACTGTTTTTAAATGAGTTATTATTTTATAAATAAATAATTTGAGTAAATATTTTTCCTAATTTCATAGATTAACAAAATTTCTTAAAATTTGATTTTAAACAGATGAAATTGAATTAATATAAAGTTCTTACAAATATTAAATTCAGAAGATTATTTCTAAAAGATTAAAGTTAAAATCAATTTATGTTTTTTCAAAAACATATTATGAAGTGTATCTTGGTTAAAATAATATTTCTTTATTTTCGCCAGTAAAAACTCATTTATATTAAAGGAGATAAAATGAGTGTATTTTATTCTCTTTTCTGATAAATTATAACCTAAATGCTCTAATAATATCTTCCAATAAGATATGAGGGATGTTTTGATGACTTATAAATAATTATGAATAAAGTCTATGATCAATAAGATAATATTCACTACCTGTATTAATGATAAATCTGACCATAATTTACTTATTTAGTATATAGTCATGTATTGGTAAGGTATTTCCTTTATTTTGGAAAACCCATTTTTGAATGAATAACTAATTCTATATCGGTATTTTTCAAATACATCTATGTCAGTTTAATATTTGAGAGCTTCACAAACTACTAGATCAATTTTTAATACTCCTGCTTTGTAAATCTCACATAACTTAGTATTTTGAAGATATTGATATTTAATATTTTGTTCCTTTTCCAAAAAAATTTCGATTCAAAAACACTTAAAATGATCTAAATTTATTGATGAATTTGTTCTTTTTTTAAGTAAAAAATAGAAAAAATATATCAAAATTTTTTTTTATTGAAATAAATAAAGGATTGCAAAGTCACTGTGACTGTCAACAATAATGAATAGAAATACTCTTCAAAATATTAGACTACCCTTGGTAGAAAATAAATGAATTAAAAAAAAAGGCTTTATAAAGAGCTTTCGTAATAGAATTTATAGTGTAAAATTGCTAGTGAAAATAAACAGGGTTTATGAAATTTAACTAATTATTATACTTATTTATAATTTTGTTTAATTATTGATTATCAACCTAAACTTACGATCTTGAAAATCAAAAACATACATTAATGCATTCAGAGGGGAAAATTGTTAATTTCAAATTGGTTGGTAATAATTTAGTGGCATCTCATGATTATGGAAAAAACTTTTTATAAAATACATAAATTATATATTGAATTATATATTGAATTACATAAGAAAAGTAAAACAATTGAAGTTGAAGATAATTTGTATCTTGTTCAACGAATAGTAAATGGGTACTAAACTATACACCAATTTATATATATATTTGGAGCGTTAGTTTCACTATAGATTTTTTTAATAGATAATAGTGCTGTGAATAAATTCTGTTAGATGAAATAAGTCTTAAACTGGGTTCCCTGCATATTTACTCCTGCTTATAGACTAGAATTTAATGCATTTGAGCATAGTTTGGTTGGTTGGAAATAAAATTAGTATTTTCATAATCCTACATAACTTTAAAATATTCATTAGATCCATCGAATTACAAGTTTAATTAGTGATTAATTTTGTTTCAGAATATTTAACGCTTTGTTTTAACAGATCCACGCTATCTAATCAAACATTTAATGAATATAAACAAAAATTCATTTATTTTATATTCATTTGAATTTAATTACATGCAGAGATTTTTGTCTAGAATTAAGATGAAATGAATTTCAAGTAAAAAAGAAGATTCATTCTTAACAATAGAATTGCAAAAAGAAATGATTGACGAATGTCTAAATGGATAATTAAAAGTTGTTTCTTCAATTGTTGTAATGCTGTTAACAAGATTAATATTAATAATATTAATAAGATGCCACAAATATAAATTAATAAACCTAGTAACTAAAATAGAGTTTTAGAAAAATAAACTAATAAAATAGTATAAAGTTTAAGTGATTAATTTAAATATTAATAGTATTTCTAAAGTGAAAGTGTATCCAATTTAAATGAAATAAAAAATTAATATCTTCTTAATTTATCTAATAAAAGCTTAGTTTTCAAAGAGAAAATGAAATTTAAAATTAAGAAGGGTTTTAAATTTACCTTTGTTGCCTTTAATGATATTATATTTAAAGTAATTCGGTATATAAGCCTAAATAAATTCAACATCAAATCCTCATTTTTTATGGGATAAAAAATATATAAGCATAATTAAGTGTTTAATATTATATTCTTGATAATAATAATTACACAACATATTGCATTATTGAAATACATACATTATATAATTGATATTTTGTACTTTTGTTTAATTTTGTATACTAATCAAATGGTTTAATAAATGTTCTCATATTTCTAAGATTTATTTTGTGATGTTAATTAATTCTTCATTATAAAGATTTAATTAATTTATCATTCATTTTATAATTAATTGAGGGAGTTACAAAACTTGTTTGTTAATTTATTGTGTGTATTTAACGAAATAAAAATGATTTAGCAACTTAATATTAAAAAAATTGAATATGATTTTTTGTCTTTTGTCATATATATTTTAAAGTATGAAATCATTTAAAAACCTAGCATACTAAGATAGAGTTATTAATAAATGGGTGTATTTTTGAATTAACATTTGAAAATGCTTAATATTTAATAAAGTCAACACCAACCCTATCCTTTCGAGGAGGAGGATGTGTTGGATAAAAAATAAAACAAAAATTCAATAAACCACAATTCCAATTGATTACAAATAAAAAATGAAATCCAATAGTCAAGAGCTTGTTGATAAATGTGATTAACTATAAGACAATTTTTCTAGGAATGATATAATGATTTCATTATAATGGTTTTCTGATAATAGATATTGGATTAGTGAAATTTGTAAAAATGACAATTTTATTTTAATGCTCTATGATTTGGCATTAGAATAATTTAGATAGCTTATTTCAGTTATATCAGTTTATTTAAGAGGATCAGGTTGTCTTTGTTATTATGTTTTGGAAGTTTGTAATGATTTATTATTAATAATATATACTTATTAGCTTAACGATGAAAAACGCTTTCTTTTGGTTGAAGTGCATGATGAATTATTGTCTTAGATTGATATTATTCAGAAAGATATTGAAGCTCATTAAAATTTTTGGTCAAATGGACTAGAGTTTTAGATAACTCTGATAAAAATAGTCTTAATAAATAGTAAGACAAACACTAAGGAATAATAGAATATATTGAAATCAATTGCTTCCTCGGCATTTTCTTCTTTATTATCACTTTCGATAAGTGAAAATTTTATGAATGCCTTATTTGATTTTGCAAAATATTTGCTGATTGAAAAATACAATCAATTTTCTTANATTAAACTAGAATTTTAGAAAAAATATACTAAGAAAATAGTATAAAGTTTAAGTGATTAATTTTCAACTAAGCAGTAACTGCAAGTAGTAAAATTCATAGTATATCTAAATTGAAAGTGTATTCAAATTAAATGAAATAAAAAAACAATAACTTCTTAATTTATCTAATAAAAGCTTAGTTTTCAAAGAGAAAATGAAATTTCATAATTAAGAAGGGTGTTACATTTATCCTATTTACCCTTAATGATATAATTATTAAAGTAAATAACTAAATAAATTCAACATCAAATCCTCATTAATAATGGGATAAACATATTTTAAATTAAGTGTTTAGTATTTTATTCTTGATGATAATTTCAATAAAAATAATTAAATTTATTTTATACACAACTTATTGCATTATTGAAATATATACATTATGTATTTGATATTTTTTTTACCATAAAAATAATTTGTTTAATTTTGTAAACTAATCCAAATGGTTTAATAAATGTTCTCACATTTCTAAGATTTATTGTGTGATGCTAATTAATTCTTCATTATAAAAATTTAATTAATTTATCATTCATTATAAAATTAATTGAGGGAATTACAAAACTTGTTCGTTAATTTTTTTTGTGTATTTAAGGAAATAAAAATGATTTAGCAACTTAATATTAAAAGAAATTGAATATGATTTTTTGTCTTTTGCCATAAATATTTGGAATTAAAGTATGAAATTATATAATACCTAGCATACTAAGATAGAGTTATTAATAAATGGGTGTATTTTTGAATTAAAATTTGAAAAAGGTGAATATTTAATGAAGTCAACATCAACCCTATCGCTTCGAGGAGGAGGATGTGTAGGATAAAAAATAAAACCAAAAATTCAAATGTAAACCACGATTCCAATTGATTACAAATAAAAAATGAAATTCAATAGTTAAGAGCTTGTGGATAAATGTGATTAACTTTAAGACAATTTTTCTAGGAATGATATAATGATTTCATTATAATGGTTTTCTGATAATCGATATTGGATTAGTGAAATTTGTAAAAATGACAATTTTATTTTAATGCTCTATGATTTGGCATTAGAATAATTTAGATAGCTTATTTCAGTTATATCAGTTTATTTAAGAGGATCAGGTTGTCTTTGTTATTATGTTTTGGAAGTTTGTAATGATTTATTATTAATAATATATACTTATTAGCTTAACGATGAAAAACGCTTTCTTTTGGTTGAAGTGCATGATGAATTATTGTCTTAGATTGATATTATTCAGAAAGATATTGAAGCTCATTAAAATTTTTGGTCAAATGGACTAGAGTTTTAGATAACTCTGATAAAAATAGTCTTAATAAATAGTAAGACAAACACTAAGGAATAATAGAATATATTGAAATCAATTGCTTCCTCGGCATTTTCTTCTTTATTATCACTTTCGATAAGTGAAAATTTTATGAATGCCTTATTTGATTTTGCAAAATATTTGCTGATTGAAAAATACAATCAATTTTCTTACCCTATTCAAACATATCAAATATATTACTTCTTTTTTCTCTTAAAATGGAGCATTATAAAAAATATTCAAGAATAGAATTTAGTAAATAAATAAATTGCAAATCTTTAGTTAGGATATTAATAATATGTGCAGAATTCAGATAATTGGATAGTTCACTTTTGTTGGATAAATGCTATCTCAGATTTGATTTCATATAGGTAAATTATATCAAAAACCATGTTCTTAAAAAATTAAGATGATATGAAATAAAAATAGTTATGGAATGAATTAATTAAACTAGATATTATTTAGGTATTGCCTTATGATAAATATCTTGGGAAAGTAAATAATAATTGCTCCTTTAAGTCTATTGATTATGAAACAGAACAAATATTAAATGGATTAGGTTTGAATAAGATGAAATTATTTTAAAATGCTATTGTAAATCAATAATTTGCTAATAAATAAAATTTCTTTTAATCTTATGTAGATTTTACATTTTAAAAACTAAAAAAACCAGATGAAAAAAACAATCTACCACCAAGATTTGAATTATTGGGTGTTGATGAATAAATGAAGAAAATTTAACGTTTATATCAATTGTTAAAAGAGATTAAAGAAAAGATCTAAGAACAATATATTGAAAGTTAATTTGAATCATTACCATCGCGTTAGTAAGAAATTGAGACAAAAAATAAAGTTAATTAATATGATCTAGTTTTAGATAAAGAAAGAGAAGTTCAATAATTAGAGTTTAGTCTTTTCAAACTTTCATATTTACTTCATGAAGTTGATTTTACTATGATTATAGAAAAAAAGAGAATAGAAATCTGTTAAGAATAANTTTTCTGATAATCGATATTGGATTAGTGAAATTTGTAAAAATGACAATTTTATTTTAATGCTCTATGATTTGGCATTAGAATAATTTAGATAGCTTATTTCAGTTATATCAGTTTATTTAAGAGGATCAGGTTGTCTTTGTTATTATGTTTTGGAAGTTTGTAATGATTTATTATTAATAATATATACTTATTAGCTTAACGATGAAAAACGCTTTCTTTTGGTTGAAGTGCATGATGAATTATTGTCTTAGATTGATATTATTCAGAAAGATATTGAAGCTCATTAAAATTTTTGGTCAAATGGACTAGAGTTTTAGATAACTCTGATAAAAATAGTCTTAATAAATAGTAAGACAAACACTAAGGAATAATAGAATATATTGAAATCAATTGCTTCCTCGGCATTTTCTTCTTTATTATCACTTTCGATAAGTGAAAATTTTATGAATGCCTTATTTGATTTTGCAAAATATTTGCTGATTGAAAAATACAATCAATTTTCTTACCCTATTCAAACATATCAAATATATTACTTCTTTTTTCTCTTAAAATGGAGCATTATAAAAAATATTCAAGAATAGAATTTAGTAAATAAATAAATTGCAAATCTTTAGTTAGGATATTAATAATATGTGCAGAATTCAGATAATTGGATAGTTCACTTTTGTTGGATAAATGCTATCTCAGATTTGATTTCATATAGGTAAATTATATCAAAAACCATGTTCTTAAAAAATTAAGATGATATGAAATAAAAATAGTTATGGAATGAATTAATTAAACTAGATATTATTTAGGTATTGCCTTATGATAAATATCTTGGGAAAGTAAATAATAATTGCTCCTTTAAGTCTATTGATTATGAAACAGAACAAATATTAAATGGATTAGGTTTGAATAAGATGAAATTATTTTAAAATGCTATTGTAAATCAATAATTTGCTAATAAATAAAATTTCTTTTAATCTTATGTAGATTTTACATTTTAAAAACTAAAAAAACCAGATGAAAAAAACAATCTACCACCAAGATTTGAATTATTGGGTGTTGATGAATAAATGAAGAAAATTTAAAGTTTATATCAATTGTTAAAAGAGTTTAAAGAAAAGATCTAAGAAAAATATATTGAAAGTTAATTTGAATCATTAACATCGCGTTAGTAAGAAATTGAGACAAAAATAACGTTAATTAATATGATCTAGTTTTAGATAAAGAAGAGAAGTTCAATACTGAGAGTTTAGTCTTTCAAACTTTCATATTTACTTCATGAAGTTGATTTTACTATGATTATAGAAAAAAAGAGAATAGAAATCTGTTAAGAATAAGTTAAATTGTATGAAAACTAAAATCAAAAAGATAAGTAAAATTAGAATAAAAAAGATTAAAATAAATAAGGAGTTTAATAAAAATAGCTTGAAAATATTTATAATGATTGGATCTCATTATATTTTCCAAATAAATACATTAAAATGTTTAATCTCATTACTAAACTAAGAGGATTTCACTTCAAATTTTCTAAATTTGAGAAAACAGAATCCAAATAGTAATAAAAGCAAATTCAAGACAATGATTTAAGTTTACTTATTCACGATGTTTAGCTTTCTATAGAAAAGTTTTTATAAGAACTTAATATTTATTAATAATCATTATCGAAGTTTTGGAGGAGTGACAATAAGCTAACAACCATTACAGATAATGAATAATACGATTTAAAAATAAATGAATTCATATTTGAGATTATTGAAAAGAATAAATTAAGATTTGTTAATGATGAATACCATAAAGAATTTAAGGAATATCTTTTTCAATAAGAATTTTAAACTCTTGAAGATATTTAAACATTTAACTTTAAAGTATAAAACTATATCAAAATGATGAAAATTTTATAAGGTTAACAATTGTAAAAAGCTTATATTTTTTCAAAATTGGAGTTGAATCTCAAATCTACTTTAGAAACTAAATAAAATAAATAGCTTAAATAATAAGACAATAACCAATAACAATAAATATAAATATGTTAATAAATTTCATAACAAAAAAATGATATTGTGGCATTTCTGTAAAATGACATAAAAGATAAAGGTTTTATTGACAAAATACTTCAATAAATTGTAAACTTAAGAAATAAAATTAGAGTTAATTTTGCTTTTTAATAGAATAGCTATGTAAGTTCGGCCTTAATTCTATAAAATTAAATTTATAATTAATTATTTAAATTTAATTTGTACTCTTAGTAAGATATTGAATAATGCATGATTGATATATTGAAGTTATACAGATAATTTGAGTAATTAAATTCTATTCAATATTAGAATCAAAAAGATCAAACTTTAACATAAAATGATATTAAAAATAAGAATACACAAGATCAAATTTAAAATGAAAATAATGAATAGAATGAGTATTTAATACTTATTTCTAACAAAATAAACCAATTGAATAACTAAATAATGTATATTAACAAAATTATTGATAATATGGAAGAATTATCTTAGTATGTTCATTAAAATTGTATGGATTTCGAGTATCATTTTCAAAAACATATCTTAGATAATGTTAAATCAATAATCAAAGAATTAATAAATCAATCTTAATTAGATTAATTATTAAATGAATTTATATAAAATAATTTGGATATATAGTAAAATCAAGGAACTTAAATAAAAAATACAATAAACTTTACTTTAAAAGATTTTGCTACTATTTTTTGTTATAATTAGATAACTTCAGATAAAGCAGTTTAAATAGATAAAGACTACTAAGAATTATTAGATAATTTAGAATAAGTAAATGATAGTGGAACGAAAGATCTATGATTTAAGTAAAGATTATATTGTTCAGTAATGGTTCCTCTTTCATTTAATAAAATATAATCCTAAGTCCCTGAAAAAGAATTATTAGTGCTATGCCAAGAATATATAAAAAGGATATGGATGATAGAAAAGGATGTAAGTGTTAGAGCTTTTCTAAAAAATAAAGAGATAATAGAAGTCTAAAATTAATTATTTTCTCAAGATCTTAAAACTTTCTCTTCAAGTATTAAAGAGGAGATGAATTAAAAATTGAAGGAAATGGAGGATATTGAATACGCAATTCGCTTTGAAGGCAATCAATCTGAGAGAGATGAATTGTCAAAACAATTAACAAATAAATATGAGGAATTTGAAGAATTTCTAGATAATATTTCTGAAATGTATTAGTAATTGAATATGGCTTTAATTTTTTTATAAGAACTTTAAAAAAAAGTAAAATAAATAAAACAAAAAATAGATGATCTTTAGGAATAAATAAAGAGATTGGAAATGATGTGAGAAAATTAAGAGGAAAAAAATATGAAGATTTATTTAAAATTAGAAAAGAAAAAGTATTATCTTAAGCTTATCTTTTGGAACTTGATTCTGTATACATCCTATTAAAAATATAGGAGATCAATCCTGTTACAGGATAAGTCTAAAATACTCTAAGTTGTAATTGAAAGATTTTAAAAAAGCAATTGAATATAATAAGATTAAAGTAGTGATGATTCTTGATAGTTATGATGAAATGAAGTAGGACTGTATTCAATCCAATTTAATATTAACAAATAGATTAATCTAAGATCTTAATTAAGTTGATTAAATAAAAAAAAAGTGAAATTTATAATAAAATAAAGTTAAATTTTTTCAATTAAATTTGTTTTATGGTGAAAGCCTTTAGACATTAAAAGAAGTCAAAATCATAAATTTTGATAAACAACAAAGTGAGAATTACCTTAAACATTATTTTAAATTAAGTTAAGTAAATAAAACAATAGAATTTAGATGTTAAAGAATTTTTGGAGATTTGGAATAATATTTTAGATTAAGTTGATGATGAAGATGGAATTAATGTGAATTATCCTATTTTACTAACTGATGAATAAATTGTGAATATTTTGGAAATTATATAAAATAACCTGCATTCCAATATGTTTAAGAAGATTAGTTAATTATCTTAAAAAAGAACTTAAAGATTTATGGAGTGCAGGGTTATTTAATAAAACTATTTAAAATCTAAAAATTTAACATTTCTTATAGACTCCATTTATGCTTGAAATAGTAGTCTAAACTCTTCCAAACCTTTCTTAAAAATATAAAGGATCTGGAAATGTTTCAGAAGAACTTCTTAATACTAAAAAGTAAGGAAAATCTATCAAAAAAGAAATTATCAAAATTTATTTATTAAGAGTAAAAAAAAGTAAAAATAATTTTAGAGGAAAATACATATAAGTAAAGTGAAATTTAACAAGACTATGAGGATCAATAAGATTTAAAAAGTTTATAAATTATTCTTGAAAAATTAGAAGGTTAACACTTTTTTGAAAAGTATTCGATAACTAATATATCTTTGATAAAAAATAAATAATAAATATAAGTGAAGATGATTTGAAAATTGTGATTGCTGCTTTGAAAATGAAGATATTTACAATTTATGAATTCTATTAAAACTTTATAGAATTTTATCATGAATAATAAATATAGAAACTTAGATAATTGGGAAAAGTTGAAAATGTAGATAGTTTTACGATAGATTTATTATAATTTTCGGAATCATTAGCTATAGAAATGACAATGAATTAAGCAACATAAGTTAATTATGAACAAAAAGGTAGGTTAAAATTAAAAAATGATTATTTTGACTAAAATAATGAAGATGATTTGAAAATACAATATTTTGATGATTTGGAAGATAACTATAGGAAACTTGTTAGAAGCTCAGGAAAGGGAAAAGCTATACATTTAATCATAAATCTTTATAAGAATTTTATGTAGCCAAACATATAAATAATTTAATTGATAAACTTTAATTCATTGACAATTAACTTACTCAAAAAAATGTAAGTCATTTAGAAAAATCAGTATTTAATAAGAAAGAATTTAATATCTTTTTAGAAAATTACTTTGGGTCTTCGAGAATATTAAAAGAAAATCTAAAACTTAAGAATGAAAATAACCTTAAATTAATTTCTATTGCTAAATTATCTGCAAAGAAAACATTTAAGGTAGCTTCTTCAAATAGTTTTTGTTTATTAAGTTATTTGTAAGTGTATCTAGGAGAGTAAGATTTTTCAGGTATACATATAGAAAAAACAACTTTTAAAGGATTATCTTTTTATAAAAGCAAATTAAAAAAATCTATTTTTAATGAAGTAATTATTGATTCTTGCCTATTTGATCAAGCTAATTTGGAAGAGGCTAAATGGACAAATATGATATTTTCTGAGAAACCATTATTATAAGGACATAAAGGTAGTGTTGTTGTAATATAATATTCAAATAATGGTAAATTTATAGCGAGTGGAGACTCACAAAAAGTTATAAAATTTTTGGATGTTGCAACATTTTAACAAGAAGGAGAAATTAGTGATATTTCTGGTATACCAAAATACTTAGTGTTCTCGGCTGATGATTAACTTTTATTTGTAGGTGATGATACAAATAGAATTGAGTCTTGGTTGATAAGTGATCTTAAAAATATCATAAAATTGAGATATTTAATTAATAAATAAGAAAAAATTATAAAAATGCAATTGTCATCAGAATAGAATTTGTCATCATCATTAGTAAAATTTTGAAAAAATCATCAGGTTCAATCCGGTTAAAGTTAGCATTTAAATTCCATAATCTTATTGATTTATCATCACATGATGCTAATGTTGAATTATCTTAGGAAATTTAAACTACAACAATGTTTTCTGAATGGCCTTAGAATTTAGCCATGACTTTTCTTGCCTTAAAGTCCCAAAAATAAATTATTTTATTAGTTCTACAAAATAGACTTGGTTACCTGAAGAAAATACTAAATATTTTCTATCTTTTGAAATTGCTATTGTAATACAATCTTTCGTGTCAGAATAATTATTTTCTATTACATCATCAATCAAATTTTATACCATAAATTATTTATATGCTAAATAAGCCACTTTTGAATCATTTAATAAAATTACTAAATCTTCCAAATTATAATAATTAGGTATATTTATTTATATTGATTTAATAAGTTTTCTATTAATCATATCAGTTACTTAAATAGAATTTTCATCCACTGTTGAAGCAAGATATTAAGATGATGCTTTAGGATGAACAGAAATTATTTTATCTTGAATTACTCCAATTAATTAAGGTTTATTAATATCTGCTATATTGAAAAGAATTATCAAAGAATATGCTAAGACTAAAATCATGCCATAATTTGTAAATGAAACTGAAAATGAAGATAAATTTTATTATTAAAGCAGGCAATACAAATTTCAAAGAATATTTCAAAGAAATTATCATCTTTTGATAAAATTCTTAATATTATTTTTAAAATTATTTATTTGTTGCAAGTTGATAAATGATTTGTTTTGATTTGATTTTATATAATGTAAAATTTTGGTTATTCTGGAATACTATATGTTCATAATCAGGGCAAAACTCAAAATATCCTAAATCAGTGAATTCTTCAATGGTAACATCTGATTCAAAATCAGATAATTTAGAAAGTTAATAATTCCCATATAATAAATTATGAGTTATTTGATATCCTAATTGTACTTTAATCTTTATTCAGAATAAATCGTCGTTTACCTATCAAATCTAAAGGAAAAACTATAATTGATTCACCATAATTATTTTTTAGTTTTGCTAAATATTTTCCATCCTTTGAAAAAACAATTTTTTCTCTTGTTTAAAAATTATAATAGTCAATTAAAGTGAATTGATTATCTCCTTCATTTCTCCAAATTTTAACAGAGTTTATCTTCTTTTGTATTTAGATATTTATCATTTTAAACCATTTTGGCATAAACAGTAGAATCCAAATTTGGAAGTATTTCAAGTATATTGGTTGATTTGATATTCAAAATATATATCCCAGATGGAATAGTTACAACAAGTCTTTCTTAATCTTAACAATAAGTAACTAACTTAATGATGTTGTGTTTTTTGGAAATTACTAAGAAAACTTTTAATCAGGTTAAAAACTCTTAGTATTAAAATAGTCATGCTAAAATTATATAATAAATCACAATTACTAAATAAA